ATTGAAAGTTGTATAAAAAAATTGAATATTGTTAAAAATATTTTCAATCACATGTCACTGTGAATGTTATTAGCTTTTACTGAGTTAGCACTTTTGAAAGTGAGTAGACAGTGAGTCTGAAAAATCAGTGTTGATGGATAGCACAGATTGGGTAGATGTAAAAGCAGGTCTTAAAGCACATGTGACTATCCTACGTGTATGTTGAGTGAGTGAGTGAGTGAGTTGCCTTGTGACTGTCAGAAAGGTCTGGTCGGCTGCTGCTGCAGCGTGATCAATGGAGTTGATGGATAGCACAGATTGGGTAGATGTAAAAGCAGGTCTTAAAGCACATGTGACTATCCTACCTGTATGTTGAGTGAGTGAGTGAGTGAGTCGCCGAGTGAGTGTTGAGTGAGTGAGTGAGTGAGTGAGTGAGTGAGTGAGTGAGTGAGTGAGTGAGTGAGTGAGTGGAGTGAGTGAGTTGTAGTGACTATGAGTCTAGTCGGTTGTGAGTGATCAATGGAGTCATGGATGAAGCGAGTGAGTGATGTAAAAGCAGGTCTTAAAGCACGGTGACCTGTATGTTGAGTGAGTGAGTGAGGAGTGAGTGAGTGTTGAGTGAGTGAGTGAGTGAGTGGTGAGTGTGTGAGTGAGTGAGTATGTGAGTGAGTGAGTGGTGAGTGAGTGAGTGAGTGAGTGGTGAGGGAGTGAGAGTGCGTGAGTGGTGAGTGAGTGAGTGAGTGTGAGTGAGTGAAAGGTGAGTGAGTGAGTGAGTGAGTGAGAGTGATCGAGTGAGTTGTTTCATTAGTTACATTCCTCCAGTTAGCATCAACCCCCTAACTTCCTGCCTAACAAATGTTTCAGACATGGATGAATCAGTTGGTAAATAAAACAACTAAAATATATCTTTCTGATATTTTTCATCATTAGAAGTGAAATGTTGTCTGACCAATCAGCATTAAAATCTTTCATACGCACATGTGCAAATATTGCAAAGTTTTGCCCACGGCCATTCTCTCCTTATGGATAATATTATGAAACAGTTTCATCAGCTCTGCTTCTGGTTTGTCTATACACTCTGCCATCAGTCAAGGTAAGTAAATATCTATGATTGATTTACAATAAACATGTCTTCCACAGATGAGTAACAATAACCTGGCGACATTTCAAACAGACGAGCACTCTGGCGAATCAATACACCTAATCTATTTACCAAAGGTTATTTCTAAAAGTAGATCACACCTACATGAACATATATGATACAATAATGTACATCTCATGTACAACACTCCTCCATAGAAAGCTGGGTCTGATACCGAGACTGGGTCCTAATGTCACGTCCAATATTCCTCTGATGTGGAAAGTGGGTGAGTGTGGGTTTTCAGTATACCACCTTGAGCAATATATGTACCTAGATTCTACAGGGCCACAACACTTCATGCAGTAAATAAAATGGGACTGATTATCTGACTGGCACTCCTCCTAAAGAGAGAGAGCGAGTGGTGTGTGTGTGTAGTGGTGTGTGTGTTCACTTGCGTGCGTGGAGCAGAAAGCCTGGGTTTGATTCCCTAGTATGTTAAATGTGTTTGCTCATTCCTGGAAAACCCTGGTGTTGATATTGCATGATATTGCTGGAATATTGCTAAAGCTGCATAAAACCCAACTCACTCACTGGGGCTGGGATGGGTAACCCAGATACCCGGGACGGATGGGTAATGGGTTGAACCCAGGTGCCCGTCTCAATACCCGGACCCGTTATGATCATGTGACTCATGGGTTAAACAATGTAATATGTTATTTTTTCATGATTAAAAGGTTGTATTGTCTTTGAAGATTTAGACACAATGTACAGTCACTTCTTTTGGATATAACACATGGTTAAAATATTGAAAAACTCGAAATTTTAGCCTCCGAGCTGAAGAATATATTGCCATTTCTTACAAATTTGATGTCAGGAATTAACATAACAGGCATCAGGGTAGGGTAGGGTAATAGGGGGTGGGGTACCCGGGTAGAAAATTTGGACGTGTACCAGCCCTATCACTCACTCACTAACTCCTCCTGTAGGATATCTCCTCTAGGGAGTCACTTTATCCATCAACTGTGTCTCTCAGAACATTACTAGACATCAGGTTTGGTTGGGACTGGTATTTGGGTATTTGGTTTGGGTGGGTCCTGAGTCGGTCTATATCCTAAAATGTCTTTTAGGAGGAGGAGGATATGTATATGTACCTTAAAATCTCCTCATTTCAGGTGCTGAAATGGGGATGCTTTTAAGATTTGAGAGTGAAGAGTGGGGCCTTATAACACTGAGCATCCATTGATTCTCTCATTGAAAAGTAAGGTTTGTTATAAAATGCAGAACATATTGGTACTTGGGTACAGAACCCTAAATACTAACTGACAGTTATTTCTTCCCTCCCTTTCAATAGATTTTAGTGTAATTGTATAGATGATTATCAGTTTCAGACATTTGGCTACATCAGTAGACTTATATCAGCATTCTCTTGTCAAGAAGTAGACTAACAACTAGTCTCTGAAATGAACATATTTTACTGAAAAAAAGTTCATAGTAAAAAAATATATATATAATGAAAAGGAGCCCTGAGACTTTCTTCATTTTCAGAAGCTGAGGAAATCTAGACTTGCCACATTTTCTAGACTTGCATGGACTTTCTTGGATATATTTGCTTCAGGGTCTGTACGAGAGACTAGTCAAGAAGCTCAGCATCTGATGGAGTTGCCGGCAGTGTGGTGCTAGTCTAGATTTTATGGGTGCTTCAATCTCAACATGCTTCCTCTCATAACATTTCTGTGTTATTCATTATGGGATCACAGTAATTGGAGTTAGTGAGTGAGTGAGTTTAGTTTTACGCCGCTTGAAAGCAATATTGCAGCAATATCATGGTGGGGGACACGAGAAATGGGCTTCACATATTGTACCCATGTGGGGAATCAAACCCGGGTCTTCGGCGTGATCAGCCAACGCTTTAACCATTAGGCTAACCCACCGCCCCACACAGCAATTGGACTGACTGATTGAGTTTGGTTTTACACACAGCAATTGGAAAGCACAGAAGTCTGTAATCAATATAAAAAACAAACATGCAACACAATGCGAAGAACAGCAAGCACAGACTAACTATAGACTACAACATGTGTAGCATATTCAGTCATAACACTGATATAACTGAATACAGACAAACGTCTGGTCCAAAAACAAACACCACTGCATTCAGGAGAAAACAACATGGAATGAAACATAATTTCAGAAGAATTTCATCATTTTATTAAAAAAACAAGTCTCAACATTTATCTCTATCCAATGAGTCCAATTCCTGACAGCTGAAGGGATAGTAAATGCTGCAAGGCTGAAGTACTGTGAGCTCCCCAATGGTCCCAAGTGTGGAGGCCTAACTTTGGCTGCTGACGAGGCATAGCCTGATTCTATTAAGTACTGTTACATGTAATGATATCTATAGTCCCATTATACAGGAATGGATCCATATGTCAGTATAGGTTTCTGTAAAGTGAGTCCTGCTAAAAACACAGGAATGGATCCGTATGCCAGTATAGGTTTACTGTAAAGTGAGCCCTGCTAAAACCACAGGAATAGATCCGTATGCCAGTATAGGTTTACTGTAAAGTGAGCCCTGCTAAAACCACAGGAATGGATCCATATGTCAGTATAGGTTGACAGTAAAGTGAGCCCTGCTAAAACCACAGGAATGGATCCATATGTCAGTATAGGTTGACAGTAAAGTGAGCCCTGCTAAAACCACAGGAATGGATCCATATGTCAGTATAGGTTGACTGTAAAGTGAGCCCTGCTAAAACCACAGGAATGGATCCATATGTCAGTATAGGTTGACTGTAAAGTGAGCCCTGCTAAAACCACAGGAATGGATCCGTATGCCAGTATAGGTTGACAGTAAAGTGAGCCCTGCTAAAACCACAGGAATGGATCCATATGTCAGTATAGGTTGACAGTAAAGTGAGCCCTGCTAAAACCACAGGAATGGATCCATATGTCAGTATAGGTTTACTGTAAAGTGAGTCCTGCTAAAAACACAGGAATGGATCCATATGTCAGTATAGGTTGACTGTAAAGTGAGCCCTGCTAAAACCACAGGAATGGATCCATTATGCCCATATAGGTTGACAGTAAAGTGAGCCCTGCTAAAACCACAGGAATGGATCCATATGTCAGTATAGGTTTACAGTAAAGTGAGCCCTGCTAAAACCACAGGAATGGATCCATATGTCAGTATAGGTTGACAGTAAAGTGAGTCCTGCTAAAACCCACAGGAATGGATCCATATGTCAGTATAGGTTGACAGTAAAGTGAGTCCTGCTAAAACCACAGGAATGGTGTAGGTATACTGACAGTAAAGTGAGCCCTGCTAAAACCCACAGGAATGGATCCATATGTCAGTATAGGTTGACAGTAAAGTGAGCCCTGCTAAAACCACAGGAATGGATCCGTATGCCAGTATAGGTTGACAGTAAAGTGAGCCCTGCTAAAACCCACAGGAATGGATCCATATGTCAGTATAGGTTGACAGTAAAGTGAGCCCTGACAGTATGGATCCAAGTGAATCCTGACAGCTAAAACCTAAAACCACAGGAATGGATCCATATGTCAGTATAGGTTGACAGTAAAGTGAGTCCTGCTAAAACCCACAGGAATGGATCCATATGTCAGTATAGGTTGACAGTAAAGTGAGTCCTGCTAAAACCCACAGGAATGGATCCATATGTCAGTATAGGTTTACTGTAAAGTGAGCCCTGCTAAAACCACAGGAATGGATCCATATGTCAGTATAGGTTTACTGTAAAGTGAGTCCTGCTAAAACCCACAGGAATGGATCCATATGTCAGTATAGGTTTACTGTAAAGTGAGTCCTGCTAAAACCACAGGAATGGATCCATATGTCAGTATAGGTTTACATTAAAGCAAGCCCTGGAGATATAGAGAATGTTGTCAGAGTGGTCACACTGAGCCCAAAATATTGACCTACCTTTAGTGGGAAAAATTGGTCTTCTGTCTTGCCGAGCCCAAGACATCCTTCTCTGTTCTTCCCCCATGTGTACACGTCACCTGTGTCTGGAGATAAACACAGTGAAACATGTCAGCGGCATCCTTGTCTTCAAGGTTAAGCAGACATTCGGTTCCTTCAGTCAGGTGCGTGGTCTTTGATTATACATACCGGTACTTTATACACCAACACAAATGACATAAATAATTTTTTAAAAATCCTCATTTGAGAACAGTTCTGTTTTTCTTTAATATTTAAGTATGTTAAAGGAACTCATGTTACAGTTAGAGCATTGCTGAGTATCTGTAGAGTTGAGGAGGGAGGACAGAGGATGTGAGAGGGTGATCGAAGATGTTTGCAATGTGAAATTTCACTGAGCCAGTTTAAATCATGCCATGGGTGCATTCAGTGGAAGTAATCCAGAGTTGCAAATGTTGCTGTGCTCTCAGTTCAGTGGTCACCATACATCTAAACACATGAACCAAGGACTGCATGCCTCTGACTGTATATATATTTTTATGGACCTGGGACCCAATCATTCTGTACCGAGATATTTCGACCTGAATGGATCTGTAAATAAACCGTGAAGGTCAGGTTAGAACTGATCTTCAGTAACCCATGACTAAGAGGGGTTGATCTGGTGGTCAGGCTTGCTGACTGGGTTGACACATGTCATCGTATCCCAATTGTGTAGATTGATGTTCATGCTGTTGATCCCTGGATTGTCTTGCCCAGACTCCATTATTTACATACCGCTGCCATATAGCTGGAATATTGCTGAGTGTGGCGTAAAACTAAACTCACTCACTCAGTCTGTAAATAACTGAGTCTAGAACAGACAAACCTGTGATTGATGTCATATCTAAACTCCTAAGTAAATGAGTCACCAAGTCCGATCACTTATCAACTAAGCTAATGAGACACACAGTTTGCTAGAGGCCAATACCAACCACAAATGGCCACAGGTTGGAAACAACATGAACTAACCTGTCCTGGCTACAAAGTGGCCCATTCCACAGACAATATCAACAACTTTAGACTCAGACTGGAGCTCATGGCAGCCAAACAATGTTGGTGGAATCTTCTGTGGCCGATCTGCTGCCTCCAGGACAGGTCCTTTACCGAGGATCCCGTACCCCCACACAAACACCTCTCCTATGTCTGCAATGGAAGAAACATAGCATTAGTGAGTGAGTGGGTTAGCAGGTGTGGTGCTGTGACTGACTGCACATGTGTGTGCATGCATGTGTGCACGCGAGGGAGGGAGGGATGAGTTATTGGCGTCTCCATAGACCAGTTACTTACTGTATGTCAGGTTGGTCAGTGGTAATCAGGTCAGAGGGAAGGTCATCAAAATATAACACAGTCTCTAACGGTGAGGTGAGATTGAGTTTTAACGTCGTGCTTGAGAATATTTCGCTCATATGACGACGTGCATGCGTGTGTATGTGTATGTGCGGCTGCTTGTACTAGCCCAGACTTAAGCTGGTTTTATAGTGCTAGCCCACTGAGATACCATGCCGCAGTGAAGCATGAATACCCCACTCAGACACATTATACTGACTCCGAGCCGACCAGTCCTTGTTGCACTCATTAATGCCGAGCGCCAGGCAGGGACCAACAAGTACCATATTTTAACGTCTTTTGGTATGACGCGGTTGGGGATCGAACCCGCGACCTTCCACTCTCCGGGCGGACGCTCTAACCACTCAACCACGGAGGCGGTCCGGTCTCTAACGTAGAAAATATGCTTGTAATTGAAAACTGAAAACATGCCATATATCTCATAATGTATTTTGCTCATAGACATCACATCAAAGCAAAAGGGTCAAACTTTAGTCACTGGTGGTACAGATACACAGACACACTGACACTCACCGTTGAGTATAGCACATGAGGAGCCAGCAGCAGCAGCTTGGATGATTTTCCCACAATTCCTCAAGGGAAGATGTTTAGGCTCAGAAACCTGGGCATGGTCTGTTACCATGGAGAGTTGGTTGTATTCAGAGTTACCCCATCCGAATACATCTCCCTTGTCTGAAGCAAAGACAAACGGAATCAGAGTTCTGTTAAATTAATCCTTTGATTATCATCAGCTCAACAGAACCTTTGGTTCAGGCAAGATTAAATGAACGTTTTGGATAATTCTCAAGAAGATGGTGCCAGATAGCAGCTGATATGTGTTAGTGAAATGCTAATTGGGTGTTTCTTTCCACAAATCCAAATAAAATGCTGTCATACATGTAATTTGCTTGCAAAACACGAGTTTGTTCATCAATGCACAGTGTAAAATGAGTAGTTCCCCTACCTGAGACAGCCAGCACACAGTCACAGTGTAAAATGAGTAGTTCCCCTACCTGAGACAGCCAGCACACAGTCACAGTGTAAAATGAGTTGTTCCCCTACCTGAGACAGCCAGCACAGTCACAGTGTAAAATGAGTAGTTCCCCTACCTGAGACAGCCAGCACACAGTCACAGTGTAAAATGAGTAGTTCCCCTACCTGAGACAGCCAGCAGTCACAGTGTAAAATGAGTAGTTCCCCTACCTGAGACAGCCAGCACACAGTCACAGTGTAAAATGAGTAGTTCCCCTACCTGAGACAGCCAGCACAGTCACAGTGTAAAATGAGTTGTTCCCCTACCTGAGACAGCCAGCACAGTCACAGTGTAAAATGAGTAGTTCCCCTACCTGAGACAGCCAGCACAGTCACAGTGTAAAATGAGTAGTTCCCCTACCTGAGACAGCCAGCACACAGTCACAATGTAAAATGAGTAGTTCCCCTACCTGAGACAGCCAGCACACAGTCACAGTGTAAAATGAGTTGTTCCCCTACCTGAGACAGCCAGCACAGTCACAGTGTAAAATGAGTAGTTCCCCTACCTGAGACAGCCAGCACACAGTCACAATGTAAAATGAGTAGTTCCCCTACCTGAGACAGCCAGCACACAGTCACAGTGTAAAATGAGTAGTTCCCCTACCTGAGACAGCCAGCACAGTCACAGTGTAAAATGAGTAGTTCCCCTACCTGAGACAGCCAGCACACAGTGTAAAATGAGTAGTTCCCCTACCTGAGACAGCCAGCACACAGTCACAGTGTAAAATGAGTTGTTCCCCTACCTGAGACAGCCAGCACACAGTCACAGTGTAAAATGAGTAGTTCCCCTACCTGAGACAGCCAGCACACAGTCACAGTGTAAAATGAGTGGTTCCCCTACCTGAGACAGCAGCAGCACAGTCACAGTGTAAAATGAGTAGTTCCCCTACCTGGGACAGCCAGCACAGTCACAGTGTAAAATGAGTAGTTCCCCTACCTGAGACAGCCAGCACACAGTCACAGTGTAAAATGAGTAGTTCCCCTACCTGAGACAGCCAGCACACAGTCACAGTGTAAAATGAGTAGTTCCCCTACCTGAGACAGCCAGCACACAGTCACAGTGTAAAATGAGTAGTTCCCCTACCTGAGACAGCCAGCACACAGTCACAGTGTAAAATGAGTTGTTCCCCTACCTGAGACAGCCAGCACAAACAGTCACAGTGTAAAATGAGTAGTTCCCCTACCTGAGACAGCCAGCACACAGTCACAGTGTAAAATGAGTAGTTCCCCTACCTGAGACAGCCAGCACACAGTCACAGTGTAAAATGAGTTGTTCCCCTACCTGAGACAGCCAGCACAGTCACAGTGTAAAATGAGTAGTTCCCCTACCTGAGACAGCCAGCACACAGTCACAGTGTAAAATGAGTAGTTCCCCTACCTGAGACAGCCAGCACAGTCACAGTGTAAAATGAGTAGTTCCCCTACCTGAGACAGCCAGCACACAGTCACAGTGTAAAATGAGTAGTTCCCCTACCTGAGACAGCCAGCACACAGTCACAGTGTAAAATGAGTAGTTCCCCTACCTGAGACAGCCAGCACACAGTCAGCAGTAGACGCAATGTTCACAATCTTCTCATCCTTCATATCCCCCCCTACCAGGGTCGGCGCTGACACATTCTTGTAACTTCCCAGACCTGGAACAGAGACAATATGATCAGCATCACACAGCTGCTGCAGCTCAAACAGATTCCACAGTCCATGCATGACATCAAACAGAAGAGTTGAATATGGTCCCAGCTTGGTTTGACTACCCAGGTGGAGCTGTGGATAGAGGGTCTACCCAGAGTGAAACGCTAGTGGTTCAATCCATTGGCCAAATCATATTAAACGACAATACAATGATATATGGTTAAGGTGTTACTCTGCCTGGCCATTTTTGGTAGTAAAGGTGTCCGCCTTCAACTGCAGCATGGTATCTCAGTGGGCTGGCATTATATAACCAGCATACATCTGAACTAGTCCACGCACGCACACGTACACACGCATGCATGCATACTCATCTCTAGGTAAGTGCAATAATCTTGAATGCTAAGTTCAAAACCATTTCACTTCACCTCACATCCAGCACAGCTTAAAGGATCCTTTGGGTCCTACTCCCAAAAGCATGGGTATAGGAAGGACGAAAAGTGAATGAATGTTGTTTTACACCAGACCTCCCATTATCACTGTTTCCCTGGAAATATCCAAGTCTGGACAAGACAAGCTCTTGACTGATGGCATGAACAATTTCCAATCCTGACTAATATCGACTAAAGCTTAGTCGTCAGAATATAAGTTTGATGGAAACAAATAATTCCATTTACATTGAGAAGAAGCCCAGTGATATGGGAGATGCTGAAGTACAGTGCACATGTAAACTCTATCAGGGGAAAGTCTAGACTTGCTTCATTTAGATAATTTTTCACATTGCAGAAAGGGCTGGGTGATTTTTAAATAAAAAATGATGTGGTTGAGGGACTGTTTGACAGACAACACAATATACTATGCATTTACAGTGGTATGATGCTGTGAGGTGACAATGTTGTTACAATGCACTCCCTGTATCTACTTTTGCAATAAGCAACAGATGACCAGTTCCAAAATGGAAACTTATTAAGTTTTCAATGGGTAGATGATGCTTTTACTTGGACAGTTTGACTGACAGTCTATGATTCTAGACTGCAGTGATGTATATCTGTGATAAAAAGCATGCTACCAACATTGGCAGAATTAATCTGCATGCTATTAACTCACTGACCTGTTTGTCCATCAGCACCCAGCCCACAGCTGTAAACCTGACCAGTGTCCGTCAGAAACAGGGTGTGGTCCTGTCCGCACACCACCTGGACAACACAACACTGGGATTAGTCTCGCTGGGACTGGAGGGGGATTGGTCATAAAGGGGAACCTATCAGTCTGTCACAATATGTCACATTCATGCATTAACACATGCATTGTTAGAATTGAACAATGATAAAATACTTAACTGGTACACTTTCACCTCAAAATTAAAATTCATTGGTAAGTGACTAATCCACACATTGATACAAACCAAATGATTTGGCATTGTAATTTGCTGTGATGAGGTGTTTCCCTTGGGATCACGAGAAAACTATTATTGTAGGTTTGAATCCTATTCACCGTGATTATATTTCTAGGTTTGTCAGCATCATATTTAGTCTATGAAATAACTCAAAATCCAGCCAGACATTGGGGCTGGTAACTTCTAAATGTTACCAGCCCAAAATGGATTTAACCAGACCAAATATGGTGAATTTACTCAGATGATTGAACATCTCAAATTTTACTAGACCATCGGGCTGGCTAGCTGTAAATTTAGACCGTCCGTCAGAAATCTAGACCGTCTCGGGCGGTCGGACGGGCCTTATTTCATACACTGCCATATTCATGCCTGTGGGTTTCACCAAAGTGGTTAACCATTAAGAACTGCGTCGCCTTGGATTTCCTCTCACATTGAACTTACATGGCATCAAGTAACTACACTACTTCTCAAAGTGGCATTAAGTCCAACTCATATGCCTACATATCCGTTTAAAAGAAAACGAATTTTGAGAAATATTTCCTGCACAATAAACTGGTGAGGTAATATTTTTAAGAGTCTCTCACTGGATGGCCATCTGGAGACATGTAAAGACATCAGTAACCTGACAACAACACCCACGGCTGCCTGCCAACATGCCTCCTTACTTTCTCAACACTGTCTGGTAGATCATGAATCTTGTTGATGTTTGGGTTCTTGGCGTACACCTCATCCTCCACCACTGACCGACCACACTGACCACAGGAGTTGTTGCCCAAGCTGAAAACTAGAAACAGACAATTTCAAGAGTGAGTGAGAGTCTTACGCCACTTACACTACCCCAAAGCCCCAACAATTTCCTTTCACTGCAATAATGTATTAACATCAGTGTTACTCAATAAAGATACTATGACTATGAATCTAGTCTATTCTTAGAAATTGTTGCCAGTTGAGTCAGGTCTTCTGAGAGCTGGTAGAATTCCAGGCTGTAGCTCACCTGAAGTTTAGTAAACAGTTAAAACATAGCTAATACATATATTTTAAAATAACTTCAGGTGCACAATTCCATTATAAGGTAAAGAATGAAGAAGCCATATTTGGAATAGCATGTCATACCTCCCTCCTTGTCTGTGATGACAACAGTGTGGGAACGACCACACGACACATCCTGCACCCTGGTGGTGTCCGGGGACAACAAGGGGAGAGAAATAGGAACTGGTTCTACTATGATGTCAAGGACACGGCCTGAAACAAGAGAAATCGTTGGTTTTGGTGCCAGTCAATGGTATTCCAGCACTAGGACAAGCAATGAAGTGAATGAATGAATGAGTTTAGTTTTACGCCAATATTCCAGCAAAATCATGGCGGGGACACCAGAAATGGGCTTCACACATTGTACCCATGTGGGGAATCAAACCCAGGTCTTCAGCATGACGAGTAACGCTTTAACCACTAATGTGCTGGCAACAAAAGAGAAAGTGTTTGGTTTAACACTGCATTAAAGGGAAAGTAAACTCCACATGGCAACTTTGCAGATTTCAATACATTACGACAGACTTAATCACAAAAGCTTGATCCAAAATAATTTTTGAAGTCTGAGATAGTGTTAAATCATTAAAACAGAAAGATGAAAATGTCCCGAAATGAATAAAAAAAGCTCCAAGAAAATCCTTGTTAAACTGGGTACACACTTCAACAATTGGTCTGGCCTCAAATCTTCCTGCTTCTTCCTTCTTAATCACATTAAAGGTTTTCTGTCATGAGTTTGATCACAGTGTCCACCCCAGTGATCAACTTGTAGAGGCCCAAACACTCACCTGAACCTCGGGGATATTCGTGGTACCCAAGCTGTGAGTCTGTGTTTATTCCTGTCCCAAACAGCCTGTGCCCTTGTGGGGTCCTGGCTGTAAACACGGTGAAGCCGTATCCACATGCCACGCTCTTCACCTGTACAGGCAGAGGTTCCTTGTAACTTAGGCACAGTAACAATTACATATGCAGAACAACTTGCAGCAATCTTCTGTTGACAGTTTTTAAAATGTCATGCAGATAGTATCACAAAATATGATGAGATTACTTTGCAGCTACTGCCGTACCAGGGCAGGGCAGGGCAGGGCAGGGCAGGGCAGGGCAGGGCAGGGCAGGGCAGGGCAGGGCAGGGCAGGGCAGGGCAGGGCAGGGCAGGGCAGGGTGGATGAGGTCTGATCATGATGGAGTGTGGTAGGGTGTGGGGTGGTGCAGGGCAGGGCAAGTAAGGCAAGGTTATGGCTGAGCATGCTTGGACAGGGTGTGGTAGGGTGTGATTGGGTGGCAGGTTAGAGGATGTCAAAACAGGTAAGAGTGGGTAAGGATGAGTCAGGGCTGACCATTATGGGCTGTGTTGGGTGGCTCAGGTGGCTCAGGGCAGGACAAGGCAGGGAAATACCTTGATGTTGTGTATGTCTGTGAACTTTAACCTGGCAGGTCTCTTCTGTCTTGGTATGGCAGACTGTCTCTTGTCTGGCCTCAAATATGTCTGAATTCCTGAAGTGAAACATTACACATGAAGACATCATGAAGACATCGTGGGTACAAAGCTGATCCTTCCAGAAAACAGGCATACAGTGTGGAAATCCTGATCAACAAGAGGCAGTGAGAAGCACAAACACTGAACATAGCCTTAACATGGTGAAGGAAGCTCCTACAAATCTCATTATTAACAAGATTAACATATTCTTCGATAAAAATTGTAAACCAAAAGTCACTGTGGTCTTTCAATCTGATTTCACGGTTGCATTCACCTGAAAACATCGAAGCGATGAGAGAAAATCTTGGACATGATTCGTATTCGATTCCCAGAAATTCGCTGCGTATTGATATATACAAACATCACTCACACCATTGTATTGTTATGTCGTCAGCTGTGATGACGTCATTCAAATCATATTGTGACGTACAGTCCGAATGACATCACAAATGAGCAGTTCCAGATGCTACCATGGGAGACAGCCGAAACGGCCGGCTGATGACATTTCACTACTGTACCCATACTTGATGTCAATGAGTGCAGACACAAAAAACATGTGTGGACCTTTTGGTTTACTTTTGTGTTTACAATGTCGATTCCAAATGAATTCCCGTGCTTCAAATACTCAATAACACCCGGAAATTGGCCCACACATGATGTTTATCTCCTAAGAGAAACACAGAATGACAATATCCTGAAAGATGATAACACTGTTGTAATGCTGGAGGCATGAAATGTTAGGATCCTAGAGAATTGAGTTAGGAGCTAGGTAGCATGACACCAAAGTGTAATGTGGTCTAGGGTTGAGGAATGGTTATAACAGATATGAACTATGACGTAACAGGGTTGACAGTGGACAGCATTTGTTTGTATTACAGTTGTAATGACTCACAGAACCACTGTTTACATCAAGTGTGTTTGTTGAGTCATGTTGATCAGTCATAATGCCAGATGGAGATATAATGTTATCGTTATGTTGAAGTAACCTTTATGTGAATATCCTTCTACTTATTGTCAGTGGCAGCTAAATATCGCCATACAAGTAAAATATATCAAGGGGCAAGATTTAAACACATTTGAGAGCAAAATCTGCAGTTTTGCCCCTTTACCGTAAAGCTTCAAACTGTAAGTCTATATATAGAACAGTGAGTGAGTGAGTTTAGTTTTATGCCGCTTTTAGCAATATTCCAGCAATATCATGGTGGGGGACACCAGAAATGGGCTTCACACTTTGTACCCATGTGGGGAATCGAACCCGGCCTTCGGCCTTATATAGAACATTGGTTATTCATTTATCTTGTGAGCTCATTTACTGATTTCACAACACACTTCTTATTATTTTCGGTTACAAAGTCAAGATGAAACAGTATCATTATCATAGAAATGTCACACCTACCGAGTGCCCCAGTGGTGGCACATCCCCACACATATACACGTTCGCTTGTTTGGCATTCTCTGCCGCGTACTGAACCACTCGATCCTTTCTGTCCTCACGTCTCAGTATTTTCTGCTTCCATGTTCCTTTGCAGCGACAGGAAGTCACAACTAGTGCATGCTGGGAGAACAAGTCCGGATGATGTGATACAAACTTCTGTACCACACGAGCCATTCTGCACAATATAAACAGAACATTGATAGTTTCTTTTCATTCTATCACAAGGATACCATATTCATTGAAGTCCAAGTTTTGGGATGCTTGTGAAGCTTTGGAATGTGAAGCTTTCCAATCCTTGGTGTGCTCATCTTGGCAGTGCTTCACCATTTATACATTACATAAAATATGTACATCGTAATATGCAACTGTAATGTGATGTTGTATTGCCTTTCTGAAATGTTCTGCCTTTCTCTGAGCATGTCATCATTATCCCAATTTTTAAGGGGAGCTGCATGATTCAGAAGTGGTGGGTATCTCAACATTTAAGTGAGAGAGTGAGTTTACTTTTATGCCACACTCAGCAATATTCCAGCTATATGGTGGTGGTCTGTAAATAATCAAGTCTGGAAGAGACAATCCAGTGATCAACAGCATGAGCATCGATCTAAGCAATTGGGTCAAACTCTAAAGAACTGCTCCCTGAACAAATATATTCCTGCATTTACATTTGCAGGTTTTATTGAGTATTTCATGCTCTGAATTTTTATTCAAACCGACAGAACATGACAAAGTATGTTCATGGTAAAATATCCTGTCATTCATTTTCCAGGGTCTATATATGATCAATACTATGTAATACTCATCCTCAGCCAGTTCCTCATTTTGTCAGTGAGTTCTTCATCATTGTGAGATTCTAGCCTACCAAACCTACGAAAGCATTGTTAATCTATAAACTGGAGACCCAACATGAGTTGCCATGGTTACCAGACTTTCTGAGACTGACATAGAAGCTATTATCATAACTATTTCATTCCCACTTCCTTATCTGTGAGTATAATTTCACTCAGGTAATAAATACTGTGTAGGGCTATAAAGTATTGTGGGCACTGTAAGCCTTGCTGTCATTCTCTGAAGACTATTAACCTGCCAGTCAGGTGTTGCTCTAGGCTTATACCAACACGTTAACACGCACAAGCTGTGGGGAGTGGAAATGTAGGATTTCCATCTTTAATATTTCTAAAGTTGATGTTGCTGGATGTGTATTTGAATGTCACTTGATAGAGTCTGCTTTTCAGAATGTTGTCATTTTTAACTGATCTTTTATATAATAAATGGTTACCGTTAGAGCATCCGCCCGGAGAGCGGAAGGTCGCTGGTTTGATCCCTGACCGCGTCATATCAAAAGACGTTAAAATATGGTACTTGTTGGTCCCTGCCTGGCGTTCGGCATTAATGGGTACAACAAGGACTGGTCGGCTCGGAGTCAGTATAATGTGTCTGAGTGGGGTATTCATGCTTCACTGTGGCATGGTATCTCAGTGGGCTAGCACTATAAAACCAGCTTAAGTCTGGGCTAGTACAAGCAGCCACACATCCACATACACACGCATGCACGTCGTCATATGAGCGAAATATTCTCAAGCAACGACGTTAAACCCAATTTCACCTCACCTCACCTTATATAATAAATTCACTTTGAAGCATTTATATTGTTTGTGTGTTGGACATGAAACCAGCTGGTCCCAACTGTGTCTGACACCTCACTTGGCAATGTTCCAGATATATGAGGGCAGTCTGTACATATTTCAGTTTGGACCAGACAATCCAGTGATTGACATCATGAGCATCCATTTACGCAGTTGGGATATGATAACTTCCATAAACCAAATTAGCGAGCCTGACCATTTCATCCCATTAGTAGCATCTTATGATAAGAAACTGTTGATGGGAGTAAAATATTACCTGGATCTTAATGGGTTAACTTATTTGTCTGAAGTTAATTACAAATCTAGGATCCTGGAAAAACAGAAATAGGAATTATTTTGCTAAATGAGATAAAAAATAATAATTCAGGATGGGCAGAGACTGGAAACACAGAAAAACACATGGATAACCAAGTTAACTGTGATCATCACAGGTTCCAGACTGGAGCAATACCAGGCTACTCTGACACAGTTGGAATATAGCTGTCTGTGGCATTACACAACATTCACGCACTAACCTTATATCTGTATCTGCCTCCACTACCAGACAGGGTCAGGCAAAGACTAACGCTTAGTCTCTGAATATACATAATTTGATGGTAACAAATAAACCCATTTAAATTGAAAAGCAGCCCCTGTCAGATGGGAAATTCAGAACCTGAGGGAATATAGACTTGCTTCATTTAGGGCTTTAGCATTGCAGGGAGGGCTGTGCAGTAGTGAAAATAATGTGGTTCAGAGACTGTGGGACGGACTAGGTCAGGCATGTCTACCTGGTTTGTCACAAGATATTTATTGTGGATTTAACTTGTGGATGTATGAGTCTAGCCAGACAGTGTTGGAGTGTACTCATGGTGTCACAGCTCTAGTGACCACAAACACATGCTGACAGGCACAGACTCACACATATTCTGGGGTGACTGTCATCAGTTATACCTCACCCAGGGACAAGTTACTGATATATATACACACGTTCCTAATGTTGACATTATCTTCGCAGGTCATGTGTCATAAATGTTATTTAACAACACAAACCCAAAATCTATTTTCTAAACAGTCTGCAACTTAATCCACAAGTCCAGAGCCTGAATCCATTAAAGTTATATTTGTAAAAATAGTTCATAAAATAACATTTAAATGTAATGAAAATTATTCGTAGAGTCAAGTTGAGGCTAGATGCAAGATGCAAAAGTTATCAGAGCAGACTATGTATTTTATGACTGTTCTGTGTTTGAAAACTAAAGACTGACTGAATATGCTAACAGTGGATATAAAGGTTCTACTAGCATGTGAACAGATTTCACTTATGAAATCGCAAATAAGGTGAGACAAAATGGGTTTACTGTTGTGAAAAGATTATTGCAGTAAAACAACAATATGCATGCATGCATACCCTAAGCTCCTATATCCTTGCATCACTGCCTTAGAGTGGAACATGAGGCATGGTAACAATAAGTAGCACCTGTTAACATCTTTGGGCGTGTTGAGCCCAGGGATCCAAACACTGACCTTCTACCTGGCAGGTACTCTTTCTACAAGGTGCTCAGTCATGACCAGGCACACATACAAAATATGTGTACCTATTTCTACATATTTCAGCATGTGCTTCATGCACAGAATGGAATGTGTGACTCTTGTATTATGCAACAGTCAGCAATTTTCAACTGTATGTCAGCCAGGCAAACAACTTGATCACACAATAACAGCATAGCCAAGGCTCCGTGCTTCTGGCTGGATTCAAGAAATGTTTTGTTTTAATGACACCAAATTCCAACCTGCCAAGACTCAAGGGGCCAATTCTAATCCAGAATCTCAACAGAGGAATGAGGAGCCTGTCTCAGTTCCATACCTGGGAACATGTATGCCACACTGGAGCAGGAAATGGTGACCACGATGTGGATCTTAACAAACATTCAAATATCCTCCTTGCAGTAATGATAACCAGATAGTCTTCCAACAATGATTCATGTTTGCTCTTGTCAAGGCTGATCTAGTCACCAGATAGTCCTCCTTTAACAATGATTCATGTTTCCTCTTGGATGGAGTGATCTAGTCACCAGATAGTTCTCCTTTAACAATGATTCATGTTTCCTCATGGCAAGGCTGATCTGCTCACAAGATACTCCTCCTTCAACAATGATTCATGTTTGCTCTTGGCTGGGGTGTTCTGGTCACCAGATAATCTTCCTTCAACAATGATTCATGTTTCCTCATGGCAAGGCTGATCTAGTCACCAGATAGTCCTCCTTCAACAATGATTCATGTTTCCTCATGGCAAGGGTGATCTAGTCACCAGATAGTCCTCCTTCAACAATGATTCATGTTTCCTCTTGGCAAGGCTGATCTGGTCACCAGATAGTCCTCCTTCAACAATGATTCATGTTTCCTCTTGACTGGGGTGATCTGGTCACCAGATAGTCCTCCTTCAACAATGATTCATGTTTCCTCTTGACTGGGGTGATCTGGTCACCAGATAGTCCTCCTTCAACAATGATTCATGTTTCCTCTTGACTGGGGTGATCTGGTCACCAGATAGTCCTCCTTCAACAATGATTCATGTTTCCTCTTGACTGGGGTGATCTGGTCACCAGATAGTCCTCCTTCAACAATGATTCATGCTTCCTCATGGCAAGGCTGATCTGGTCACCAGATAGTCCTCCTTCAACAATGATTCATGTTTCCTCTTGGCTGGGGTGATCTGGTCATCAGATATCTGGTCAGATAGTCCTCCTTCAACAATGATTCATGTTGCCTTGACTGGGGTGATCTGGTCACCAGATAGTCCTCCTTCAACAATGATTCATGCTTCCTCTTGACTGGGGTGATCTGGTCACCAGATAGTCCTCCTTCAACAATGATTCATGCTTCCTCATGGCAAGGCTGATCTAGTCACCAGAAAGTCTTCCTTCAACAATGATTAATGTTTCCTCCTCAAGGCTGATCTAGTCACCAGATAATCTTCCTTTAACAATGATTCATGATCAAGTCACCAGATAGTCCTCCTTTATTCACCTCGTGTGTTTCCTTGAACAATGATTCATGACTCGGGCCATCCGATTGGTGAAAAATAAAATATACTGTTAGTTTTTTTCTGTTTGCTAATGGGCGCAAAATATGAACTTTGCAATATTCCTTCTATTTTGGATGATGTACGGAACAGTAAATTGGTAAGTATAATTTTAGAGGTTATGAAAATGCATTTAATATTGATTCATTTTTAGGAAATTATATTTATAAATATTTGACCTCTAAAAATATTCTTCCCAATTTACTGCTCTGATCACTTGAAAGTCAAGGTCATCTATGGCCGACAAGTGAGTATGTTTGCTGATGATTTTGGAGAAAATGCTTGCTTACTGTCGAGGAAATGATATGAAGTTGCAATAAGTTTTTTAACCCGTGGAATGACGCTGCCGATCGAATCTATCCCCACATAGGTGCTGTCAACGCGGCTGGAATTAATAAAACGAATTTGAAAGGTGAGTTTTCGCTGTCATGGTTGATCCATAATCTTGGCTTGAAATTGTGGAGGTAGCTGTTTTCAGTGAGTTGTGGCGTATAACTTTTGAAACAATGATCCGAGTTTGACCATTTATAGCTCAATTTGTAGGGAAATCATCTGGCTTTCGATTCCTAGGTCTTTGTGGGCCTTACAAATATCAAGGTGGAATCTAACTGTGATCGAGGAGGGTGTGGTTTTGTCGTTACATCCCTTTCCTTTTATATAGTAATAGGGTTTGGTCTATACACTTACATGTCTTTCTAATGCTGTTTCTAAGCGAACCACGCCCCTATGATCATACCTTGTCCTTTGAGTACACAGGTAACATTTTACAGTCAACACAGTATCCCAACAGCATCAAATTATCAGACTAAAATAACCCAGAATGTGTCACTTAATTGCTATTTGATGAAACAACATGTTTCCCAAATATGATAAACCTTCATAATAAGTACATCACATATGTGGTTTCGCATTATTAGACTGTAGATCTGTTTAATGGTGAAGTTTCATCTTCCTGTTGATGTCTATTAATGAGTTGTATATTCGGTAAAACCTTCAGCATTTCTGAACCATACACTGCACTGAAATATTCTCTCCGCGTGTGTGTGGGGGTGTGTGTGGGGTGTGTGTGAGGGTGTGTGGGAGGGTGTGGGGTGTGTGTTTGGTGGGTTAGGGTTAGGGTGAGGGTTTGTGATTGTGTTCCTTTTTCGAGCAAACAGTCTCCAGCAATATCTGGCAGGTGAATGACAACCTTAGTCAAAGATGAAATGTCAATACGGAAAAAACTGTCGTATCACAGACTTGGTCATACCAGAGACCATATATCGGTATATGGTCTCTGGTCATACACCGACGATCCAATACGATAACACTACAGCAGCCTACAGCCTAGCTATTGACGATTGACACACTCAATGTTCACTCACACAAGTGCATAAAAACGGCGTTGTCATCAATTAAAAAAAGTTTACAAGTGCAACATGTTGATTCGCCCTTTAGTTAATGTGGTCAGAATTCAAAATCATGACATACCTTTGTTTTTATACACTAATGAACACGACTGACGACATGTGTTGACCTTTCCATTCACATGTCAATGGGGGCTGACATCTTGGGTTTAACTAAAAACAGGACATTGCAAAAAACCGCAATGGTACCATAATGTATTTGAAAGATTCAAATTGTTATTATATATACATTCCGAAACAATTTGTACAAATACGTTTTATGACATCAAATGAATAATAAACACCCAATTCAACATGTTATCCTTATGTTGTATAAATTATGTTTCGCTTTGTAAAATCATGCTCCGTTCACCTTTTATAACACACTAAACTGATTCTTGGTTTTCTTTGCGCATCGTCAGCTTGCACTAAAGCATACGATGAGACGGGCCCCAGCTTCATAATGTGCACGCATACAATTGTACTTGGTTCCGTCTCTACACTGTATTTAACCAGAACTTGTGGAAATGTCTTTATCATAAAAGGATTAAAAGGGACCATTTTTTGTGTGTGTCATCATTGCATCCATGGTGGAAACAGGAAAGAAAACTTTACTTTTGGTAAATGTATGTAAGCTATTGTTGTGAAATTCTGGTTGAGAGAGAAAGTTGGGAGTATTATGAAACAATTATTTATGTAGACAACAATCGTATGTATGTAATTGTATGTTCGTATGGTGTTGTACATAGCCTTGTACCTAAACTCATTACCCATTCCTCCATTTTTTAAAGGCAGTGCGTACATCTATAATATAATACATTTGTAGCGTTGTATACAATGTGCCGTAGCTAGGTAGCTCTGAAACTTAAATCGTAACCATGCAGCTATAAAGTAGTAATCTTTTCATTTTGAAATTTTCAAAATGGCCACTGCAACGCCTCATTTTACTGCGAATAATCCCCAAGAATTTTCCAGCCAATGTCTTCCCAGAATCCTTAATGGATATAGTGTTTGGTGCTTATTATGAGTGGTGGTATTCAACTGCATAACCAATTCTATCTACACGTAGCAATATGATCAATGTACTTGCCGGAATTTACACACTTAAAGAACTGTCATGATATTCTGGTTTTCGTTTTGGAAAGAGAAAACACTAAGCAGATCATGATATGTCCCAAGATAGCGGTGACAGTGGGGTAGCCTAGTGGTTAAAGCGTCCGCTCGTCACGCCGAAGACCCGGGTTCGATTCCCCACATGGGTACAATGTGTGAAGCCCATTTCTCGTGTCCCCCGCCGTGATATTGCTGGAATATTGCTAAAAAGGGGAGTAAAACCATACTCACTCACTCAATATATTCTACATAGGCCGTACATGAAGTGTATTGATTAATTCATCATTTAAATCAGCAGATTGTATTGTTTTACATGCCGTTTTGTAGCCTGGCTGGACACACACATACCACACCAGGACCATAAACATTGTATTGGTGTCCACACGAGCCTGGGCCTGTGTTGCTATAGGCTTTGTTTTCTCGTGACACTGCTTCAGTTAGAAATTAGAAACATTGTCATAAGCAGCGTGGAATAAGTTGGAAATATGTCAGTACAGAAATTGAATATGGACGATATGAATGGATCAGATTACTATCGTCCGACCCCTCTGTATACAACAAATGTATTTTTGACAAGTAATTACAGGCAGGCAGGTATTCTGGACAAGGTATTACAAGCAGGCAGGTATTCTGGACAAGGTATTACAAGCAGCAGGTATTCTGAACAAGGTATTACAAGCAGACAGGTATTCTGGACAAGGTATTACAAGCAGGCAGGTATTCTGGACAAGGTAATTCAAGCAGGCAGGTATTCTGGACAAGGTTCACTGAACTTCCTTTTGAATATAATGTTTCATTCACGCTGATCGGGATTTAAATTTTGAACCTAGCATTTTAATTGAATTAACTTGACATTAAAAGGCAAAAAGCATATATTCAAAAGTGATGTCAGTTCTTTAAAGAGAGAATTTCAGTACAGTATAATGAAAATGAAGAACGGCCAAGGTGTGTTGTCAGTACAAGTCTTTGACTGTCTGAGAGTGGGCACTGCTGTCAGTCATAGTACTTATCTTCAGCTCTCGTCACCCAGTGTAGAAGACTGTCTCACTTCATCCTCTATGTAGAAGACCGCCTCTTGGTGTATTGTACAGAGCTTGTCATGATATTAGGAGGTCGGTGGTTCAATGTGATGACAAAAGATGTAGGGATGTGGTACTTGTTGTGCCCCTGACTTACACTCGTTTTGAAAGGAAACAAACAAGGACTTACCGCCTTGGAGTCACTATAGTGTGTTTAAGTTAGGATACTTCTTATATACTATAGCTCCACGGCTTTAACATCTGCATGAGTGTGTATTTGTGCAAGCAACCTTACACACGGCACTATTTAAGGAAAGAATTTTGTACACAACATAAAACCCCAATCACCCCATGATGTAATTTATTCCTCAGTAATGTACATTGAGAGTGTTTATAGTGGGCTGTGATAAAGGCCGGCGGTATAGACTGGTAGTTTAGACAATATTAAATACTGCGTACATCGTTAATGCCTGATCAAGTACAGATTTGTTTATATGATATATTTGACATGGGTGCCACATCAATCTGAGTATATATACATGATGTAGGTACTGGGATTATGATCGACGTTTGTGGTTCGCATCACATTTGTAGAGGAAGTCTCACTAGCAGGGTCAAAAGTTTACATTCGGTCAAATGCCCTTAATCAGCAGAACTGTAATATAACAGTATACTCCGGTCATAACGAACTCAAAGGGGCCACAGCCGTCATAGGCATTTCGTCTAAAATATACAGCATGTCCCATGGGAAAACCAATTCGTTATACCCTCCGCCAGTTTGTTGTAAGAGTTCGGTCCGTAAATAATCGAGTCTGGACAGGCAATCCAGTGATTGATATAAGCATCGATCGGCAACATTAGGATTCGATGACATGTGTCAACCAAGTCGGCGATCCTGACCAGCCGATCCCGTTAGTCGGCTCTTACGACATGCATGTGCTGCTGAAGAAGAATTCTAGCCTGGACCTGCATGGTTCTGGAGATACAGAGGACATTCCGTGATTAATTTGGGTAATTCTTTCACTCCGCATGCTCGATAGCACAGTAGGATTGGGACACAACTTACAAACAATCCACAACTGATCCCTAACTAGGTTCGATCGATGCTCGATTAAGTACACACATTCTGGAGGCTCTATATCCATAATATCTCATTGTTGGATGTGAAAAGCAATTGTCCGAACACTCTATTACCTTCCTAGTCAAAAGAATACTCCTACCGTCAATCGATCCCACAGCTGGGTCTGATTGATGCTCGATCATCAAAGGTGGACAGGTGGCAGATTCACCATCGTAGCTCCAAGGCTTTGGACCGCCTCCGTGGTGTATTGGTTAGAGCGTCCGCCCGGAGAGCGGAAGGTCGCGGGTTCGATCCCCAACCGCGTCATATCAAAAGACGTTAAAATATGGTACTTGTTGGTCCCTGCCTGACGCTCGGCATTAATGGGTACAACAAGGGCTGGTCGGCTCGGAGTCAGTATAATGTGTCTGAGTGGGGTATTCATGCTTCACTGCGGTATGGTATCTCAGTGGGCTAGCACTATAAAACCAGCTTAAGTCTGGGCTAGTACAAGCAGCCGCACATACACATACACACGCATGCACGTCGTCATATGAGCGAAATATTCTCAAGCACGACGTTAAACCCAATTTCACCTCACCTCACCTCCAAGGCTTTGGGTTAGGTGGCTGTGCCATATGGGCACATTTACACAAACCGGCCTCAGCGTTAAGACTGTCTTAAGTCATTGTAAGAAAATTCGCAATGCGATCATCGTTGAGCTAAGATCGCTTTGTGCAAGTGGGCCCATCTGGTATATAGGCTGAATCCGCTCCTCATCAGACACATGTACACCCATTTACAGAAATAAGTAACCATGCTAAGTCTCCAGTCTCCTGTTGTTGTCTGTACATGTGTTGGTTGGAAAGTACATTGAACTTCGAATATCACGATGGTGAAGGTGAGATGGGGTGAAATGGGGTGTAACGTCGTACTTAAGAATATTTCGCTCATATGACGACCTGCTTGCGTGTGTATGTGTATGTGCGGCTGCTTGTACGAGCCCAGACTTAAGCTGGTTTTATAGTGCTAGCTCACTGAGATACCATGGCAGTTAAGCATGAATACCCCACTCAGACACGTTAAAGTGACTCCGAGCCGACCAGTCCTTGTACCCATTAATGCCTAGCGCCAGGCAGGGACCAACAAGTACCATGTTTTAACGTCCTTTGGTATGACGCCTCCGGGGATAGAACCCGCGACCTTCCGCTCCCCGGGCGGACGTCCTAATCACTACCCAACCAAGGCGGTTTCGATTATAGCTAGTTTAGATCGTTATAGCCGAACTTCGGTATTTGGATTTCGACTAAAATATACAGAAAGTGTCCGAAACATAACACAATAGTTCGTTATATCTTTCAGTGCGTGTTTGAGTTTGGATTATTGACTAAACAGTACAATGGAACACGCGCTGTATGTAAAGTACGGATATAACGAACTCAAAGGGGCCACTAATTTTTATTCGTTATGATATAAGTTCGTCATATCGCACTTCGACCAAAATAAACAGCAAGTGGCCTTGAGCCCCAAATTGTTCGTTATAAACGTAGTATACTGTAGTTGAAGACATTTTGTTTACAATCAATACTGGCACCCAGTAAATCCAATGTGTCTCATATACACTTATACATATGCTTGTTTTTGTTTGACTGAAACAAAGAACTGTGTTTTGCATACAAAAACGCAAATATTATGGATGGTGAATTCACCTGACGAAGGGGCAAGGAATAGCCCAGAAACGTTGTGGCATACAATAAAGAAGAAGTTGTCATACATAATATTCGCGTTTTACTTGAACACCAACTTCTAAATGCCTCTCAAGAACCCGTGTTTGCATGTTGTGTCGTCGAAGTCCTTTTCACCCATTGCTGTTTTAGTGAACTCTATATGACCAGGCCATGCATTGTGTGAGGAAAAAGCCACGGATACAGACAGATCAGTTTTGAGTTTCACAGTCCATAAATGTAGAGCTCCACAACTTGTTCTCAATAAAACAGACCATCGAAACACACACATTAATGGATCCTAATGAATACACTCAGAGAAGGACATTTGTCCAAGTGAAAATGATTTAAAAAACAAAACTTCTCAGTTCATGTTTGTGTCTCCCTGAAACAATGCTCATAGCTGTAAACCTATCAATCTTGTCTCGAGTCTTTGTCCTGGAAATCGAAAACATCATGTGTTTCTGCCATGCCCAGGGGGAGCAATTTAATTGAATTGCGGCGCACCAAAAGTAAGGAGATTTCATAACTGTCTCGGAACAACCAGAGACCATATAATAGATCTATTATATGGTCTCTGCTGGAACAACACATTGGAAGGGTGTTTATGCTAACTGTCAAAACGGAAAGTATAAGTATCCAGTGAGTCTTGATAATATATAACAGAAGCTCCCTCATACCATTAGTTCGATATAAATACTACCAGGTAAGCATGTTAGTAAAGATTATATTTGCACTGTGACAAATATGGTACACAAGTGCACAGTCTCCAGGTTTACTTTTTGCAATCTTGCGAAAGCGCAGAGAAGATAAATTGCCCAGTCGACTGTTCAAACTGAGCCTAAGAGGTGTCGTGTGCAAATTGATGTGTGGCTTCCGGTATTTTCAACCAGTTGGGCAACAGGGACATCTGAGGTAGTTGGGTAAGCCTTGGATTTAGTGAATTTTTCGAAATTGATCATTTATAAAATCATTAACTTCGCTGTGTGACATACAGTACAGTAATCATGACACATTTTACTGTAGGATTGCCATAGATTGAATTTGTTATTTAGACAGTGGAAAGATAAATGGTTGGACATGCCGTTTAGGGTTGTGTTATTTTTATCGCTTAATGTCACTGACGTACTTACGGCGACATAAGAGATGATTAAACCACTTGCGCGTTAATTTTATGATCAGATATAGAATATTTTATGTCTCACACACGAACCACCTGTACAAATCCCACGGCTTTCGTTTTCTCGTCATGGCGTAATAATAAGGCCATGTCTCCCTAACAATACCTCGATATCAAATAGCTTGAAAACATTAACAATGAGGATATGCGGCTCGCAATAATAAACTCATCTTACTAACTTTCAAATGAGTGAAATCGCTCTGATTGTTTGAACCATCAGTTAATTTTAATTCTGCCAAACTTACGAGTATTATAATTTTATATAAGATCATTGTAATGCTTTGTGTGACTGTTGTGAAACGAATTCTGTTTCAAAGTTATGACAAATAAGTAATTTGTATGTCCAATATAGTTTGTAAATAAAGTCTATTTTATCACCAAAACATGTATTATGATAATGTATTGTCATATTGTTGTAAAGGTTATAAACAAACCTTATTATATGAAATTGAGAGTGTCCCATGAGATGGATATTTCACAATACTGCCCAGTGCATGACACCAAGGGGTAACAAATTGATGTAAGTATCATATTTGTATGATAAATGATTTGAAGGTTGAATATTTTGCCAAGTAACTGTATGGCTACAGATACTACTTTCCGGGTAGCCACTGTAAAAATAAAGAACTCAAGAAGTCAAGGCAATATTTTAGGTAGCCAAACATATTTACAATCATGTTCTAAAAGCATTTGAATAAAATTTCTCTGATAATGTGTAGCCACACATACTTTATTATCATTTCTTGGTTTAAATGTCTTTTCACAACAACCAGTTTTGAGTTACTGGTGCTTTTAATATCCACTATTTGGACGGTTTCCCCATATCTCTATTACCATGATTACTCTGATTGGCTCACAATCATGTCATGTGAGCATTATTATTTTCAAACTTTCTGTCATGATTGTTTTCACTAAAATGTATGTGATTGTTTTTTGTGCCATAATCATGAAATCATAAATGCTAGCAAGAAAAGGGGAATGGTCTGCACACGTTAGAGTTTGGAGACTGAGTGCATTATGCACAGTAACATTATTTGGACTACCTTAATCTTTGCGTCATGGAACAAATACATCTTTGTGGACAACAATATGGGCAGTTATACAGGTTCTGTTGCAGTCAGAAACTGACAATAGAGAAAAGAATGTAGCAAATGTCAGTCAGATTATGTATTTCTGAGTAGAACGTCAGTCTATCATATTGCCCCAGAAAACTGATTACTGACAGTACAGCTAACAATGAGCACTGGATGTAGATGATGTTCATGCTTAACATAGGTGTCAGTGCCACAAAGTGATTTTGTATTTATAGAAAAAATGTTTTCACATATTGATTTTGTGTAGTTGAGATTATGAAGTTATTTTTTGTATGATTTTGTGATCATTTGTTCTGTCTCTTGTATGTTTGACATTTCAAACATTCAAGATGATACGAGGGCTGCAATCGAATACACTTTAAGGCAAATATGATATGTTATATACAGTAATGAATACAGATATTTATTGATTAATACTTTATGGTTAATATCTAGGAATTAAACTAACAAAATTATCATGTAATTACTTAAGTTGAAACATTTCATTGATAATTTCTATAAAACTGAAACAAGGCAATACGTTACAAACAAGGCATCTTATAGCCTAATGACAGTGCCGTTAGGAGGCCACTTCAAAATGGCAAAAGTTACTCTACTGTATGGGTTGGAATTATTACATTTTGCGTATCTCACTTAGATCCACAACAAACTAGTTTCAAGTTCTCTAAAGCATTCATATATATTCGATTCTAGTGACCACAAATAATGAATGAAATTCATGAAAGGATACGGTTCAATTCACCAAGTATGAAGGTGAACCATACAAGATACTAGGTGATATGTGGGAAAAGTTGCTGGAACCTTGGTATTATAGATAATCTGTGTTGGGTGCTTCAAGTCCCTTGTCATTGGCACAGGACATGGAAGATTCATTCACAGTTGTAACAGATAAATTGTATTTTTTTCGCAGCTTGTTGGTTACTGTGCAATCAAAGCCTTTAACGAGCTGTCAACCTTGGTAGGTTTGACCCTGATGCTTTTAAAAGAACACTTTTCTTGTTTGGAAAAGGAAATACAGCTGAGAATAGATCCATAGCAACCTATGCTTGTCGTATGAAGTGATTTACTAAATCGGATGGGTGGTGATTTGGTTGATAGCATTGTTGAACCAACACTGGATCGAATATTCCTTGACATGGCAAATAAGTGATCAGACTGCTAGATGACTGATGACTACTGAAAACCAAATCAACCTGTACTTAGTGAATATCAAAAAGTGTATATTTTCAGATATTAGTTTGTCATTGTAAATTGAAATTTGTCATTGTAACATTTTAGTCAGAGTCAGTTTGAGGAACTATGGCTCGTGGTCAACAAAAGATTCAGTCTCAGCAGAAGAATGCCAAGAAGCTTCAGGATGCCAAGAAGGGCGGCCATGATCAGAAGAAGGCTGCTTTGAAGGCATTGGTGCACACATGCACCGTGTGTAAGGTGGGTAGTACTATGGGTGGTGCAGACATGCACTGTCTGTAAGGTGGTTGGTACTATGGGTGGTGCAGAGATGCACTGTGTGTAAGGTGGGTGGTACTATGGGTGGTGCACACATGCACCGTGTGTAAGGTGGCTGGTACTCTGGTGGTGGTGGTACACATGCAGACACACGTGTGTAAGGTGGGTGGTGGTACATGCACTGTCTGGTGGTCCAAACATGCACCTTGTGTAAGGTGGGTGGTACTACAGGTGGTTCAGACATGCACTGTCTGTAAGGTGGTGGGTACTACGGGTGGTGCAGACATGCACTGTCTGTAAGGTGGTTGGTACTACGGGTGGTTCAGACATGCACTGTCTGTAAGGTGGGTGGTACTACAGGTGGTTCAGACATGCACTGTCTGTAAGGTGGTTGGTACTACGGGTGGTTCAGACATGCACCGTGTGTAAGGTGGGTGGTACTGCACCGCGGGTGGGTGGTGCAGACATGCACCGTGTGTAAGGTGGGTGGTACTCTGGTGGTGGTGCAGACATGCACTGTAAGGTGGGTGGTACTACGGGTGGTTCAGACATGCACCGTCTGTAAGGTGGGTGGTACTACGGGTGGTTCAGACATGCACCGTCTGTAAGGTGGGTGGTACTACAGGTGGTTCAGACATGCACAGTCTGTAAGGTGGGTGGTACTACGGTGGTGCGTGTGTAAGGTGGTGGGTGGTACTACGGGTGGTGTCAGACATGCACCGTGTGTAAAAGGTGGTGCAGACATGCAGACATGCACCGTGTAAGGTGGTGGGTGGTACTACGGGTGGTGCAGACATGCACCGTCTGTAAGGTGTAAGGGGTACTGGTACTGTCAAGGTGGGTGTACCACGGTGGTTCAGACATGCACGTGTGTAAGGTGGGTGGTACATGCGGGTGTGCAGACATGCAGACATGTGTGTAAGGTGGGTGGTACTACTATGCACCGGTGTAAGGTGGTTGGGTGGTGCAGACATGCACCGTGTGTAAGGTGGGTGGTACTACGTGGTGGTGCAGACATGCACCGTGTGTAAGTGTGGTGGTGCACCGTGTGTAAGGTGCCGGTTGGTACTACGTGTGTAAGGTGGTGGCAGACATGCACTGTCTGTAAGGTGGGTGGTACTACAGGTGGTGCAACACATGCACCGTGTGTAAGGTGGGTGGTACTTCACGGGTGGTTCAGACATGCACCGTGTGTAAGGTGGGTAAAGGTGGGTGGTACTATGGGTGGTGCAGACATGCACTGTCTGTAAGGTGGGTGGTACTATGGGTGGTGCACACATGCACTGTCTGTAAGGTGGGTGGTACTACGGGTGGTGCAGACATGCACCGTGTGTAAGGTGGGTGGTACTACGGGTGGTTCAGACATGCACTGTCTGTAAGGTGGGTGGTACTGTAAGGTGGTGTGGTACTACGGGTGGTGCAGACATGCACCGTGTGTAAGGTGGGTGGTACTCACGGGTGGTCCACACATGCACTGTCTGTAAGGTGGGTGGTGGTGGTGCACTGCGCGTCACGTGTAAAGGTAAGGTGGTGGTACTACGGGTGGTGCACACATGCACTGTGTGTAAGGTGGGTGGTGATGTGGATTTAGCAAGGATGGAAGGATACTAAAATACATGGACGGCATCATTTGGGCATAACCACAAGGGTTGAAGGGTAGGATTTGTTTGTGGGCAAAGGTTGCTGGTTAGGGTTTGTATTTGGGAGGGGGGTATGGTTTTGTATGCTGGCAAAGGTGGAGGGGGTACACATTTGACACGGATGGAGTGTTTCAGTTTAACACAAAGTGGAAGGAAGGTCCATTGCAAAATGCATGGTCTGTTTAAGTGACTTCATTGAATGGAGCGTTCGGCCTAAATGGGTGCAACAAGAAGGACTGGTCGGCGCGGAGTCGGGATAATGTGTCTGAGTGGGGTGTTCATGCTTACCTGCGGCATGGTATCTCAGTGAGCTTGCACTATAAAACCAGTTTAAGTCTGGACTAGTCCAAGCAGCCACACATACACATGCATGCATGTCGTCAGAGTGAAATAGTTAATCACTAGATTATCTGGTCCAGACTCGATTATTTACAGACCGCCGCCATATAGCTGGAATAATACTAGTCCTTGTAGACTTCACCAGGGTTGTAAATGTCAAAGATAATGATTCCAAGGTCTTTCTTCTCATGTCAAATTGATATGCTGTAAGAAACCCTCACTCACTCCAAAAAGGTATCTGGTAGAGATCATATAGATCTTTGTAGTAAGGAAGCAAAATAGTGGATCTGGTGTCACATGTCTCTCTATTTCTAGTCCCAGATGCCTGACCCTAAGACTTACAAGCAACATTTTGAGAGCAAACATCCCAAGTCTCCTCTGCCAGATGTACTAAAGGATGAATGACCTAAGGTGAGTGACACAGCCTCATGTAGTAATAGACAGAAATAAGGCATTGTGACCTGACAAGCCCTGAAGATACATTGTTAGCAAGGAACAACAAACATCTGACAGTACCTCGTCTTACGCCGCCTATAAGGAACGCCTCTGCGGTCTACTGGATCATGTGTCTGCATGGAGAGCAGAAAGTGGGGGGGTTTATCTCTTCCTGTCATGCCAAAAGAAGTTAAAAGATGGTCGCACGCTTGCACGCATATTGCCATGTGAATTATTCTTTAACTGCGACATGATTTCACCTACAATTCACCTCACTTCACTGTGGAAACATTAGGTTACTTCTGTGTTTACTGCCGTGTCATTCCATGAAGATTCTGATGTTTTGGGGAATTTGGTTTGAGGTTTTGGAAACAGATACTTTCCTTGATCATCTGGTAGACTTGATCTCCTTAGTATTATGATAAATACTCTTGGTCCATTTGTTACCATATCTTCATTCAGAAAGTGACACGTGACATCTCAAGCTCTTTCAGTAGTAATTGTGCTGAGAATATCTCTTGCCTATGAATGTAATATGTTTGGCCAGCCAATTCTAGTGTTACAAACTTTCTGTAAGATTGGTTTTTATAGGTATTTATCAAAATAGAATGGACGTACATTGGACTATCGAGGCTTGGGGTTGATTAAAATACAAAATTCTACTTAAACAATCATCTACAAGGCCTTGATGGTATTTAGTGGATTTTAGATATTTTGCTGTATATTTATTACCATGGTGAACTGAATAGAGAGGTCAAATTTGGAGTGTTACCAAGGTTACATTTATGACATAGGGCTTCCTTTTGTACAAGGATGAAGAGATTTATGTACTTTTTTAGGTTTATCTGAGTATTTTTCTCTTTTTCCTTTCAGAGTCACCACAAGTGGTATCAATGGATGTGGAGAAATGACATTTTGTCAGATTTAATTTTCTTTGTAGACTTTTACAAGAGATTCAACACAAGCCATTTTTTCAACAGTTGTCAACATTTTCAACAGGTCCATAACAATTTTCTGTATCATGCACTCTTGAGACAATTATGGGGACTTAATTTATGTGTACAAATAAATCATTCTTGTGACCATTATTGTGTTGTTTACACTTGTGGGAATGGAGGCTATCAGCTTTACAGTAGCCTCAGGTGTCAGTATACAAGGTGTAGTACAACAGGGATTTATTCAGACCTGCTAACATTAGGCTGCAGTACAAATTCCAAATTTGAAGTTAAACTTTCCCGATTTGTAATAATTCAAGGAAATAAGAACATTCACATTATCCAATTTTGAACAGAATCACAATTTCTTCCCTATATTATCTGGCCAGGCAGTGTGAAATCCAAGATAAATCCCTGTACAAGCTGCAAGATGGGTCTTCCTTACCTCTTTCATGGACTTGATAAAGGTACGAGCATCTTTACTTAATGACACTGGGTGATAGGTTTACATCTTCCTCACTCCTTCCAGTACCAAAGGCAACCTGCTTGCATGTAACCATTCCATTGGCTTTCGTGATGTCAAAGTACCTGCCCCAGATTTCAGTTAGCCATTTTGATTTGCTATGCTATTAAAGGATCATTCTAATTCAACTTGGTATGAAACACAAGTTCTGATTGGTCAAGGCTATAAATTTCCAACCGTATAACACGCATATACAGTCGCAATTTGAAAACCAAAACCTTTGAATGTATTCCTACACAATTGGGGTAACGCTGTTTTTCAGGGCATTGTCATTTGCAGAAGCCCTTGGCCAATTAACTCCCCTATCCAGCTAAAATGGGTGGAATGGGTGTTAACAAAAGACAAAACAGTATCATAAATTTAATTTTAAGTTCAAACGACTTACTCGCAACAGGCTGTTGACGACCCAACACTGTTAGATCATGAAACAAGATTTATGACGTCATTATGGGGCATGACGTCACCTGCTGTGATGTCATTTGACAACAGAACTGATAATGGTCCGTAGTTGAGGAATCAGCAGGGCGCTCATTTCTGATAACTAGAGAGTGGTTTCATCATAATTCCGTCCATTTTATCTATAACACTATGATTTATTCATCATTGTCAGATTTAGACAGTGTGCACATAATAAACGTGTTGTAGTTTGGAAAGGGATCTACTTTTTCTGGAGATCGTGTAAGTTCAAGGAGTGATATGATTAACCTTTGACCTAGAGGAACTTTGACCTGGTTTAAATAATGAATTTCTTTCACGAAAAAACAGCGTAAAACGAGTTGAATTAGAATGGGGATAACTGTACTGTGTTTGATGAATTGGGGACGTATACCGGTGGTTATATAGGCGCAAATTTAGTTACATTGGCAACGCGTAAGCGGAATTTGCGGCTATATAACCACCAGTATATGTCCCCAATTTGTCAAACAGTACAGTTATCCCCTAAATCACAACGCAAGTTACAATAAAAAAACACTGACTGACGTGCTAAAGAAAGCCCTGAATGTTTTTGATGGAAGGAATGTCTTCATATTAATTAAAACTGGTGGTTGCCCTAAAAGGCAGGTAATTTGAGATTGCGAAAAAAAACCCACTATAAATGGATTCTGGGGTTAGTGTAGGTTTACCAAAATATGAGCCCTTGAGATATAGATTGTGGGTTTAAGTGATGATATTTTTTAAAGTCCTTGTCCATATGTGGACAAACTTAATCGAGTAAAGGTGTTCTGCCATGTTAATTACATATTGAAAGCGATAAAGAATTATGACTATCAAATCAATGTTGTGTCAATGTTTAACAAGCTAAGGTTCTTTGAATATTGCCGTTGGTCTCATTTCAACATGTCACTAGGTCCTTGTGTTCTGTACATATAATTGCATTCAACTCTCTTGAATTATCACTGGAATCATCATCCTAAAAATAGTTGTGGTATTATGACATTTGTTGAAGCTAGCATGAGTGTTTGCTGCTAAGGGCGGTGGGGTACAATGTGTGAAGCCCATTTCTGGTGTCCCCTGCCGTGATGTTGCTGGAATATTGCTAAAAGCGGCGCAAAACCAAACTCAGTAAGTCAGTTTGCTGCTAAACATGATCTAGCATCTGAATTGAATTTGAGGGTTGAGACCATAATACCAGATGTGCACATATACACAAATATAACCATAATCAATCTTATGTCCAACATGAAGCGAAACCTGTGTTGGACATGGGTCAGATTGTACAATGTGGCAGTGAACTCATGAAACACTACTCCACTGCTGACAGGTAACCGAAGCTGGCTAAACCTGATAGGTGGATTGAACTTTATATGGTGGAAGCAAAGGATGCTTTGGACCTGGCCACCCAAATGTTACAAATAAGGAAAGTGCTTGATTATAGCTGCAAGAACTCATTTTGGTCTCTGAAAGAGATTGAATCTCCAAGATGTGCAAGTGTGCATTAATACAAAGTATTTCTGTTACATGTATATTATGTTATAATTGGAAAGAAATTGAGATCAATGACCAGCATGTGCAGTCAAAGGATACAACTCAGAATATGATACAGAAAACACCTGTGGCACCTACTCTTCACACTCATGGGGTACATATTGAAATATTACATTTAGGGAATTCTGAAACCTCATGCTTGGCAACTTCTAGTTGACAGGATGATTGCTGTTTGTATCAATCACTGGATTGTATGGTCCATACTTGGTTATGTACAAACTAGTCATACAGCTGGAATACAGCAGAAGCCATCATTTTTAGAGATGTTGATCTAAGAATGGGTTATCCAACCATTTTGTTTGTTGTTTAATACTTCACACAGATGATCTATGAGTGAGTACGGTTTTACGCTGCTTTTATCAATATTCCAGCAACATCACGGCTGGGGACACCAGAAATGGGCTTCACACATTATACCCATGTGGGGAATTGAACCCGGGCTTTGGGCGTGAAGAGCGAATGCTCTAACCACTGGGCTACAGCGCCACCCCTCTTATGAAATTGGGATATGACTTGTCAATCGTGTTGGCAAACCTAACCATCCGATCCCATTAGTCGCCTCTTACAATCAGAATTCTTACACATGACATGTTAAAAAAAGGACAAATAAGATATTAGTTTATAAACATTTATTGACAATGAATAAAAGCTTCGGGTGGAGTAAGAAGCACACAAATCTACATTATTATCATAGCAACAGTCACATGATACCATTGATACTGCAATGGATAATGTGACAGATTGCCATTAAGCAATGAAATATTAAATACTTTTGCCATGGCAACAAGCATGTCACATGGCACTGTTGTCATAGCAATGAGAGGCAGCACCAAGACTGGACTGTATTAAAGACTAACATAAAACAGTCAAAACCATCTTGTGAAGCACTTGATAAAATATCAAAGCTACATAAAAACATACAAAGGAGATCTGTATAAACGGAACAAATTGGGACCCTCGGTTTGCTTATTTTTCAAATACGCAATGTTACGCTGGTATAAAGATAGAAAAAGCTTGATTGTTGTAATAGGCCCTACGTCTACTTGGAATGTGAGCAGACCTTTCAGGGGACATTCAACAGGCACAGGTGAAAATTCCAGAGCTTGGGGATGTAAAGATTTTCAATTTAAAATACAAAATGGTTACCAATATTCTCCCTTTTGGAATTCTCAAAATAAATCTTAAACACTATTGTACATGTACATGTGAAATGCCTTGGATAATAACAAGATTACTAAAATAATCAATAAATATTATTTCTGAAATGGTTGAGCTTTTGCACTTTCACTACATATATAAAAAACAGCAGGAATATTTTGTAAACTTTGTAAAATTACCAGCAGTGGGGAGAACTGTGGACCCCTATTTCACCATGCACCTATTGTTAACCCAGACATCCCTAATGATATGCGTAGCTGTCCTCACAACCAATCAAAATCTTCCAAACAATGTGAGAATAACAACTGACTTTCATTACACAACCTTCTCCCGACACAAACATATTGCGAAGTCCAGATGTCATTCATTTGCTTCAAGCTCTTATAATCTTAAACTTGCTCAAACTGAAACAAAGGCAAGCCATAGGAAATGACTGATTCACTTCACATTTTGATATTTTAGAAGTAAGGCATCACAAATTATATGAAGTGATGCCCACATAGGCATGAAAAGGTGAAGAAATCTCTGAACATGTCTAGATTATAAGGCTAGTTATTCACAAAAGTGTGCAACTTGACTTTAGTGATGATTCTGTACAATGTTTACATTGAATGCTGTAAGTATGATTTATACAAACTTCGACAAGACACAGAAGGGCATTTTTCAAACAATATTTTCATATGTATCATAAATATAATCAAGTTTTACAAAGGTTAAGTTTGCCACAATGTTTTTGGTCAAATGGAATTTCCTTTTTTTAAAAATAAAATTTTGACTAAAAAATGGGTATTAAAACACTTCCTTAAAAGCTGATTAACTGCTCAGCAAATTCACATGAGGAAATGTGTTACGTTGGGCAAAAGATTGGCAAGTACAGCTCTCTAAAAGGATTAAACCAGATTAAATGACACCTTTAAATTATGTTATCTTAACAGCTGTGATTGCATACCATTCATTGTACTTGACATCAGAGAGGTCCTCAGCTGCCACGCAGTCTACATGATCTGATATGAGAAAAGATATGGGGCTGATTTCAACAGCACAAGTCACACCCATAGAATTAATTTTCTTGTATATAAATATGTACAAATGATCTGGAGATATGTGCAATTACCCATTTTATTAATATTAAGACTCCATGCAAGCATGTTCTCCCGATATTGCTGGAATTGTTCACCTTCGTAATTACTAAAGCATTTGGCAGGGATAGTATAACAATTTACTCTTGAAAAACAAACTGGGTCAAATAGCTTGATCTTTATAAGAGTTGAGGCTGTCAGATCTATGCTTGTCATTCTTGAGCCATTTTTGCATAGTACTGTACGAATTACACATCTCTGAACATCGCAAGCCAGACAAAATGCTTAATGCCACCATGAACACGACAATTACAATCTGGAAGAAACCTTGATGGGGAATTATTTTTTTCAATGATATATTTGTTCAGTCTTTTTCACAAGCTTCTTTCGCCCCCCATGATTTTAAACCATGACCATTTGTGTTAGCCATGTAAATGAAATGGTTCTTGCCTTAAATCTACAATCACAAAAATATATCATTATATAGTAGTCGAATAAAAGTACACAATTAATATTAATCAGCTATGATTTCATTTCTGAACATTAAACAATAGCAACAGATTTCACCCTCCTAGAAATTTGGGTTTGAAAGCAATTTATCAATCATTTCTTAAAAAAATAGTCTAATCTATGTACATCAACATTTAACAAACCTTTCCAATATGAAATAAGTTTCGGAGCCATAACCTTCAAACAATCCTGGGAAAAAGAGGGGGGTGGATTTCAGAGACATTCTCTTGTGATAAGCGGTGGTACAGAGATTCCTTGGGACATGACAAATAGCTAGTATCAGGTGGATCAAAACGGGGTGGATGCGGATTACACGAAATAATTTCCTAAAATTGGGCTATACACAGCAAAAGGCACTGTAAGACTAACTGGGAGCAATGCCACTATACAATATGGCCCATGGGACATGTCAATTTCATTGGCTGTTTTCTGTCTTGGTAATCATATTTGATTGGTCAGTTTGGTGTCATGTGACTGATATGTTCAAATATCTGGCCAGTTTATTATATTGCACAAGACAACACACAACAAAAACAAATCAAGGAATGGTCAGAGAGAAATGCTTCCGTCATGATTATCCTGATGTTCTTATGTCATCTGAATTACCTCCCTTTGACAGATTGGGATTCTGCAATGTTTGATTCACTGATGCAGATGGAAATCAAACCTACAAGTAATCTATACACCAACACAAAACAGTCCATAAATGAACATATACAACCAAACAACATGTTTAAATAAGTACCACTAGAAATTCAAAAGGTACTATAAACAAACTGGATCTGTTTACAAAAAGTGCAGCTTACCTCATTAGGTACAATAATGCCTAGAGCGCTTGTATCTCGGAATGGCAGAAATTGACTTAAGTGCATTACTAAAGGAGTGAGTGATGTCTTTAATGGGCATAGCGCATGTAAGTTCACAATGACTTGTTTGTTATCTGATATATGGTACCTCTTGTTCCCCACTTGCCATACACCACCATTGTGACATTCTGGAAGAGCTAGAGTACATTAATGAAAGGAGACGACTCAATCTGGCACTGATTATTGCATAGATGCCCTTGCAATGTCCACTAGTCATGTGATGCATATCTCAGTCATTTGACCAGCAGTATTAGGCCAACTAAATGAGTGACTAGAAAATATGCAGGTGTTGACAAGAAGTTGACAAAACCGTATAATGTTAGCATGTTAAGTGAAGTGATCTTACCCATAAACTGAAATATGTATAGATACAGGTTAAACATACAGCAACCCTTTTCCAAAGGAAGAACTTCCAAAGCAGAATGTCAGACAAATCACAAAAACAGCAGTTACTAATTGGGAAACTCAAAATCTTACCAAGTAGGCTTTTGGGGGCAAAATAACCCACATAGACATACACCATTCATTTTGTAATGGAATTTTGACAAAAGTCATATTTGAACTTATCAAACAATTTAGCAATTGAAGGAAACTCACAAACACTACTTCAGGTGAATATTGAAGAATGCTTGCAGATTCTTCAAACCAACAGTAGTAGTAAGCAGTTACTTGTTAAAGAAAAGACATTCAGGGAAATTTACCGGACTGCGTAAAATGAATAATGTGTTACAATGGTCATTGGTCATTGGGTGTTTCAACCAATAACAGTAAGCAGTCATTCAGCGTCACTTTGTTGAAGAATAATCAAAGACAATCCAAGACAAAGCCTGCATTGCTTTGGTGAGATCCAAATTGTCATGTTCCTCACTTTGGTCATGGAGGAATGGCAACTGGAACTTCATATACAGACAGTCATTGCAGTAATGATGCCACAGGGACTTGTTAGCTGGTTTGAAGGTGCAAAATCATGTATGGCTTTGAGTGATATAATCAAAATCGGGAAATTCAAATTAATTATGTATGAATGAACTTACAATCTCTCTAAATGACAGATCTGGTATAAAATAGTTTGACAAGAGGACAATTCTCGAATCAATGTTGTAAAGAGTTGCATATGACTAGTAAGTCTCTGATGAACCAGTTTAACAAAGTGACCTAAGTATAATGGCTTTTTTTCATTTTAAATAAGAATCTGTAAGTAGAAAAGTGACATTGAAATTTAGCAGTTTACTGACAGAATCTTTCAGGCTTTTCAAGGGGTCTAATTTGGAGTTGGTTTAACTATAATGACTTAAGGAGCTCTATAACCAGCCTCAAAATCACAGCCTTGCTATTGTAGAAACACTAATCACACTAGCCAAGCATCATTATGATATGCATATACCAAAGATTGCATGCATTTATGAAAATCATAGCACTTATCAGCTGAATATAATATAATTCATCTTTAATTTACAAAGCAAATATACAATTGTGCATGGTAACAGAATTCAGTAACATCTTTGATAATGAAAGATATAGATAAGATAGGTGAAAAAATACCTACCTACTGTCAGTCAAATGGTACTGATTAGGGACTAAATGGATATGTGTTGATGAAAATAACAAGCTACCTGAATATTGAAAAAAAGTTAAGGATACTTTAGAGCTTATAATCATTGGTACTATACAAAATTTACTTCAAAAGGAAATGAAACTGAGCAAATTCAAAACTGATTGTACCAGAACGGTGAATCATTTACAATGCTAAATGTTAGCAAATATCTTATGTCTACAGCTTGATAAATGGAAATAAACTCCTACAGAGAGGGGGACACTACAGCACCAAAACACTTCCATCACCTGGAGAAAGGGGGATAACATGTTGGCTTGTGACTAGAGACTATTTATGCCAACATTGTTTGTGGGAGATTATCAAGGGTACTTGATCTTTCATCATTTCCTATGTACAGGTTGAAAACACACGATTAAAATGAAACTACACTCATCTTGATAACTCCAATCTGTTAAAATACGATAAAACGAAACTCAGCTGACTTCTATTTGTTAATTTTGCATCAAGCAATGGTGACCTAGTCAGGATGTCAGTAAGTGTGATTGCTTGATCTCTTTTTGTTCTGTTTTACCAATGTTAAACATACAATCACCACAGGTACAAGTACGTATATGAAATATTTGTCAAATGTTATATGGGATTTCAATAAAACAAAACAATTCTACATACATATTAAACAATCATGTGGAATACACAAGTCAAAAGGCTGGTCGATGCAAATCTTGTCCACTTGGCTGGACATTGTTTCCGTCATGCTTGGATTCTAAAATAAAGGCCCTTAAAAATACCCTTGTAATATGGGTTACTTTTGTTCAATACATTTGCTATATTGCTCATTATAAGGTGGCAGTTACTTCCCCCATACTGAAATGTTTTCGTGGAGAAAACGGTTTTGATTCGGTACAGGGTGGTGGAGAAGCTTCAAGTGCATTACAATGGTTAAGGGAACTGCATAATGATATCTGAAGGTAATCTGGAAACAAATGCAAGGGGAGGTAACTGCACGGTGGATGCAATGGTTGGGTTTGGCTTTTGGGTGGGACAAAACCAAATTGTGATCTTGGTTAAGTTTCATATGTCCAACAAAAAGTACATAAACTGTAAGTGATGTGAATAACAAGGTTGTTGATAAACCAGCTGCTGTCACAACCTTGGCTAACTGGTATTCTATTTTGACAAACATTGATATGAAAACTTGCATTGTTGGCAGAAATGCCATTCGTAAAGGCTACATTATGGTCACTGATAGAAAAATACTGTGGTCATAACCAGTACAAAGACGTGATATGGTTCTACGAACAAAGCTAGGAACATAATTGAAGTCGTAGCCAGTCTGGGTGTTATGATATTATATTTGATTAATACTTAATATAAATATGCAGTCGAGTATTATGTAGGATGAGGCAGCAAATACTTGATGTTGAAAAACAAATGATCCTAACTTGGAACTGAATGTGGTAAGAATGAACGAATGGTTAAAGTATTGATACCTATGTTTTGTGAACAAGCAGTTTAAGTTACATTGGAGATAACGCATGAAGATAGAGACAGATTTCACGCTAACCCAAACTAGTTAAATGTTGACAACCAAAGATTTCAGAGAACAGAAGATGACAACACAATTATAGAAATAAAACCTTTGTAACAAACATGGTCATGATACTTTGTTAAAACAATTCCCGGCCTTCAAAATATAATAATCATTATCATCACAATATTAAATATGTGTGCATCACACGGAAGGTCAACATTTCATTATATATAAAGTCCATCCATTGAGCACGACATGAGGACTGTGGCACAATTTATACAAGTAACCATGGTAACAATATGTACACATGACTCAGATTTCTATGCCAGCGTTCTCTATCCTAGTCATTTCTGCTCGAGTTGACGTATAAATATCTTACACAAATAACATAGAAACACCAGTCCCAGACATAGTTCACAGCCTAGAAAAGAATGGTAGAGTTGTCTCCTCTTGCGTGACTCCTCAAGCAAAGTACATAACCTTGCAGGTATCGGGATGCACTGTCACAGCACGAGCCATTGATGCTGGATTTCGGTCCTCGCTGTTGTCAGAGTGTCGACTCCCTTCACCGCTGGAAGGAAAAGATATGGAAGATGTTTAATCAGGAACTGTATAATGTAACTTAATTTGATGTGGGATCTTTCCCCCCATATTCAAGAGATATAAATTGTGATGATGCACTGTACCTCTCCTATAGATATGGAGGGGAATCTCCAAATTTGAAAACAATCCATTCAAATGTGTTCAAGTTATTGGTTGAACAAAGATTCCCTGTCCTCTGCCATGATATTTCTGGAACATTGCTTAAAGTGTGGTAGAACCATGCTTGCACACTGTCACAACAGTCAAATGATAATAATGAAGCGTTCAAGATTATTTCACTTATATAGTAATGTAAGGCTGGATAACATTAATGATTATGCACCAATTTATTAAAACTGTCTGGAGTGATGTGGCAAGGAGACTGTACAACAGAACTTCTGCTTTACCAAGTGGAAGTGGTCCATATTTAGTCAATGTGGCAATAAAATTTGTGTCAACTGAGCATTTCACCCTTGGACCAATAAAGGGAGATGAGCCATATTGTTGATCATCTTCATGTGCTAATGTTTTGTAGGTTATGAAAAATGTTGATAACATATCACAATGAAAGAATGAACCACATTGAACATAAGAATGTCTGTAATAATGCTACATGTATATGACAAGCCCTTGGAGGTGTTTCACACTCCCTTAAATGATACATATACAGAACAGTATATTAACTTGAAGCAAAGTCGGTATCTATTCATTCAGGCTTGAACTAATACATTATATACTTGTGCAAAATGAATATTTGATAGAAAATGGTGATTCTATGAAAAAATATATAGTGCAGACCCTTATTTCTAAGGGATTTTTGGTTAGATCTAAGATTCGAAAAATAATTTTGAATAAAGTCAAGTGCAGCTGTTCATAATAATTCAGTTTTCATTAATTTCTGAACATATTCTAGAAACCAAAAGTGACCTGAATACAAAGTAGAAAAAAACAACAAAATTCACATATTCAGTAAATGTCTATAGTTTTGTTTCAGTTGTGAACTGTGTATATTGTTATAGTTCCGAAAGTTTTCATTATCTTATAAGTGCAAACTTCAGCCAGTTCATTTGTCTGACACTAAAATACCTTAACCACAAACTCATTATATTGTCCTCTAAAACAAAGATTGACAGCTAGCAACAGTATTTCTTAAAATGAAAGTGAGATCCTCTACCCCCTGCGTAAGATGACCCCTCTTCAGAGCCCCCTAATTCTAGGTACAAAAAACAAGCCTTACACGTGATGATATACAGTAACATAAATATGTACGAATTGAACTAAATATGATATGGAACATATGTTTAGCCATACTGGTAACAACTCATGTATCAAATCTGATATTTGAAACTAAAATGACAATAATATCCATAAATAGAATGTTTATGCTAGACAAACAGGCCATAAAATAGGCTCAAGTGACTTTCAGTCTGGTGAGCATAAAAATAATAATACATTTGTGGTCTATTAGTATTTTTGTATAAGGGAAGAAATGTTTAAGAACTGATATGAAGAAGCCCATAGGCCACATGGAGGTCTTAATGGTTACAGTCTTTGTGAATAATATTGCAGAAATAGGAGTGTGATTCCATGTGGACCAGGCTATCTCTGTATGTGCAATTCTGAAAACACCATTCCTCACCTACTAGACCTATTTCTGTATAAAAATTGAGAACATGATATGATGATATGTGCCATTGCTAAGGAATGTAAACTGGGTTATAGTGGTTTAATGCTACTTGAAGCAATATTCCAGACATGAGGAAATCTCATGCACATGTAGCTACGGTAAATCATGAAATTAATGGGACAGATATTTTGCAAGTGTCCCTCCCCTGCATTCATTAAGTGATACATATTTATTTGGATATTGTGAATATTCCATACTTGGAATTTCCTGCATTTGATTTTGATTTTAATCACAAGTCAAGCTGTTAAGTTTGTAATAATATCTAATCAAAGTATTACCATCCCATACCATGTCAAGGAATTTATATTTTCGTGTTATCAATGATTATGGTAGGGCTACTCCCATTAATTTAATGAGTGAGTTTGGTTTTACGCCGCACTCAGCAATATTCCAGCTATATGGTGGTGGTCTGTAAATAATAGAGTCTGCATTACTTTAATGACATTTTAGGCCAGGGACCGACACTGGCATAAAATTCACTATTTGCAGCAAGTGACCAACAAGCAGCTCAACTACAAGGCTATCCCAAAACTCAGTATGCAAATAGTACTGAAAGAAAGAGTAAGCAGGCTATGTTTAAACGTTTTGAACAATATTTCACAACTCATGAGCTTGAAGTTTGGTGAGTGAGTGAGTGAGTTTGGTTTTACGCCGCTTTTAGCAATATTCCAGCAATATCACGGCGGGGGACACCAGAAATGGGCTTAACACATTGTACCCATGTGGGGAATCGAACCCGGGTCTTTGGCGTGACGAGCGAACGCTGTAACCACTAGGCTACCCCACCGCCCCCTTGAAGTTTGGAGAGAGTAATCAGCTTTTATTTCTGAACCCCAAGACTGAACACTATCCCGAAAAGTGATAGTAATATCCCATTTATTCAACATTGTACTAGCAGACAAGAACCTGTGTGTGTGTATTGCTAGTGTAAATATGGGTGTGTATGATGTACCTGTCATGTTCCTTCTCCACAAGGTGGTATCTGGCACGGAAGGCAACAAGATGTGCATAGTAGGCAGGTGCAGGGATGGACACACTACGGGTACACCGCACGTAGGTGTGGCACAACTGGTACGTCAGAATCTGCAGTTCATCTGCAGAGAAGTGGTTGACGTCCCACAAAACATGGTAGTGTGACGGTCGACTTGTACCCTGGGCAGGAGAAACATTCACTTGTTAAAACTGATACAGAACTTGCGAAACATATACTTCCAAATGAGAACACTAAAGGCATCTAACTGAAGCCTTAATGCTGGGTGAAAATCAGAACATACTTGAAAACTTTCAGGGACCATTTCTCATATTTGATATATCAATTTAGACTGATGTTAGCACTTAAAAACATTCAATTCTTTCCTTAACATCATGATCGTTACTAAGCACCTAGACATACCTGGATACCTGCATGACTACACAGATAGAAGTCAAACTCTGTAGGATGAGTAATGCCCACGTCCACAGTTGTTCCAGCAGGAATGTTGCCACTGCGCCCTGTCTGGTCCTTTCGGTCAGCACAGAAGAGTCTGGTGTGGTGGCGTTTCTGTACCACAATGAAAGTGATGCCTGGCTGGTAGCCCACCTCAAGCTTCATGCATGCTTCTCGCACAGCTCTCAGTTCATGGCTTAGCACCTGTAAAAGCAACACACGCAATTAATAAAGATCAATAACTATGCACAGCTACGTACCTAAAAATATACCAAACCTGCAACGATTTAAAAAATAAATAATATATATATATAAAAAAATTTTTTATTATGACTGGGAGTGAAATCTCTGAATCTTTTCAGCATCTTTGCATCAAACTGGATGGTGATGTTTTAGTTTCCCTCTTTCACCTGTATGTGTCAAAAGTGTTTTCAATTCGGTGTATTGGCTGAGATATTCCTGGGGTATCATAACTGCTGACTCCCAATATCTTTAACAATACTCTCATGACAAAGATCTTATTGACTTTCCCACATAATTTTGAACACAGGCTGGTCATCATAAGGAAATCATGTCACTATCTTGTAATACTTCATGGAGCAGATTATCTGTTTCAATATTGATTATTTCTCAAGTGCATACAGCAGTTGCTCCATTTCTTCAGGAAAGGCTATTATGAGATTTAGATTCCTTGCTATCTCTAGAATGTAGAGACCAACCAACAGAATGGAAATATCTCAGCAGAAAAAGCAAATACATAAACTTCATTTCCAACTTTACTTCATAAACAATTCGTTAGCTATTGAAAATCACCACAGATGATCAGATATGCATAAACTATTTTTAGTATACATCCTAATTTCCATGTTCTAGAACCTTGTCGACCTTGTTTTTCACTTTATGGCTTTCAGACTTAGTCCCGTTTTGTTAAACTAACCTGTTGGAACTGGCCTTCACTGACACCATCTCTGTAGAAGACAATCCTAGTTGGCTTGAACCTTGTAGACCTGTAGAACTGGATGAGGAGATCCTTCACCATTGTGGGCAGCTCCTGGATGATCTCCTGACGATGCTGCTGCACCCTCACCGCTGCTGAATACCTACTGGGGTGAGCATCCTGGCTCCCTACTACCTATAATGTCAAATACATCAGCATATTGTTATAGCTATTTCACAAGATTACATAAATATACAAGCATAATCATAATTCATTGTGAAATATGGCATATTCATCACAAATGGATTTTATCACCCTTCCAAATATTTAACATTTAAATGTTAGTAGAAACACATTTCATTGTTCCAAAACCTATATCTCGATAACATTTAACACAACACAAGGTATAGAACATATGTTAGTACAAACAATTCATAGTGTTATAAAGCATGTCTCAATAGGATATATCACAAACATTTTCCAAAACTTAAATTTAAATCATGTCCACTATGTTGCCCTGTAGCTCACCTGCACAATAACATCAGAATATATATTGTTTGGGTATAAAATCTAAATCTTCATCAGATTATGTAAGAAACATGACAGAAATATTCCGCATGTTACATGTCCCACATGATTTATGGGATAACTTCATATTTATCACAGCTGTTGAGGCTTCCATGTTGAAAATTTAATGAGAATTCTGTTGCATTGCTTGCTGGCAAAATGTATATGCAATATATGTTACAAGTGAAAAAATGCCAAATATTTTGGATATTCAAAAAGAACAAATAAACAATCCTATCATAACAATTTATGAAATGTTAGTGGCTCTAACATAGACTAAACAGCACTTATAGACTTTTGGCACTGTCATCAGTTGATACTTGGTTTATCATCACAAAGAAGACAAGTTCTTAGGACACAATCTTTGTTTTTGCTATCTAAAGCAGTCAGCAATGTTTGCACCACACAATGGCAGCCTGTAAATAAAGGAGCCTTGGTATGGTGAACCAGGGAATAGAGTGAAGTCTCAAACCATCTAGGTACAATGGCACACAAGTCACCAAGATGCTGAGTCGGACTACCAAATCCAATTTAGCCACTTCTCATGACCAGTAAATGGACCTGAATGCTGAGAGGGATAAAAAAGGATACTGGTAAACTCATTCCTTCCAACAGTTTGAAGAACTTTATTCTGAAGTATCATTAACAAAGCAAGCCGTTTCAGAGTCTGCACATGACAAAATCAAATTGACCTATTGAAAAACCTTCTGATGTACAGCTCAATTTGTAGGAATTCATTAGTTGGGTTTGCTTTGACAATGGAACAAAACTATCCAGCCAATATTATGTTTTTCTGTTATTTTGCTATTCCATCTCCAAAAATGAAAACATAATGAAAATAATAACTTGAAGCAGAAATGCAATCATGGTGATCACTCTTATAATCAGCCAATCTCACGGAAAATATTTCACTTTGGGGAAAATGCAAAGATCTGACATCTGGGAATTTGACAGACTACTGTTAATGTTACTACTGACCAACATTGAATGATTAGTTGATAAAAAGAGATCAGCAGTCAATGAATTCAGACTGTCATTGAAACGCAGCATTAAGAGTACATGCATTTCCCCACTACATACCCACCTGTGATGACTAGAAACACCATTAGTGGGGACACACAAGTTTAGTACAACACCCTGACAACATTGGCAGATGTCTACTCTACGGGGACGACTTACGGCAGCAATGGAAGGTTTCGAACAGTCTCCTGCAGGTGGGTGTGTTACATCAGCACCCAGGAAAATGATTGGCTCCCGAAACACGCTAGGGCTGAAACAAAGAGGTGCATAATTGCAATCTACTAATCTCCATCAGACACCAGCCTCATATCAAGACCGACACAGACTGCAGACACTTTTCGGCTCAGCTCTTCTCATTGAGGAATACATCTTAATTCATTTCACCCTTTTCCTAAAGCTGAAACATGAAGCTTGAGAAAATATTCAGCATGCTTTGCAGTGACTATCCACCCTTAGAATCTTTATTTAGGGGAGAATACCAAACTTGATCAAAGTGTTCAACCATAATTTTGAGGCATATTGCATATCCAAATCCATGTGTTCACACAGAAAAAAGGGGGCATGTCCTTCAAAACATAGCTATAGTGTGGTTCCCTGATAATGTTCCTTGTGGAAGCCGAGAATACTGTCATTGTCTAGTGCCAGTTATTGATAGAGTTGATGTCCGATGATAAGCAGGCAAGTCATGAGACTTACTGCAGCAATGGAAGGACGTGTTCGGTCGCCCGCTGGGGGATGTGTCACACTGGCACCAACAAAAATAACCGGCTGGAGAAATACTTTGGGTCTGCAAAACAACACTCTTTAAACAAGTCGTTGTTATTAACTGCAGTGTGTTTGAGGCTAACAACATCTTGTTGTTCCATGTCCAACACACTTCTGGTTAGTGAGTGGAAAGTATGCTTGATAATGTTTGTCAGTGAAGAGTTTGGGGGCAGACAATACGTGGGCATTCACAGCTGCATGCTCATTTCATATTCAGTTTGGGAAATGTACATGTCGTCATTCACAAAGCACTAAAGTTTAGTACACATCAATGAATGATTAGGCAGCATTTGATAAAATATATACCATTTAGTAATAAAACTTTATTTCGGCATTACTAGCATTTTCTATATAGTACATATACATTATGAAACATTTAAGAACTATGTTAATTGACACAAAATTCATAAAACTATAACTATTGAATTGAATCTAATGTAGTTGAAACAGTATTTCAAGTGTATCACAGCATCAAAATGTTACAAATGTTTTTTTTATCACTTAAAATTGACCTTTTTCAGAACATTGTTTTCCTTTTGCCTGAAAGTGCATAATGTTTGATAGTTGTTTAGAAGAGTGAACCAGGCATGCCTACATTGATCAATGATCATACCATGCTGAATGAATGATTAAGCATTTACAGATGAACTTCTGTCCTAAACTCACCAAAAGCATTTAAATTTACCATCAGTACCACACAAGAATATTCTTGGAGGTAATTGATCTATTCAAATGGAAATGAAAACTCAGTTCTGGACAGAAATTCAAAGCATATGAATATCAATGTGCTGCTTCCGTCAAAGAAAGAATGACAAATGTTTGACTTTTGTTTCATTGATTCATGTCCATGCAAAGTTTGTCAACGAAAAGGGAAGCAGTACACAGAATACAGCCAAATTATCCTCAAGCTTGTATGCTTGTCACAAAGAAAATGATGAAATTATCCTCCAAACTGCATGAATTCCATGTATGTTCAACTGAGGACAAGTTGACTGTAGGAAGAAGACATAAAAAGTTCATACTTACCGAATACTTGGCAGGAGGATACTGTTAATGCCACCTAGTTTGACGTTGATCTTGAGGCAGAGATTGGACAGAGTCTGTGGGGATGTCTTGTTGACATTCTTAGCCTGCACACATTGTGTGGCCAGGCCAAACAGAATGTCTCCAACACGCTTTACCTCAGCTGTAATAGGTTAAATGTTTGTGGGTCATGGTTTGAAAAGCTGGCATTGCAGCTATCTTGCAACACTCCCGCAAAGCTACAGCTGTGCACAAAAGCAAACAACTTTACATCTGAACATATGGCTTCCCACAGAAGGCTTGGTAACAAGCCGTTACTTTTTGCAACAAACGTTAAAGCTTCAAAACCCAATGACAAGGCTGTGTCAGTACTATTATTAAGGAACAGGGTTTAAATAAAACTAAAACTGCACATTTTTTAAGAAAAAGTAGACTGACTAAAACTGCACATATTAGTAGATTGAAGATGACATTTTAAAACAAGTTCATTTATAGAAATGCATATAATTTATATTCATTTATCCACATGACATGACATTTTATAAGAAGACAGACTGACTGACTGAGTTTGGTTTTACTCCGCTTTTAGCAATATTCCAGCAATATCACGGCAGGGGACACCAGAAATGGGCTTAACACATTGTGCCCATGTGGGGAATAGAACCCGGGTCTTCGGGTAGCCATGTAAGCACCATTGCCTTAAACAAAACATCTAATTGATATGGTTTTAATAGTACATTAAAAAACTGAACATGATGAAAGGTATTTGTATGTATTTGTATGTTCTGCACAACAGAGCTGGTACCTAAACAAGTTTGTAAGGAAATGAACAAAATCGAATCTGAAAGACATCCTCCTTACCATAAACAGGTGTTTTGCCAGGTAATACAACCACTATGAGCTGTAATCCCTGGTATGTGTTTTTCAGATATCGGAACATTGGTTCCACCTGGTCAGGACCAGTGGCGTACTTGCAGAAGCATGGCTGTCCCATGATAGGCATTCCTGCGTCATTTGATATACGCTGGAGTTGAGATGTGAAATTTCTGCAAAACAGATGTGTGATTATCACTCAGGTGTAGGTATTGGCACAACCTCTTAAAAGGGATAAATATTAATCAGTGTAGATATCTAGCAATTTTCAAAAATTAATAAGGCTGAAACAAATATACTGTGACTTGACCAACATTTACTGGCAAACAAGGATAAGTTGGGCACCGACCTGACAATTGACCCATATTAGCATGTATGAGTGCCTCCAACTGGCGCTTGCCATTGTTAGCGAAGGGGCCTCAGGTTGTCCACGATCAAGTGTAGTGCGACTTGCTACACCGACGTGAGAGTCTTATGAGCAAGGCGTGTGCAGCAACACGTGGAATCAATTAGTACATAGTACCAGTAGTACATAATACACAATTTCAGTGGAAGTTGTCAGAATATCTGAACTTAGCAATATTAAAGTTATACAATGACAGTCATATATATTCCAGTTTGGACAAAATCCAGGGACTGACCACATGAGCATCAATCATCGCCAATAGGATACAACTACATGCACCAGTGAAGTGGGCCAGCCTCACCACTCAAACCCCTTACTTCATACTAAGTGCTTGGATCTCACTGAAGTATATACTATATATTTCATGATTATATATACCTATATAATCTTGTTACAAATCATGTACTCTGGATCAAACACAAAGTACCCAAACATTCTTTACAAAATGTTTTCAAATAAAAATGTTACCTTAGTGCATCTTCTCGGACTGTTCTTTGAGGGGCAAAGCAAGCAATTGCCCACACCCTTATCTCAATGCCGCTGTAGAACTGTTTGCCCCTCATGTCCCAGACTCCCTGGTTTGGCACAGCCTGAGCTTTGGTCTGTACAACAGAGTGTGGGGGTTAGACACTGTACACTACCACAGAGGAATAACTCTGTAAAGGTGGCTGTAGGCAGTTTTTATGTCAAATCATTTCTGGTTTACTGTTTTCAGGAATAATTACTATTTCAAGCCATCAAGATCATCGGAGCTTAACCTCATAAAAGCTTCAAAATTGGAATAATGATTCCACTTGAAAAAAATTCCCCTCAACATCAAGCCACATGTTGAGGCAAAAAAAGTGCCCAAAACAAATATCCTATTTAAAACGTTCAAGCTCGTCCACAAATTCCATCAGCCACCTTGACATTAACACTGGACAACTGACTAAATTTATCAACAGAACTACAGAATATTTAACAGAATATTAACTTTCACTTTTAGCTCAAAAGGTTATGTTCATTTAAAAGCATTAATTTTAAACAGCATAACTACTAATTAAATCAAATACATGCAAATGATTAATTATTAATAAAGCAAATACAATGCAAACTAAATCAAGCATATATTGTCTTTATATTGCCTCCAACTGTCCAGAAAATTCTAGACTGTAACTCATTGGGTTTGATTTTATTTCTCCTTTATAAAGCATATTTAATAGGATTCTGTAGGCATGTGCAAGCAATAACTGTTTATCCAGTTTGGTTGGTTGTTTCACTATTCTGTATCTTGTGGCATGCATGCTTGGCGATAGAGAAGTCAAGATGGACTCCAGCATTTGTCTTCCGTGTCGTCCTCCTTACCCGGCCTCCATATTGTAATTTCGGTGGATTGAGTACTCTCCCTTGAACATCGACCATGGTGGGATTAATGTTGATGCCGAAAGTTTGAAGGTAGGTGTCAGCCATGAAATTAGCTTTCCGAACCTGAGCAATCAGATGGGGTAATAATTTTGGTAAAAAAATAGGGAGGCATTAGACAACACACGCCCTGCATAAACAACCAACAAGGACTTTACACAAACCTCATGTCCAACTTGTCTTCATAAATCATAACACAGGTGCAATGACTGCTGGACCCATATTCCGCAAAGTGATTTTAGTACTACAAGCAAATTAAGTCTATGTTAAAGAATAGGCACTGAAGGGATGTAGCACCAAGTTTCCTTTGCGGAACAGGATCCAGTTGAAGACAACAGTTGGGTTTTGATGGTTCACCCTGTTTGCATAATGTTCTTGATGGTTTGTGTTAGGCATGTAGGGAGAAGGTTTGGCCTACCCGTCCGCCATACTGTAACTTAGGAGGCGTGAGGATGCGACCTTTGACGTCGGTCATTTCATACTGAACTGTGACCCCAAAGGTTTGTAGGTAGGGATCATTGTTGAAGTCCGCCTTATAAACCTGGTGGGAACACCGTCAGACATACATTCCCTCTATCATGCTTGGTAATACAAACAATTCACATCCGCAGCCCCAGTTATGTACTGTGCATTCGTTTCCTTTTTTTCTTTGACACTTTCTATGACTCCTTTCATTTTGATTTGAGACAGTCATCCAACTGTGTTTTGAAAAAGATACTGATCGATCATTACTGTCGAAAATGAGTGGTTCAATTTTGGATAAAACTGCAAGAATGATACATGTAACATGATAGAGGGATATTACAATCAATAGTCAATCACTCTCGCTCTCTGCAGCATATAAATGAGAAATCACTTTCCTCAGATTTGTTTTCACTAATTATGAATTTGCAATACAACTATGGACAATATATGATTCTTGTCAATATACATTACATTGCAGCATTTGAAAAATGGAGTCTCCTGACAATACTTTTAACATGTTAGTGAATAAATTTCAGCAGATACTAAAGAAGATTTTAATAAACCCAAACATTTTGAAATCTTGACCATAATTTTATGTTTACAAGAAATGCAGAGTTCACACACACTTTCATTCCAGAAATATAAAAAGATGAGAATTAAACAAATACTAAGATATTCTGAAATGAAACATGACAAATCTGAATTTTTCAAATTGAACTAATTTCAATCTTATTAAAACTTTGAATGTTAAGTTCATGTTATGCTCTTAAAACATCCTTCAAAATGGAATATGCAGCCATATTGTGTTCAATGAAAACAATCATCTCTTAAAGGTTTGATTAATGTAATGAATGAAGTCTCTTAGATTCATGTACGGATTCTATATATGTTTACATACACCAGAACACAAATACATTTACAGTGTTGGCAAGTCAGAAAATATGCAGACTGATAATACTTTACAAAATGTATGCATTTAGAACAACTCACAAGACTGTTGATTTCCTTCTCCCTGTCGGGTGCAGAACGAGCTGTAGCCTGAAGGGCAACACAAACATGTTAGTGAATAGATTATATCACATTTGAGTTCTATATCATATCTAACTGCCGACATTAGTGCCAAATAGTACTTTTTATCACATCCAACAGATCATCACAGAACAATATGTAACAACTATGCTGGGATTATGGATTACAGTTGGTTTCCAGTTCATGGCTCAGTTGTAATCAATGGTTTACCTAGTTTAAACTTGGTTATTTATAAACTGCCATCATACACTTGGACTGAGTTCAGCATAAACAAATAAAAAATTGTGAATTACTGAATAGCAAGAAGATGAATGTTTGCATAAACTGTAAAGTGCTGTTGTCTTGAATATTTCTTCAATCTCTTAAAGTCTTAAGAAGCATTATTAAACTGTTTTAAACTACTCTTGCTGAAGTACATAGAACCCACTGATATCACTAGTAATACAAGGATGTACCGTTTCCCTTTGATGTTTCCCATAAAGAACTCATAGGATACCACAATACAGCATTCATAAGCTATTTTCTTTAGACACTGATGATCAAGTGCTTATTGAATATTAATATATAAATATCAGCATCAGCTGAACATATTTACAAGATCTGTGATATCAGAAGATTACAAATGAAGTAATTGTCGAAAACATTCAAATTTTCTTGTGTATAAAGCACAAGTGAGTATCATGTGCACCCATTTATCCTCGCGTTGAGTTTGGGGAAACACCTTATTTTTATGTGATAGTCAAAAACTACATCGTATCGCTTCAGGTAAAGGAACAGAGGATAAATTTGGTCAGTGAAAAAGTAAAACAATTCAATTAAAACTTAGGTTGACAGGATGATTTACAATATCAGCTGTATTTACTGTTGTGCAATGCATTTTTTTCAAATAGAGATATCAAGATTATTAAAAGTAATTTTCTCATGAAATAAGCCAGATATAGTTCACAGATTTACACACATTCAGTGTTCTGCATCTGAATCAGTTACAAACCACCTATTATAGTAACTGAAAAACATTTTCACGTAATATTCAGAAGAAAGTATATCTGAAACTATCATTTCAACAGTAATTAATATATATCAGTCCTTTGGTCTAATGCTGGTTAGCATTTACAATGGAAGAGATTGATGAATCATAGTTCGACAAGCTTTTCTGTATGTTTTATGTTGAACAGTATTATTTTTCCTTTGGGTAGGAAAATAATCCCAACTCATTGTGTGTACACATCACTCACCAAGAAGGGCCCACAAGAAAATATGGTATATAAACAATATGGCATGTTTGACTAACTTTAGAATCCTACTAAGGAACTGCTGTAATATGGAAACAAAGCATAAGAAAACAAAAGGCATGAGAATGCACATATGGCCACACAATAACAGTGCCATTTTCTCGACATTCTCATTCCTATATAGCAACACACGCATGAGGCAATTAAACTCACTAGGCTGTGAAGCGAAAACAGACACACAAAGCATGTGCATCACTGACACACCTCAAAACAAACTCTACAAAAATACTTATCCAAGACAAATAATTTGGGCAAGATGGCTATCCAAGGACCTGGCAGGGTTGGAGCTAGCACCAGGTTCAAATAAGGTATTGCTACATACAGCATGCCAACTGAGGCATGTGGAAAACATGTTTCTTGTCCATGTTCAGAATGGTTATGTCTACAGTTTTGATGCAAACAAATAAAAACAAAACAAAACAAAAAAACAACCAAGATGCACCAAATACTATGGAGACATAGTATTGTGGATACTATTCCAACAACTACAGACTTAATGCACTGTGAAGACCTAGTGTCTTGCCTGAGTGGAACATAGCAACTGTGCTGCTTCTTCCCAAGTGTTGCAGCTACCCAGCACACCTCACACACAGACATAATATCAGAACCAATGGGTAGACATTAAGGAATGAGGCTATATAGCATGAGACAACAAACAGTACTTTCCTGATAACAATGGAAAGATGGTCATGGTATGCTATTTCAGAAAGGAATCACAGATAGATAAGGACCACAAAGGATATTCCAGACACTGTCCTAAAACTATATACTATTATACTGTCAAAAACAAAACATTTGTCAAGATATGAAGTGATCATTGGCAGTAAACCGAGTGATGGTTGATTGCCTCATGTGTATGCTGTAGATAGACAACAACTTATTTGAGAAACCTTGATCATGGTTGAAGTCTGCAGATCAGTCAGTTTCTTGATACACCTCTGGCCACCCACGATATTGCATACCTGGAAAAGATTCACTTCATGAAGATCATATAGAAGTGAATACAAACATTAGTATCAGACAATGTTGCAGGATTATAACTATCCTGCCACTAAGGGACAAACATGGTAATCTTTAAACCCTACAATCACTGTATACCTGCGGTCATACTAGAGTTAAATTTTTTTGTTTTCCTGTATGTTTAAGAGACAAGTTATTGCCTGAACAAAAATTCCCATGGGTGTTTTAAAGTTCAAAATATGTAAATTGATGCAAATCTATAAAAAATTAGAAAAATCTGAACCAAACTTTGCACTGCACCTCTTCTTAAGACAAAGAAGTTGTTGTTCTAATTCAGAATTTATCTTAGCCTGACAACCTATTTGACTTCCAGCATTAATGACAAAGAGCGTCTAACAGAGACAAGAGATGTATTTAGAAAACTGGGAAGAAAATAACTGCCAGAGCAACATAGTATGCAGTCATGTTTTACATTGTGTGTTCCAAGGTAACCTTGATATTCAAGGTCAGTTAAATGCTAAAACTAGATAAAACTCTGCAGTCAATGAAGTCTGATTTGGTTTTACAGGAGTAACAATTCATTCATATTTAAAGAATCAGACCCAGTTTGATTATCATTGCAGTCCACACAGCAGATAAACTCACTTCTAGAGGGAGGTAGGTGTGTTTCTGTTCCTGTCCTACTTGCAGGCAAGGTAAATGGGGGTACCTGCAATGCATACAAACCACAATTCACATATGTTCATCTCTATAGTACCACATTGATTCCATAAGGCAAACACTTGACTCACTTTAAACTTATGCATACACTTTCCAACTCACAGTAATTTAGACAAGTTAGATTTGATTTGGTTGAGTTGTCATTTAATGCCGCACTCAACAATATTCCAGCTATATGGCGGCAGTCTGTAAGTAATCAAGTCTGGACCAGACAATTGTTATTGTTATGAGAGTGTGTATTTTTGTAATTTGTAATAACATTGATTCTGTGATAGTTATTATAGGTCACAATGATTAAAGTTTTGAGTGTGGGTTGCGGCTCACATCTTGCATCATGTATGTTCAATGGCAATAGTATTTTTCAGTGGTACTCCTTTTTGATAGCGCTTCAAAGTTGCCTCCCTTGGCTTTATTTTGTTTTGACTTCTGGTCGTATGTTTGAGAAAATCGCCTAATGTTCTGAGTGGATAGTGATCCTGCCTACCTTTACTAGAATGCTTGAGAACTGTGTAAGAGGGATATAAAGGCTGGTTGTTGCGCTGTGCAGCGGGACTAACACACAGACTTTATTACATGAGAGGATTTGTGTACATCTGACCGTGCTCGTCTATATTCAACACATGTCATTGTAAACAACCTTCAATCAGTATATCTGCTCTCACTGTAAATGTCAAGACTCTGTTGACTTGATATCTTATATTTGTGACCCAATATTATAGATTTGTGACTCAATTGCATTGTACTAGATATCTGTATTGTCATTCCTTGTAGCTTTCTCATTTTTTGTTCAATATATTATTGAATATTTTATACTTGTCTGTGTTCTATTTTGCTAGTTCAAAGGGGACTCAAACCTTTTGTCACTGCAATTTATTAACCGTAACAGTCCAGTGATCAACAGCATGAGCATCAATCTACGTAATTGGGATACGATGACGTGTCAACCATGTCAGTGAGGAAGGTACCAATGTTGACTTCACGTTGGCATGCAACCATTCTTTACATGTGACAGTTTGCCAAAATGATTTGATGCATGAACAGGAAGACTGGTCATGTCATGTGCCACCAAAATTACAGCGAGCAAACTGAGAGGTTATTGGTAATGTCCACTTACTGCAGTCTCATTTTGTATCTCTCCATGAAGTACCTGGCCACAGTACACTCAATAGTCTGTCCAGAGTCCAGCTGTAGAGGGAACCTGCAACACAAGCACATACACTGTATGCCTGAACCCTTCACAAACCAAACTCGGTACACAGGTGTCAGTTCCATGTTTACTTACCAGTTCTTGCTGCACCAGTTGCTATATGGCTGAAATAAAGCTGTTGTGAAACAAGACTCACTCACACAGCACAACATTCTGTATCTGCTTCCATTACATCTGCATAACCCTTACTATATTCACTGGGGTTTTACAAAATTTAAGCAGGAATGAAATTAACCTTCCATTAGACCCATTCTTGAGTAGTCTTTTTCACAAGAAGTTACTGTAGAATGAGAGCAAAACATAAGACTCTAAATGGTAGGTATGGTGTTTTTAACCTTATGGGTACAAAGGAAAATGAACTGAGTAGGAAAATAACTGATGAATATCGATCAGGGAGTGTCGCCAGGAGTGAAATCCACCTGTTCACTTCACTTTTATCAAAACATAACGTACATTTTGTTTCATACAAGTGCACTAATTTACATTTGGGAGTGGCAGAATGCCCAAAATTCTCAGTGAAATATTATTCCTCATAATTTATATATCTTTATCCACCATTTTATAATGTTTAATAAACTCTTCATCAAAATGAAAAAACTTTTCTGAATAAATATCCTTCTCCAAGAAATATAAATCTATAAAGTTTTAAGGAACTCTCAACATTCAATCTGTATCAAACCAGACCTCAAGAGTGGTATTCACACATTCTATAATGGAAGAACCATCCAACAGAATCAGACCATTCCTATAACAGAAAAAAACATAATGTAGAATTTCAGTTTACCAATGTTGCCTATTTGGTAAATCCTCAACTTACGACTGTGTCTGAGCAGGTCTTCTTGTGACATTACAAACTCTGTACTTCCTCCTCATGGTGCCACAGTGGGTGATCTCTACCTTCAGACCTGTGCCAAAGCCAACAGTTTTCAATTGTAAGTTGCAGGTATATATCTCAGACTTACAAGAATGATATACATCATTCCTAACAGTACATTCTGACAGCTAAAGGTTCACAAAACGTATCAAGTCTACTCTAACAACCAAAAAATAATAATATAAAATGACCTCAATTTGCCATAACATGCCTTCAAGTACAAAAAGAATCTGAAAAATAAATGTTCATACAATCTACGCCCATACATGCCAAAACAAAATTAACTGGGGTGCAAAGTACTGGGATAAAGAATTTCAACAAACGGTAGGCACGTTCAAGGAAAAAGTTTTGCAATAGGATTGTGGAAGTCAAGTTGCAGTATTAGTAAACTTGGCATCCGAAAATAAGTAAAACCAACTGTAGGTGCTGTAAAATTTTGATAATGTTAGTACTTTTACCGAAACAAAAGAGTTGGGAACAATGAGCTTTAGCATTCCCTTCGTCAAAGATAAAGTGATACCTTTGATTTCTTTGGTGAATTTGACACGTTGTGAATCAGTGAGGGGCCTTTTTTGTTCTCCGATATCTTGAATGTCGAGCACCTCACACATGAACTCAATGACGGGTTGAGCCTTGTAGAAGGCAGTAGCAGAGACTGGTAAACAAACACAAAGTGTGGTTATATAGGTCAATATGTGTTGGTCTTTCAAAATTATGAGAGTTACTGACTACAGTGACCCCATATGAATCTTGAAATTGTGAAAACAGCCATTTACTTCTATGTAAATAATACTTCTCAGTAAATAACACACCCTTGCGAGGCGTTACATCATGCAAGGGGACTTACTGGCTTATTCTATAATTTAAAATGGACATATGGTAAATACAGGAATAAATCTTTGACCTGTCACATAATATTAAGTGAGAGCTTAGATGGTCCACCTGGCTTGTTAGGATGAGAGACTCCTGACATCACAAAATGCACTTCCTGACAACATACCATCTATATTGAGCATCATCTTCCAGTGGGATGGACGTACACTCTGATGGAAACCAAACCACACCTCTCGACCACCACCCAGTGGGTGTTCATACCCTTCTGGAGGGGAGAAGAATGACCTTCCTACGGGTGTATATCTGTGGGTTAGAACAAAACGTGAAGTCAGTCAGTTTCAAAAGCCTTAAAAAAGTAATCATTTTAATCCACAGAAAATCTTCATGTCTTGCAGTAACTCTCAAAGGCATAAAGCTGATTCTGTAGCATCTCCACAAAGTAGCAGGGAAAAGAAGATAACCTAACCCCCTTCCACCCCAAGACATGAAACAATAAAACACTGAAATTTACCCATACTATACTATTTAAGTGTAAAATTCCCATCCTTGGCAACATTTAAGTCATGTTTGAGTTTATTACAGATCTCATAAAATGACTTTAACATCTGAAACCCATCTTGCATACATAAATATTTTCACAATTCCCTGAATATATTCATAATACAATTAATACTACTACCAATAGCAGCCTAGTAAAAATGGTACTTACTTCATGCTTGGTAGGTGTCTCATGACGACATCGAGGGCCTGTATGGCATCAAGGGGTATCTGCTGTGTGCGTCCCTCCAGGGCCTCCTCCAGTAGATAGAGACTCACCTGGGCTACCCACTTGATGGCCACCTTGAACACTCTGTCTCGACCCTCACCTGGAAGTGTTACCTCCAGCTCCACCTGGACAATAAGTTAGTGTGATCATTCATGCCTTAAAGAATGAATTAATCCTAGGGTGTCGCAAGGTGCATGAAATGATTTTTTCCTTCAAAAAGTGGAGAAGTATTTTTTAAATAGTAGTCAAGCATGGAACGAGTCGAGTTCTGAAAAATAAAACCCTTAGCACCAAAAGAAGAATTTGGTAGTTATAGTAACATGGTCCGGGTTAGATGACATCTTGAAAGCAGTGTTAAAACAAAATTTGTGCAACACTTTATGGAAGAAACATGTTATATTTAGGATTACACTTCCTAAGCAACAAGTGTAGGGACCACTCTCCAAAAGGCACTGAATATTCAGTATACACACGTACAGATTAATATCGTTCTTCAAACTGTTTAGTCTCTTTTAAACAAAGAGATATTCACAATATAGAGGATACTAAATGACCTTCTGTGTAATACCATTTTTATTAAAGGAGTTAATGATTTGGTATCCAACGAGTGAAAGCAAGTTTGATACTAAATCTTGCATGAGTTTGATAAAAATGGTATTTCACGGAAGCGAGTTTAGTATTGTTAATTATTACTCTCCTACATAAATTGATACAAACTACCTGCAGTGTGATGGCTCAGCTTTCCGCGAGTCAAGCAAGGTCTAATACTATTGTGACAGAGGTGTTAGCTTTGTGTCGTCATGACTGTAAACCATTGTGAGGTCATATGTCCGGCATCACGCGATGTTATCACACAATGTGTAATAAAATTGTAGGCTTATTAAACAGTGATATCTTCATTGGATGAATAATAAAGCAAAGTAACACAACTACCAATACACTGTTCACCGTGGTTACACATATTATGACCATGTCTGTTTTACCTTGTCTCTGCCAATAGGCAAAGGGTCCCTGCTGTATAGGTTCTTTCTGCCATCAAACACTGGCTTGACTCCAAGGAAGATCTTCTGACTGTAGCACTGGACCATGGTATCAATAATCTCCCTGCAAAGTATACGCTCCTGCACTACATGGGAATCATGCTTGGTAAGTAGGTAATATCCGGGTGTAGTAATAGTGAGTGAGTTTAGTTTTACGCCGCACTCAGCAATATTCCAGCTATATGGCGGCGGTCTGTAAATAATCCAGTTTGGACCAGACAATCCAGTGATTAACAGCATGAGCATCAACTTACGCAATTGGGGCGTGAAGATGTGTCAAAAAAGTCGGCGAGTCTGACCACCAGATATCACCAAACATAAGAATCCTACCAGAGCAGCTAATGTATATTGTCATCAACAGCCGAACTGACACCCATGCCACTGCCATATTGAAATTCAGACTGAAACTACTTTGAACATTTGGGGTGCTGGGGTCAATCATGTCAAGTTTCAGCTTCACTTCTGAAATGGTTTCTGATATGATGTTGTTGTGATAGGAAATTCTTTTTGAAATAATAGAAAGTGTTGTTACAAGTGCCAAAGTAAAAACTGAAAACATATCACACAATATGGGACACGTCTCGAGTACCAACATTATGACATTTAGAAAACCAGCTGAGAAAGTTATTAGCAGTTCCATGATCAACATCATTTAACTATTATTAACTAATTTTAATAAACATAAACAATGCAAATAAAACCCCATATGAATTAGAACATTTGAGCACCAAAAACCACATTCCGAATTTCATTCCATTTGGAACCAAAATGGCATAGTAATGATCAAACGATTTTATCAATATGTGGTTGATTTTGAACTCTTAATCAAATCGGGGTTTCATCAGTGATTGGAACAAGTTTGTGGAGTTTCAGTTTCATTTTTCACTATAGGTTTCTGAGACGAATGTGTTACATTAGCCCACAAGAGTTTCAGTGTATCTTACCTATTAACCCTTCGTGGACATTTGTCTGGTGTAATTGAGACATCATAGTGGTGGATGAAGCCCTTTGGTACTCGAACCTGGAAGTGGTTTGCTCTCAGAAGGATGGCACGGCCCTCAGATCCTACTCCGGGTCTTGGTGGACATATGAAGTCAGATGTTAAGGGAGGCTGAGCGACAGGTGGTGGAAGCTGCTGCCCTGGTGGTAAGATGGCTGCAAGGAATGACACCAGTTTACACAGCTTTATATTACCAGCGCAGCTTCATCTTGGCCATTATTTCACAGGAACCTTTTTCAACAAAAATGAGTAGCAAAAAAAATAATTTAAAATACACAAAGAGTAATATTTCAGCGTTCAACACATCCACAAGTGTAATACTCGGGAAACTTGTAAAAGTGACAAGGACAAGAAGTTTCCCCCAAAATAACTTTGTCATATCACCGAGGTTGAATAAATGTTCTTCCAGGCAGCAGTTGGCAATGTGCAGATGTATGCCTCGGAATCTATTCAACCCATGAAATTCATATCTACACCTTAAATGCAAATACATAATGGCTTGGGGTGTTGTCTTTAATCTGCTTACAAAAATATAATCCACATATGTCTAATACCATGCCTGAACACTGATGTTGCAAAGTGTATTCTTCATGTCATTACAGCGTAAATAACTTACGCTCTTGCATGGGTGGGAAGGGGAACTGGATAGGTGGTCCAGGTTGACCTGCAACAGACAAGAAGCGATCAACACATGTCCGACACACACCATCATGTCTACAACTAAGTTCCAGCCAGGAACACTGGCACAGATCTGCAAGAGCAAGAAAACATTGCAGTCATTAAACCAAGAGTTTAGGGCTTGTTGTACGATAGTAAACTTACCTCTAACGGGAACTAGACTTGAGAAATGAGACAGGCCAAGACAACTTAAGTGCTAGAACAACAGTATGCTCATACCACTTTCACCATGTAGTAGTGTTGGGAATTGGTTGAAATCTCACAATTGATGATTGCTTCATTACCAACGAACAATCATCGAAAAAACTTGGTTAGCGTCATTTTTCAGAGTTTCCTATCAAGGTTGTTATTGCAGAAAAGTATAACATGATGCAACTTGTTACATTAAAGTGATAACTAATATATCATGAACATAAACTTCCTGGAGTCTTAGAGAAATATTCAGTCATGACTTTTCGGCTAGTGAAGTGAGTTTTCTAACATGTTTTCAGGCCCTGACAACTTCTAAGATATGTTCCATTGTCAAGTATTTCAAAGACTAAAACAGTAGTTCCAAAATCGTTTCTGTTCGATTATGAGAAAATGTGATCGATTCCTTGGTGGTTTGGTTACTGCGACCAATCTTCGATTATTTCAATTAATCGGAACACCACTACCATGTAGACCAATGTAACAGTTATGAAACACCTTGATTTAGATTAGTTCCACACTGTGCACTGAATACCACATCTAGACTGTGGAGCAGCCCCACTTTTAACATGTCCATAAATATCATGCACATGGATTGGAGTCACTGCAAAAGTTTTGAATTCAGGATAAAATCAATTCTAGCAGATGAACAGTTTTCCCCTTATTTGCTTGGAAGGTGACTGATTCACAATTTAGAATTGATACAGTCCCTTCACTTTAACCTGAATAACTGAGATCACACTTGATTCATCGCTAAGATTTTGCTGTAAGATGCTACACAAAACATATGTCATATAGTCGTTTCAATGGTTTCAGAACCAAATTGTTCAGAGTTAATGAAAGACCTTGACATTTGAAAGTTAATAATTGTTCTGTTTCCCATGCAATCACATGAGAAACTTTGGCAAGATTCAAATTTGGTCATACACTTATCTTCTAACATGTCTAATAGGCATATTAAAGCATGTATTTATTTTGTTTTTGATACGAATAAAGGACAAGCACAAAATGCTAGGTATCCCCAAATCAGAAACTGGGAAATGAACACTGTTCAATTTATATCCGTACTGCATTTGATAGAAATGATCCAAAATGGAATCAAATGAAATGGTTCCCATGCCCAAAGACCATATGTTGTGAAAGATATAAAACTTCAAGACATCCAGTATAAAAGCTTTCCAAAATTGTTATTCATGATCACTGATCATAAATGATCTATCTCCCTGAATGCTGGCTGCCCAACAACTGCCTTACGTCAACCTCAATCGTGGAAGTATTTAGAAGACAGTCAACACAATGATGTGCATTTGATCACTTAGAAAAGAATGTAACCCGTTAATGAAGATGCCAGTTCTTGTCTCTTGCTTGTCATGAATTTATTTTTAACTGAAAACATGAAGGTTAATGATTAATGATCATGGCTCCAAGACAGGTTCAACTGTACTTCAGAACTGTTACACCTGCAACAGGAATCCATATTAAGCATATGAACGAATTCAAACATACAGATCATAGTAATAAAGATTTGCTCAATTCCAAAGGATGAAATATGCCCATCCTTAACAATGCTTCTTCCAACTCCAATGACACACTTAATTTACATTTAAATACTCCAGAATTCTTCTCACTGAAACCACTGACATACACTACTAAATTGGTTATGTTCATAAATTTGGAAAAAGATTCATTTAAAAATTGTAATAAAATCCAATTGTTTTCTCTGTTAATATCTAAATAAATATTTATAAGGATGAAAAATATATCCCTCACATGTTAGATTGTCATAAAGTACTTGAATACTATATCCTGAGTCCGGACCTAGCAAAATTCCTTTTGAGCTAATAAATTTGGCAAAATGACCATATATTCATGATTTAGCTTGGTTGACATTTATGCCAAAACATAAGTTTGCATTAGTACATCAGGACCTAACCTTTTAGCATGAATTCCATGGCCATAACTTTAAGACTACACAATTATATGACATTCATATTCTTGCACTAATGTATTCTACATAAATTATACTTTTAACAAATGACAATGTTCCCAAACACATAACAAAAACAGAACATTTGAGTCACACCACCCCTTACTGGGATCTGAATACAAAGCAAACTAAGCCAGCACCTGTTGGCTGTGCAGAGTGTATAATATTGTTTGTACCTAGATGTGTCGGATTCCAATTTCCTTTAACATCCAATGGGTCTGGATGATCTGGGTGAGGTATTGGCGTAGATGAGAGAGACGATTGAACTGAAAGTAGCAAAGTTCACACCTACTTGTATTACAAATTTGGAAAATCAGAATGCAAAAAAAAAAAAAAATCGATTTGGGTTAATGTTACTGGGTGCTTAGAACACACATGTGCACGACTTTGAAAGTGAAACGTTTTTGCTTTTGCATTTTTTTAATGCAAAATGGTGCGGTTAGTATACAAAATTCACTAACCAAGATTCAGTTGTTGACGGTTTGAATCAATTTTATTATTGAAACATTTTCAAGGGTTATGATATTAAAAACATTACAAAAAAAACAAAAAATCCACGCTGATGGTCATCTCAAAATAACAATTTGTATCAACAACATTTATTGAATGAAATTAATGATATGACGATATGAAATGATCCAAATGATGACTTTATGTGATGTCTTATTAATCTTAACAATGGAGGTTGGACAACACACAAACTATGTGTATGTGACCACACATAACTGCATGCAACCATGCAAAACATAAAACACTGTGCAAAAACAGATTTAAAAGAATATCAAACTCAACAGTCAACACAATTTTATTTTCAAGTCACTAATATTCAGTATAATGACATCTTTTTCAAAATGTCAATGTTGCCTAACTTCTATCTGCATTCTCAGGGTCCCTTTTCCCTTAGTCAAAATGAAAGAACACTACCTGTCCTGTGGTATAAATAATACTCAGGGCAATCGCCATAAAGTGATTGTAGTGCAAAGTAAATCTAAACTTCAACTTACAACAGTGCTATGATCGCTTTGAAGAACATGGCTCAAAAAGATTCTGATTCCCTGAAGCTGAACATGCTAACATTAACTAATGCTGACACCATAAGGTGAATTGACTGAATATTAAAATGTTAAGTTATGGTTCAGATACATGGCCCTGAGACCAGTACTGTTGAGAAACGGAAGACCATCAGAGCGATAGAAGTTGGCACTGGTCCTTTAGTCCTTGCCTATCTGTCCAGTATCTAATGTACCAGAAGGACTAGAAGAAATATGCCATTAAGGTGTTTTGCTACCAGTTATCATCATCAAGACTATAAATGTTTCTATCGCTGCCACCTGTACTTTTCTTGGGATCAAAGAAATAGGCACATGGTTATCGGATTCACTGCAAAATAAACAAATCCTCAAACTGAATGATCGGACCAGGTCCAGCAATGCTGTGATACAAGCATGTTGATGGCAACATTGCACAGGCAAGCTTCTGTCTGCAAAGTCACTAATTAAAGGCCTTCTAAGTATGACAATAGTATAAGTAAAATATGCCAGTTAACAAACACAAATAAGCACGTCTCAAATCAAACAGTTAATGCAAGAACTAAAAGCAACAATGAATGAACCAAACATGGCAACTAAAGTGAACTGAATAAAATATGTTGACATCATGCATTTCATTAAGCACATGTGGAACCCATTAAGTGGTGGATCACCACAAAATGGCAGAACTCAGAATTATATAAGTTCATACTAAATAACCATCAGTATTCTTTCAGATTCTTTGTAAAAATGTCACAATTACATGTGCTACGAACTTCACATACACACACTAAACTAACCGAAGTACTCGACCCAAATTTTTCAATGAACAAAACTGATACCTACCGTTGAGCTGTGGACTCAGAAAAGGAGAAACACCTTTAAAAAATTAAAATAAAGAGAATCAAACTCTGTTCGATTTGAAAGATTAGAGAAGGGGATGTCTTCATGAAAGTCCCGGGGCCTGTTTTATTGGTAAATTGGTTTCCATTCATAATTCCAGTCAATAATTTGTTCCATGAAAGGCTTTCAGAATATGTGGTCAAATAGGTCAAGGTAAAAAGGGAAGTAACTCTTAAACTTTCATGAGTTCTGCCACGCAGTGAAGTCACATGACATTAGTGATTGATTTATTACTACTTCAAAATTAACACTACAGTTAGATGTCTGAAGCCTGAAGCACACTTACACATGCCAATGCAAGCTGAAGAAGCATTAATGTTTGCACTCTCCTGGCCATAGTCAGCTAATATCAGTGAAAGAGCAGTGGATGGGAGTGATGCAGTTTCAGCAGTAAGCATACAATGATGATGAAATGTATAGAAATATAGGGACACCGAACCACCAACTATATGAAACTTATGTCACAAAAGGACTTCAAAAACAATGTTCCAACAGCATGACAAACAAATTACCTTCCAAAATAATGATATTTAAAGTGCACAATGTAATGAGGCCTAACAAAAATATGTTGCTTTACCACAACAACCAGCAATATTCCAGCTATATTATGGTGGTCTGTAAACAATCATGTCTGGACCAGACAATCCGGTGACTGACACAAAAGCGAGTACCACTAAAAAAAGTGTGGTTGAAACCTTAAATTTGGGTCTGGTAATTGGAACCACATGAAAACAAGTTCTCATTCAGACTTATTACATAATTCTGACCCTTCCTTCATGTACATGCATGGTTACATGCTCAACATGTTCTTTCAATGTGAAACTTAAAGTTTAAGTTAAGCTTAGTATTACCATGTACCTGACGCCCTTGTCAAACTTTCCGATTTTTGTAATGTATAATCATATTTCATTGACGTAAACAAAAACATTGTTAACTTCTGATTTCTCACTTTGTCAAACAGTGTGAACATTGATGTGAAGAATGAGGAGAGATGAATACGGGTGATGTAAAAATATGTTATTTCAAGATGACAACACTTTCACCATGTGGTGATATTCTCAAACTGCATTTTAGCCATCTTACAGTATTTTTTGTGGTCAATAATTTCAAATATTGTACTCAAGACTACGACTCTTATCAGTAGCCTCAAGCATCAGTCCTGTAAACATAGTTTGGAAACTGATCCCACAAAATGACCTTTGTAAGTCACTGTTGAGGCCAGGTATAGGAGTTGTGGCCAGTCTGATCAAGTAAGCCTTGTGGAATGGGGACATATTTAAAATTATGTGAAAATAATTTTGGGTACAAAATCGGGCTAGTATGTTAAATGGTTCAGCACAGAGGATGCCTGGTTTGTACACTAAAGCTTACAATCCTTGACTGTATATCTGGACATTGATGAAACAAAAAGCATTCTTATCAAAGTAAATTACATTTCTAGTTTGGAAAGCTCAAAATATAAGAATCCAGTCTAAGAAAATGGGCAACAATCTTGTTTCATTCTTTATTTGATAGTATACACTGGTAGTCACAACCATCATACATCAGTTTGCATAATAGAGACAAGCATCAGTATAAAGCATGGCAAGCAGACATGGTATTACTACAGAAGAAGCTGAAAACAAAACAGTGCAGGGGTAGAAACCAGTTCCCTTGAGTTTCCAACAGGATGATTAACAAGTCAATGACATGTGAATGCCTAAGATCAGTTGAGAGTCTGTAAAAATAAAACCTCATCCTGTTAAGCAAAGATTGTGTATTGTGCGTGTCTGAAAAAGAGGTGCAGTGTACACACATTCTGCATGTATGTCAACACAGTTTGCAGAGAAATTTCTCACATAAAAAATGAATGGGCATCATTATTAGCTCCCATTTCGGAAGACCAAAAAGAAATTGCAGTAAACGTGTAAAATTAATATTAAATACCTATCTATTCCAATACAGGGATGCAACTTTGCCCAGTCAATCTAATGCTACGGGCATCCTCCAGGGGGCAGGGGGGGACGTAGTAGAATTTTAGGCTTTTTACTTAGTGGGTATCCCTACTTATTGTGTTGGCTAAAAAATGTTACAGGTAAAGTTGCATCCCAGCAATATCTAATATCTTAGACAAAACCCTCATCGTGGCTCTTAGATAATGACAGCATCACATTGTCATCTGTTGACACAAGACACTTTAGTCAAGACAATAACCATGCACAATGTCCTGGTGTCATCTTAACCTGGATTAGCAAGTGTTAGATATGTCAGGACGAGTTGGAGCATGCCATAGGTCTGAACACTATTTTAAGACATCATGATAATTAGTGATGATGTACATAGGCCAAAGTGACTATCTGGGTTTTTTTAAAAGAAAGATAATAAGTTAAAGGTATCAGAAAATGAAAATAAAATGAACTACACTTTTGAACATGGATGGCTGTGAACACAAATTATACATCTCTTCTAAAGACATGCTCTAATGAATTAAATAGCATATCTTCTCAATGTCTAACCTGATTTCAACCCATGCACTATGTTGAAAGTTGTATTAAAACACATACAAGAATTGAGGTTAGTAAGAGATGATCGAAAATATTTGTTTCAGCATAATCAACATAGCTGTAGAAAACAATGTATGGTTCATGACCCATTTCAGGTTTGTCAAAAAACACATCATTGATAATGTGACAAATTGTCCACAACAATCGATGATCCTACAAAAAAGAAATGTCAGTCTGCATTTGCCAAAAAAATCTGACCTGCTTATGTCAATCATTTGCGTCGATTTGTGGTTTGAATTGAATTTCCACAACAAAGATTTACCTCGCTTACACAAACCCAACCATGCATTTGTGAAAATGATACAGTGAAGTGGTTGAAAAGTGGAATGTTTTGGGGGACACTGATAGTTGGCCATGAAGTTTAGTGCAGGAGTAGACATACTCCAATCTTTCTAAACACAGGATCATATCTAATTTGATGCAGAGCCTAATTATATCAAACTGACACAGATTTGTACATGTCAGACGTATTTTATGTCATGCACTGTTTTGGACATTTCATTACCTAACTGAAAGACAGTCTCTTTAAACAGGACTGCACAGGACAATAATTTTGTACCCCTGAGACTCAGTACAAAACACAAACTGAAGGGAAAAGGACAATTTTCTTAGACGAAGTCAAGTCTAATATAGAACAAACTTTATGGATAACAACTTCTTTTTATTCGTGATGCCACTCAAAGAAGAAGTCAAGTCTGGTAAATAATTATGAAACTAATGTTACAGAATGGTTATTACTGGAAACACTGGAACTGCCTTTGTATGTGTTATTGCAAATGTTCTTTTAGCTTCCCATAGCCATATTTTGAATAGTTTGAATGCTACTACATGATGTTCTTACCCAAAAAATGAAATATTGTTTTGTTAATGCAGAATGATTTATGGAAATATGTCGGAGTGAAATTTTCCGGAAATTGGCTGAAGGATTAACATATCTTATGGAAATGAATTGAAAGGTGGATAGTACCCAAAAGCATGTGACTAGCCTCAGACTACCAAGATTGCAATAGGAGCAGCACACTCATTTTCCTAAAACTTAAACATAATTTTCATTGTTAATCGTTCACACAAAGTGACGCCATTCAGATTTTTTTTCAATGTTCAATGCACTAAAATGAATTACAAGAACTCTTCAAAAGGATTTATTATAAGTGCAATCAACAAGATTGGGGAATTGGCTGTAGTTATCATTTTCAATTACTTATATACTCTAGCATGTGTCTTCTTGTATTGATAATGATACTGTGAAAAATGTCTGTCACTAATCATTGAAATATCACAATAAACAAAAATGTTTATTCAAATGTAGATGATGATCTCCTAAACATACTAAAACTATGACACAGCTTGTACCAAAAGCACTTCTGAATGCTACTTTTTGCTAAAGTATTCATGTTATTCCAACATTCATAACCTCATGGTCAGTAACAGGACACAATCATAACATTGTGCAAATGAAATTGACACCCATTAATACTACGATCAAGACGATTGAGGACACTTGCTGTTGAGACGTGCCCGCGAGTATATTGTTTACATTTCAGTTTTACGAGAAACACACTTTCTAATGTTTGATATGATTTATGAATACATGAATATTGATTAGTGTCCTGATCTTATCGATACTCACTCACTCACAAGAGAGATTGATCGACTAACTATTCCATAAATCGCTCCAGCACTCATGCATTAATTTCATTGTTTGCATACATCTTATTAGGTTTCCTATTAACATTTTCAAAAACAAATTGACAATGTAAAAATTTCAACCTTTTCCATATTAATACTTTGCACTAATGCCTGGGGTTCCTAACTAAATGCCTGTTATTAAGTTCCAAATGGCCAGTGAAATACTTCTTAATCAAGAAGGCCCTAACATTAGTTTTTACTACTGATTAAGGACATATGCTGTAAAAAATAAGGGAAACTTTTAACAGACTTGCTGCTAAATTCTTTAAACCATGCAATCACATTCTGAGTGAGTGAGTTGAGTTTTACGCCGCTTTCAGCAATATTCCAGCAATTTCACTGTGGCAATCACATTCTGAGGAAGTGTATCAAACTGTTTGGTTCTGAATAAGGAACCTTAATGGAAAACCATCCCCACTAAGAAATTCACAAACATTATGGGAAGTGCCATACCTTCCACAGTTGGCATGAACAATTAAAATTACAACCTGCCCAACTGTGAAAACAAAGCTGAGAACGTCGGCGTAAATTTACATGTATATCCCCTATACACATGTCTATTATTTATTATTTCAGTGCTAGAGTCATGAGTACATCTTGTAAAGACGACCACTTTACACCTAGTCCGCCTCGCCTCAAAACAAACGCAAAATGTACCACGATTTCACGAACAATTTATCACAAAAATTGGTTTGTCGTATTTTATTCGTTGGTAGTTAACTTGTGATAAAATTATTCGTTGTTTCCCAAGCGGTACACAAGTCTCGTTATAAATTTACTTCCAAGTTCGACTTTCAGCATCGGCCTCAACACCTTTGTCGCGAATGTGGCTGTGAATGCAATCATGTTCATGTGCTAGCACGTTTCGGGAAAAGGGCTGTAGATCTGAATTTATCCGAATTTTCAAAAATGCATTAACATTGTGATGAATATGTGTAAGGGCAAATGAATAATGCAAAGCTACCACAGATGTATTTCCGTCGATAATGCCAACCATAAAGAAATGTGAGGAGTCACCTAATCGTTTGTGTTTTCCGAGACTTGTTGGAATTCGACGACGAGAAAATCATAAATTCTGGTCTATATTCATTTATTGAATACCTTTCACACGTTACAACATATTTGAAAGCTTACCCTGTGGTGGTATGGGAAACATCTTTGCATGCTATGACCCAGTTCGCCGTGTATCGTTGTTAATTATCTGAGATATCGCCTCACCAACACCGGAATAGAAACAACATGGCGGCGGGACGAGTGCGAGATTCTGGGAGGTCACGAGCCTCGTTTTGAGCTTGAGGCAAGCGCTTCCGCGTTTACAGCTTGAATAACACAGGCGTGACTAATCCGCCCCGCACCCTCACGCGTTGACAATGTGTTGATTACTAGGCAGAATGATCAAATAATGAAATCACCATTGTTGATGTATAATTAAGAAAACTACGTAAAATATTGATTGCCTCAAACAAAACCCAACTCATTCATATGATTTTTTATTTATCTGAACTTCAACATTCGGATTTAGCTCCCCTGCCTATTAATGCGTGATCTATGGCTTTTACTAATGAACACAATGGTGACACACGTCGATGACATAATATTTGATTTGCGAACACGGTCGTTATCTCTTTAAGTCCCCTGGGGCTAAGTGCATGGTCAGTTCGAAGAGATGATAATGAAAGCGATAAGAAAACGAAAACAATTAACATTCAACCACCCTGTATTTAAATTGTTTGGTGTAGATTATGATCAGCTATATGCCTGTGGCTATTTATATATATCCAGAAACGTCTACCCTGTACAAAAAACCGTATTTGTGCTGTACACATGGTTTTAATATACCAAGACATTCTTTCAGAAACCCTCGAAGGTTTATAGGCAGAGACTTTAATGCACGGACAGGAACTAATGATATGATTTTGTTGATGATGAACAGAGCACATTGAAAATCTAAACCCAGGGGCGGATACAGCACCACCCCCACCCCTCTGCATCCGCCTATGAAACCCTCCACTGTCACATTGCACCCCTGATAAGTTTAATTTTCAACGATTCTGCCAATGAGGTCGTAAGCAATTTTGGTAAATGTTTTCTTGACGTATGTTTTCGACTGAGTATATAATATATATTATGACTGGACGATGTGGGTTTGACTCACAAATTGGAGATTTTACTTTTATATGCATCAGCGGAGCTAGTGTAAAAGTTTACACCATTTCTTCTGCAGCGCTAAAAATGACTCTGTAAATGACTTTTCAATGCCTTCTCTAATCGAATGGGGACGATGGGGTGGCCTGGTGGTTAAAACGTTCCCTCGTCACGCTGAAAGACCCGGGTTCGATTCCCCACACGCCGTGATATTGTCTGAATAATGCTAAAAGCGGCGTAAAACTAAACTCACCTAGCTGAGAATCTAGACTCACGAGTAGTCCCTGAATATATTTAATTTTGATAGTAAGAAATAAACCCATTTAAATTGAAAAGGAACCCGAGTGGTTTTATTGCCGAGTGAGATGCTAGAATCAGAACCTGAACCTCAGGAAATTTAGACTTGCTTCATTTAGAGCTTTAGCCGTAGGGAGGGTCAAGGCAGAAGGAAAATTATGTGGTTCAGCGACTGCGAGACAGACTATCCTTCAAAATCGAGTAGCCTACATTCTTCTCTGAATACCGCCATATAGCTGGAATATTGCTGGGTGCCGCGTAAAACTAAATTCACATTTACTAGAGTGAGTGAGTGAGTTTAGTTTTACGCCGCCTTTAGCAATATCCCAGCAATACCAAGGCGGGGGAGACCAGAAATGGGCGTCACACATTGTACTAATGTAGGGAATCGAACCCGGGTCTTCGGCGTGACGAGCGAACGCTGGGCTACCCCACCCCAACATTTACCAGAGGTATTATAAGGAGGAATCTTAGACAGCGTTCAGAACCTTAAAAATAACAAATAACCTTGGCTAAGATAGACGTAAGTTAATGTTAATGTATGGAACTTACGACCATCTTCAACCACTAGGCTACCCCACCGCCCCGCATTCGATATTAGAAAATGCAAGCTTTCTACATTAATGATTCACGTTCAGGGTTTAGACACGGCACCACAACAACTGTGTGTTTATTTTCATGAAACATTGAGTGTTTTAAACACAGAGCACAATTAGAAGTACACAATCATGAAATAATGTGGTTTCAAATTCAAACACAACACAACACAACCCCCAAAAAAATAAATAAAATAAAAATAAAAAAATAAATAAATAAATAAAAATAAATAAAATAAAATAAAAAAATAAATGAAATAAAAACAAATGCATGTTATTGTGGAATTGTGTTGGCCACTTATTAGATTCAGCCCTTGACATTTCACCAATGTGGTTCTCGTTGGAGACCAAAACGAAAATTTGTTGAATATCGATGTCCACCACCTTCACGATTTAATTGTGAGTAAAGATTTACGTAATGGCATTATTCAGCCAATACGTATTACATCAACATCAGCTACCCTGATTGACAACCATTCTTCTTAGCCAGGGCAGCGAAACCATAGAAGCCGGTGTTTTAGACTTTAGCGTCGATATCAGTGACCACACGTGTTTTTTTTGCTTACTCTTTCGAATTGTATCAACTTAACAAAGTCTTATGCAAGAGAGTTTTACTATACAAGCATAGTGATTACGGACGCCTAAAGCAACTGATTGTTTCCACAGATTGGGAAAAAGTGTTCAACAACTGCAACTCGGTATGCAAAATCATGTGACGCCTTAACATTAGCACTCAGACATTATGTGGAAGAATGCGCGCCCTCAAAACGAGCAATAATTAGGCCAAGGGACAGGCCCTGGTTTAACAGCGAAATCCGAGGAGCAATCCGTATTCGAGAAAGATTTAGCAAAAGGGGAAAATTATCCAAGAATCCAAACGACATTATGAGGAACAAAAAACCACCACCAACAACAACAAAGAGATAACGGATAACAAACTCCTGAAACATGCAAAAGATGATTTCCACTGCAATCTAGATGGGTTTGTTTCTACTGTATCGAAAGAAAATAATTCAGACTATTAGAAATACTTAGGTTTATAAATGATAAATTCTCCTTGGTCACTGATGTTTCCAAAATACTGATTCGGAAAATCCGAGGCATTGAAAACATATGAGATCACACTTTACTGAGAAAGTGTAATCCCAAATATACTCATGCCAATAATGGTTGTCACCCCCTCCCCACCCAACCCCCACACCTCCCCTACACCCCTCTCCAATGAAAAAATTGAAGGGGGTGACAACCATTATTGGCATGAGTATATAACACATGTTAATATGAGATGACACCTTTTTCACTTTCCAGCATATTGTATATAACAACACTGTATATGTTTCCACAATGTCAAGCTTCCATTACAAATTGCCCCATGTAATATTATGTTTAACTGTATTTAGGGAGGAGGCGACACTAGGTGGTGCAATAAAATATGTTTAAAACAAAACAACAGCTGATAATATCTTCTTATTGCAGAATATTGTACAAAGATACCTAAACGTCAAACGGGGATATAATAATGCATTCTTTGTAGACTTTGCAACACCAGGCGGCTGAGTTATAAAATGAATAAACTATTGAGGAGTTGTAAAATGAATAAACTGTTGAGTAACATCTATGAAAATGTTGAAGCCTGCGACTTTTCGGAAACCTCTGAGAGTGAGTGAGTGAGTAAGTAAGTGAGTTGGCTTTTATCTAGCTTTTAACAATATTCCAGCAACATCACAGCGGTGGACACCAGAAATGGGCTTCACACAATGTACACATGTGGGTAATCGAACCCGGGCCTTCGGCGTGGCGAGAGAACGCTTGAACCACTGGGCTACCCCGCCGCCCCGAAACCTCTTTTAACAAATCGGAGTGAGACAAGGCTGTATGCTGAATGCCTTTTTTATTTCCTTCTTTATTATTGAATGAATAAGAAACTCATCGTCAAAATAAGTGCACAAATGATGTACATTTACACCCGGATACAAGCCATTTAATTCGTCTCTTATTTGTAGATGATATTGTGTATATTTTAAATACTACTGCTGGACTGCACAAACAAAGGAACTAGAAAATTAGTGTGAATGCTGGAATGTAACGGTAAATACGGACCTATCTTTCATACCTTATAGGGGACAGTGGGTTAGCGTAATGGTTAAACCGTTCGCTCGTCACGCCGAAGATCCGGTTTCGATTCTCCACATGGGTACAATGTGCCAAGCCTATTTCTGGTGTCCCCCGCATTTCAGGTGATGTTGCTTGAATATTGCTAAAAGCGGCGTAAAATTAAAACTCGCTCACTCACTCACTCATACCTTATAGCGCTGCAAGCCTCATCCAGTCTGTCTGTGTATACTTTCTTATTAAGGTCAGCTGGTTGTGGTCAATATATAGGACGCCACACTAGTGCATGTGGACCTTATGTATTGAACGAGAAGATGTCATGGCAGGACAGAAAGAGACAATGCGAAAATCGGAATGCAATACGGAATGTGCCCTAGGATCATTGACATTTAATACAATAGGAATTGATAGTTAATACAATAGGAATAAATTGATAGTTATATTGATATATTGGCTGGATAGAAGTGTCTAGTCAATATGGACCAATGGTTTGTCTCAGAACTCTGCACCAAGGTAAAGATACGATCAGTGTACAAATCACGTGTTTTCAGGTCAAGGTTTTAAGCAGGCCAAAGCTTGCAATGCATGCATAAACTGCAGTTAAGATCAACTGTTCTTGGCTATGCAGTGTTTTGGGATCTAGGACACCAGTGCCGGACTTGATTAATATGTCACGAGGAATGGGGTAGCTGTAGGGGCTGGGGGCATTATGGTATTGGAATTTGAGGTCACTGAACAAAGAGGCTCGACATTGACATTGAACAGTATATTCTTGAAAATTGGATTTGACCAATTACAAATGTAATCAAATGGTTGCTTGGTTGAGAACAGTCACGTGAACACTTCCAACTTCCAAACTACAAAACACATTTGTGATACCTGTATTAAAAATATTCCTATAGAATAACCATTCCTTGCTTGTTTCAGTTTTAGGCACAATCAACCGCCTCCGTGGTGTAGTGGTTAGAGGGTCCGCCCGGAGAGCGGAAGGTCGCGGGTTCGATCCCCGACCGCGTCATACCAAAAGACGTTAAAATATGGTACTTGTTGGTCCCTGTCTGGCGCTCGGCATTAATGGGTACAACAAGGACTGGTCGTCTCGGAGTCAGTATAATGTGTCTGAGTGGGGTATTCATGCTTCACTGCAGCATGGTATCTCAGTGGGCTAGCACTATAAAACCAGCTTAAGTCTGTGCTAGTACAAGCAGCCGCACATACACACGCATGCACGTCGTCATATGAGCGAAATATTCTCAAGCACGACGTAAAACCCAATTTCACCTCACCTTTAGGCACAATCAAAGACGAGGGTATACATCTTTTATCCCGACCGAATATTTGACACCGAATTGATACTTGCTACGTTCGCATTTGCCACTTAAAACAATCAAGGATATCGATTACGGTTAAAGCATTACTTCCAGCGACCAAATTACGACAGACAGACAGATGACGGGTTTACAGTAATAGGCCGGTGACCCTTGAAACACTTTATCGTCTTGTGTGTTAATTCCTGTACTCATATAAATGAACGTTCAAAAAAAGTTTGTTTGAATTCACGCATTTAATGCTTTACATGTTTTCCGTTTTCATGCATAGGCCATATTTTTTTTTCAATTTAACCCAGTTTTATCCACCATTCATTGCATGCCTTATCACGTGTACGAGCAGCTTAGGGACCGTTCATAATTTATGTTTTTGTTTGTTTTGTTTTTGTTTTTGGGGATCACCTATTTTGTTCTGGGGGTGGGGGTCATCGATTTAGTACACATGTGCTAGGGGTAAGCAATTTTGTATATATAAATATTACATTTTTATGCTTATACTTTATGGGAAGTTGCGCGGGTACCATTGATTATCTACATGACATGCAGGTGTGTGTGTGTGTGTGTGGTCACTTACTTTGTGCATACATTTTAGGGGGGGGGTTATCATTCACATTGTACATGTTTCCCCATAACAATCATTATCAACCCCCTCCTTCCTCCCCTCCAGAATAAATTAAGAAAGGTCCCTTAACGGTAAATATTTCTTCCTCACGTCTTCAGTAGAGCTAACTATAGATGTCATGTGACTGCACTTTAACCGATAAGTACTGTACTAAACAAGCGGTCTGAAGAACAATGGCCTAGCGGATTGTTCGTCTCTCTTCATTGTTTCCCAGGTAAACGACACATAATTCATTTTGATTGTTTGACGGTTTTTTGTGTGATTTTAACCCTATGATATTCCAGCTGGCACCTGTAAATAATTGTCTGGGCTAGGCAATCCAGTGATTAACGTCATCAGCATCGGTCCATGGTATTGGGATGAAATGACTTGCAATCAACACTCACCAACTCCGACCACCCAGTCCACTTAGTCGTCAACAGGATGTAAAATGTGAAGGATGCAATCAAATTTAAAGTAGCAACAAGAGTTTTAAAACGAATTATTCCAAGGAGATTATTATAAGATTAACTAGTTTCTTTAAATCGTAAAATAGTCAAATCTATATGGCAATGAAACGCGATAAATAAAAACAACAAAACAATTTCCATAATTATTAGAAATCTCTCTTTAATTCAGGTGAGTAAATCTGTAAATCAGTGGACGTGAATTGTTAAGTTCTTCGATATCTTATAACCGATATACCAGCAGCTTGGGCAAATAAACTAGACATACCACAAACACCAACGCATCTCCCTATGCTCTTTGGGGTGAGGTGAGGTGAAATCGGGTTTAACGTCGTGCTTGAGAATATTTCGCTCATATGACGACGTGCATGCATGTGTATGTGTATGTGCGGCTGCTTGTACTAGCCCAGACTGAAGCTGGTTTTATAGTGCTAGCTCACTGAGATACCATGCCGCAGTGAAGCATGAATACCCCACTCAGACACATTATACTGACTCCGAGCCGACCAGTCCTTGTTATACCCATTAATGCCGAGCGCCAGGCAGGGACCAACAAGTACCATATTTTAACGTCTTTTGGTATGACGCGGTCGGGGATCGAACCCGCGACCTTCCGCTCTCCGGGCGGATGCTCTAACCACTACACCACGGAGGCGGCCCCCTATGCTCTTTGATCGAACATATACAACAATGGTAATGTAAGAACTTTCCATCACAGCATTTTGCGTCTGATCCTTACCACAAATCAAAGATGATCCTGAAGGAAGCAAATCGTAAAAATATGTAAAAATGTACGAATGAAACATGTAAGACTGGTATGTGCGATGGTAACTCTTGTACATTTTGCCTATTTGATAATGATTAAAACACTAATGATACAGTTGGAATCGCTCTATGGATTCTGCCTTCTGGAGATTTCTCATGATTATTGAAATATTGAAATATTGAAATATTGAAATGCTTTACACAGTTCGTGAAATGAGGGGCGGTTGGGTAGCTTAGTGGTTAAAGCGTTCGCTCGTCACGCCGAAGACCCGGGTTCGATTCCCCACATGGGTACATTGTGTGAAGCCCATTTCTGGTATCCCCCGCCGTGATATTGCTGGAATATTGCTAAAAGCGGCGTGAAACCCAACTCACTCACTCGTGAAATGAGCTTGTCCACCCACTGGATGTCCATTTTTCTGCTGGGTAAATAAATTTCAAATTAAGTCACATGTCCAGGGGTCCATTGACATCCAGTGCCCTAATTCTTATCCCATCGAGAATGAATAGTCGGACATTAAGGGGGTTGTATATCGGGTCTGTTCGAGTGCCCCGTTTTAACGCAGTTTTGAGGATGCGAGAGCAAGATGAACTATACTGCGTTGTTTGTGTTGTTTGTGTGTGTCCTGAATCAAGGCAACGTTTTATCCAGTGGCCTCCCGTGGTCTCATTTAATTCCCAACGGAGCCCCCCAAACAAGCCTCTGTCAGTCTTGGTATGCAAATACACACGGGGCCATGACTGGGCATAAAATACGAAATACATGTATGTCACAAATCTGACACCTTGCAGTGCATGATACCTGGATTGCAAAGGTATCATCAGAATCCCTGAATTAACCTCCGTTGTGAGGATCGTCTTGCTAAAACCTCTTCTGTCCTGTCAGTGAGTGAATATTGTTTTACGCCATTTTCATTGTTTTTATTGATGTTACGGAAACCTCACTCTTAACCCTTTCATATTTCCACAGATTTCTGACTGAAACGGCAAAATGACGGAAGAAAAGGACAATGAGAAGTCCCTTTTGGACAACCAGGAAGATCAGAAGACCAATGCCAGCCATGTTGTTTTGGCGGAGGAGGACGACCCTGACACGCAGTGCGGGATAGGATCGTGCAAACCACGTGCATTTCAAGTCTTTGCCAATATTACAGCCTTCACAGGTTTCTTCAGCCTCACGAGCTTTCTGTCATCAACGCTGTTGGCATATGTTAATTCCCAAGTCACGACACTGGAGCGTCAGTTTGGCTTTACAAGCTCAGAAACTGGTATTATAATGGCCAGTAACGACATTGGCTATATGCTGATTGTCGTTTTCGTAGCCCACTTTGCCCATCGATCTCATATTCCCAGGGTTATGTCAGCAAGTGTCATGCTTTTTGGCATTTCCGGTCTGATTTGCTGCTTGCCTCACTTCCTGTTTGGAACGGAACAGTCGCCCACCGAGGAATACGTTTTAAGTAATGCGACGTCACGAGTGTATGGCCTGTGTTCGTTAGCAAATGACTCGCTCATGAACTTTTGTGAAGAATCTGACTCTCCTGAAAAGCCGGAAGTGACGTCAAACAGACCACGTGATCATGCGGCTGCGGCGTTTTGGATAATCATCATCGGGATGGCTCTGCAAGGCGTAGCAAAGGCCCCAAGAAACGCGTTTTCGATAACATATGTAGATGGAAATGTGGCAAAAGCCAAAACAGGATATTATATGGGTATGGAGGAGTTTCGTTATAATAATAATCCCCAAAGGTGCTGAGGTCGATGTATGTCAGCTATTGATTCACAGGGGGACAATAACGCTACGCCCATACTTTCAGAAGAAGTATGCATTAACTTTACAAACCGACACCCTGAAAATAATGTCCAGAGTAATCGAATCACAATACTGACATTGGCATATTTATGTTTAGAGTATGTCAGTAAAAGACTTTTTAAATGGCTTTATTCTTTTCCTATTCATCTACATGCTAAACAGATATGGTACTATTTTAAACTTGGATTTCTTTACTCTTCACCCTTTTCCAGGCATCATCATTAGCATGAGCATCTTCGGTCCAGCCATTGCCTTCAGTCTCGGCAGCTACTTCACCAGGATATATGTCACGTTGGAAGGTATGTACATGTCAACAGTCTGCCTCTAACATACCACTACAGTAATGTTCACGTTGGAAGGTATGTATATGTCAACAGTCTGCCTCTAACATACCACTACAGTAATGTTCACGTTGAAGGTATGTATATGTACAAGAATCTACCTCTGTCATACCACTACAGTAATGTTCACGTTGGAAGGTATCTATATGAACAGAATCTACCTCTGTCATACCACTACAGTAATGTTCACGTTGGAAGGTATCTAAGATATCGTCCTGTCATGTTCACTTTTCAAGTCTTCACAAGGTTAACCTATTTTCATTTCTTCCAAAGCACCCGAAATGTCATTAGTTACAGAGTTTATGTACGTTCATTGGAACTGAAAGGGATTCCAGGTTAAAATACTCTCTAAAAGCTCGGAAATTATCTGTGGTGTGGCTCGTTGTCTCGTTCAATTGTCAGACTTAGTTCCTCGACAGACATGGATCTTGCTCATTATATCCATCACTGATTCGTCTGGATCCAGCGCGACTGACCCGTGAAGATCCGGGTTAGAATTGGTCTTCAGTAACCCATGCTTGTCGTCACAGGCGACTAACAGTATCGGGTGGTCAGGCTCGACTATTTACAGACCTCCGCCATATAGCTGGAATATTGCTGACTCACTCTCTCACTACAACGCGATTGTTGACAGGCCGTCCATTGGGTTATCATTCTTTATTCAGCCTACAGAACATTCGTGAATTACGCATGTCTGTCAATCTTTACACCTTTCAGACACAGACCTGTACCCCCGCCACCCTCGTTGGATCGGTGCCTGGTGGCTGGGATACCTCGTGTTCGGGGCTGCAGCTGTTATCATGAGCATTCCTGTCTTCTTCTTCCCCCGCAGATTGAAGAGTGCACCGCCCAGTAATGTTGAGGACGATCTAAAGAAGAGGAAGAGGGATATTAGCCTCATAGCCAAACTTATTTTCGAGGCGAGAGGTAAAGTTCATCCCTATGACGTGTTTTATCTCATGAGAATGGATCAAGTGACAGATACCTTTGTCCTCTATTATTTAATGCCATCGTTCTGACTTCATTTGTCCTGGGCTGGAGTAATAAAGAGAATTGACAAATCAAGAGAATAGTTAAAGCACGAGGACGCTTGCGTCCGAGTGCTTTAACGTTATAATATTTCAGGGCGAAAGTGTGCTTTATTACATTTGCTAAGATGCCTAGCGGTTAGAACAATCGAAAAAAACAAACATTATCAGACAATAAAGGTATAGTTTTTTGATGACGTAACAATTGAATGACGCTATCCCGTCACTGCGCCATTCTAGTGTGCCCCCTCGTAATCAAACAATTTTACATTACGTCACAATGTAAGCGACGTCACGATGCATGTCAGTTGTCATCGCCTCGTACGGCCTGCTACAGTAAACTACACCGTTGCATCCAGTTTCTTGGTTTGCTGTTGCTTCACGCAGCTAACATCACTGGTGGAAACATTACGTTTATGTTTTACGACGGTTAAAATGTGTCATTTCGACTCACGAGTTTTCAGCGACACGGTAACGTTCGTAATGTTTACATTCCCACAATGCAATTGTGGAATGTCGCTTGACTACTCAACTTCCTCTGGATGTACTGATCTAAACTTACGCTGGTAGTAGAAATGCAACGTTCATATTGCCCCATATGGTTTACGTTAATGACAGATGTAATTAAAATAATTCAGAGAAGATATTTAATCCGAACGTAAACCGTCATCAAACTGTTATCATTTGTTTTTTTCTGGTAACGTTCGTCTTAACGTAGGGGGCAGACACATCAATAGAACAGCGCTAGTTAGCCCTGTGCGAGGATTCTTAATTTAGGTCACTGTCACCTTCGTTTCTTTTCTGCCTTAAATTAATCGTAATTATCTTTAGAAAGTATTAAATTTGGCATCTTAGAAAAGAAATACACTTCGCCCTACCACCATGTATAGTGTAATAAAACACACTTTCGCCCTGAACTATTATAACGTTAAAGCACTCGGACGCAAGCGTCCTCGTGCTTTAACTATAATAGTTCAGGGCGAAAGTGTGTTTTATTACACTGCCCCGAACTATGGTGGTTAAAGCACTCGGACGCAAGCGTCCTCGTGCTTTAACGTTATAATAGTTCAGGGCGAAAGTGTGTTTTATTACACTATACATGGTGGTAGAGCGAAGTGTATTTCTTAAATACATGGTGGTAGAGTGAACTGTATTTCTTTTCTAAGATGCCAAATTTATACTTTCTAAGGATAATTACGATTAATCTAAGGCAGAAAACAAACGACGGTGTCGGTGACCTAAATTAAGAATCCTCGCACAGGGCTAACTGGCGCGCTGTCCTATAGATGTGTTTGCCCCCCTACGTTAAGACAAACGTTACCAGAAAAAACAGATAAATGATAAACAGTTTGAAGACGGTTTACGTTCGGATAAATATCTTCTCTGAATTATTTTAATTACATCTGTGATTAACATAAACTATAAGGGGCAACTTCGAATTTTTCCGATATTTTAACCGTCCGAAAACATAAACGTAATGTTTCCACCAGTGATGTTAGCTGCGTGAAACAACTGCAAACCAAGAAACGGGATGCAATGGAGTAGTTTACTGTAGGAGGCTGTACGAGGCGATGACAACTGACATGCATCGTAAACGTCGTTACATTGTGACGTAATGCAAAATTGTTCGATTACGAGGGGGTAGACTAGAATGGCGCAGGGACGCCAATACATTGTGACGTAATGCAAAAAGTGCACATTATCGTCTGATAACGTACTGTCGGCGCCTTTGATCTTTCACCGAAGCATCTTAGAATTGTCCATAGAGTAGCCCCGTAACTACTATTTTTACCCACGTGGTCAATGTATGGGTAGTTGCATACTAATCTCGTACGTCACACGAATGTCGTATCGCGTTGACCTGTGTCGTAACGACTTGACCTGAGATTCTAACGATTTGATTGGATAACCGATGACCTCTCAGTTAGGTCACGTTGTGACGGAACTACTTGTTCATCCAAACAAACACGTGAATTCATTCATTCTACAACTTTGTGCATTGTGGGAATGTAAACATTGCGAACGTTGCCGTGTCGCTGTTTAATTGTGAGTCGAACTGAGACATTATATACGTTAAGACGAACGTTACCAGAAAAAACAGATAAATGATAAACAGTTTGATGACGGTTTACGTTCGGATAAATATCTTCTCTGAATTATTTTAATTACATCTGTGATTAACATAAACTATAAGGGGCGACTTGTGAGTCGAATTTTTCCGATATTTTAACCGTCCGAAAACATAAACGTAATGTTTCCACCAGTGATGTTAGCCGAGTGAAGCAGTTGCAAACCAAGAAACGGGGTGCTACGGAGTAGTTTATTGTAGGAGGCTGTACGAGAGGCGATGACAACTGACATGCATCGTGACGTCGGTTACCAAGGGGACAGACGAGAATGGCGTAGTGACGTCAATACAGTGTGACGTCATGCAAAAGTATACTTCAGAACAAAATTCTTCCGCAACCTCTTTATGAAACCGGTTTCGGTTTGAAACCATAACAATAACAAAAATACGCTATTTTGTCAATTCAATGCATGTAAGAGGTGGGTAATAAATAAAATAACACACTCGGTCTCATTACATACGAATTATATGATACTCGTGACCTTCCTATGGTTTCCATATGAAGGACACTCGTTTCGTATAATTCGTATGTAATGAGACCTCGTGTAGTATTCTCTATTTATTTACCATGTCTTTCTGAGTCTCTCAGTGTCTCTGGGGCGGTGGGGTAGCCCAGTGGTTAACGCGTTCGCTCGTCACACTGAAGACCCGGGTTCGATTCCCCACATGGGTACATTGTGTGAAACCCATTTCTGGTATCCCCCGCCGTGATATTGCTGGAATATTGCTAAAAGCGGCGTAAACCTAAACTCACTCACTCACTCAGTGTGTCTGTGTCTGTTTCCTAATTCACAGATTACTTAAAGGTGTTTGTTGGCATCTTGACCAACCCTCTGTACGTCACTCTGGTCATGGCCAGTGTGTGTCATCTATTCTCTGTTGGGGGAGCGCATGCCTTCATGCCCAAGTACATGGAAAACCAGTTCGGCCTTCCAGCATGGAAAGCCAACCTTCTCATGGGTAACGTACCATTTTCATTTCAAAGTATACGAAAAATGATTTGGATAGATTTAAAATAAAAAGAAAAAAAAAAGAAAAAAAGAAGCATTGATAATTTTGATGCTTTTTCGTTTTCTTAAAAGTGTATTATGTTTCTAGTCACGATATGGTTGAAATATTGCCGATGTGACTTAAAATCTTCACTCACTCACTCATTAAAAGTGTATTTGAATATTTTACCGTTTAACAAACTTGTCAGTTTAACAAAACTGTCAAATTTGTAAGAAATGGCAATATATTCTTCAACTCGGAGGCTACAATTTCGAGTTTATTCAATATCTTAACCATGTATTACATTCAAAACAGGAGACTGAAAATTATGTCTAAGTCTTCAAAGACAATACAACCTTTTAATTATGAAAAAATAACATATTACATTGTTTCATCTATTAGTCACATGATCATAACGGGTCCGGGTATTGAGACGGGTACCCCGGTACAACTCAGTACCCACCCGTACGGGGTATCCGGGTTACCCGTCCCAGCCCTATTGTAAACGTTCGTGGAGACGTCACGTGTACGTCATAGGTTGTGAGATACTCATTGGTGTGATGGTGGTGTCGATTTTAGCCACTATTGGTACAACACGGGAAGGCGACACAAAGACAGGTCACACTGTACAGAATAAATATTTTGTTCATTCCAGCTGGTCTGAGTATGCCGATGGCGTCACTGGGAACATTTGTTGGCGGCTGGTTGACCAAAAAGTTTAAAATGAACCCCATAACAGGGTTGAAGTTTGTCAACATCTTCACGTTCGTCACGGTTCTAGTTGTCGCCCTTGGATTTCTGTTTGGATGTCCACAACCAAAGATACTGAACCAACCTGGGTAGGTGAATTAATTATTTAACGGGGTACAATTTCAGAAAAGTATGAAAGCGATCAACGTAGCCCCTTTATTTGGCTTTTGAGACAGAGTTTGGTCGGAAATTTTTCTCAAACCAGGGATGCGTTGTGCAGTCTCCACGCCTGTGGCAAGACGATGACGCAAGTGAGCAGCCCGGATGTAGTGGTGCTGGGCTTGGGTGGTAACTCTTGGACGGCCGCTTCTCAGGCGATCTTTGGCGGAATTGGTCTGCCGTAAACGATCTCAAAGACGAGATATGGTGCTCTGATGAACGTTGAAATGTCGTATAATGCTGACTGCGACTCCCCATTTTCAAGGCGGCTTATGCCATGGCGATATTTCGATTGGCGGCATTCAGCTGTGGCCTGATGATTTCCTCTTTTCCAGGCAAAAACGATTGACAAAATTAAGAGTTTGCCTTTTAAAGGTTATCGATACCGCATAGGTTTCTGCTTACTTGCACGTGCATTTTGCTTTGCATGTTTTCTTGGTGACGTTTTTGGTGTATATTTCTTCAAACGCTTCTAAACCAAGGATAAAAGTCAAAATTGCCACGTTTTGGCTCTGAAGCTGTTTCCAATCACACAAAGGTGTTTTGGAAAGAAATAGTATGTTTGTATTGTTTTGCCACAGCTACATGAGTCCAATATTCTCAAAATCACCTATGCGTTTCTTTTTTTGAAGAGTGTATTAAATCGTCTTACGACAGTTTGCCTTAATGTTATGGACCTGCACATCCCTGAGATAACCTGGAAGATACCTTCTTGCTGGTGACTTTATAATGTGTTCGGCTTAAATAATTAAATGACTGGAAAACATTCTGTGTCAAACAGAGTATAGGTTGGTCTCTTAGTGAATGATCCCATTTCACCAAATAGGTCGACACTATCATCGGCGGCTGACCAAGGCGAATGCGGTAGTTCCACCTGCCACTGCAACGACAACGACTTCTTCCCCATCTGTGGCTCCGACAACAACAACTATTACTCACCGTGCCACGCAGGGTGCCTCGCCCAGAAAGGACCGGTAATACAAAACACTACTTTCAATATAAGAAGCAATATCACAGGCGTCCAACCGTCCATCCATTAACAAATGCATCAAGCAAGAATGAAATATAGTAGAATCCGATGAGATCTCAGTTGAAACAAGGTGAGCTTGGACGATACTGTTTCAATATTATCGACGAGAATATCAGGAATTACTAAATAGTAAATACCTTAATCATTGGTATTAAACAAGGAAAAAAACATCTTCATAAATAAAGTAGAGCCCATTTATGATCTCAAATATGTCACGAGCATGTCTTGAATCACTATCAAAGAGTGAGGATACAAGTGTGTTGAGTGTATCCTGCCCTGTAAACACATGCAAAGGCGGGTCAGTTGTTCAGAATTGCATTAGTGTGATCGGTGGCTATGTCAAAACTTCAATGCCTTGATATCTGTTGGTATAATCTCCACCAAGGTGATTTCCGTTATTAATAATTTGCGATACTAGTCATTTCTAATCTCCATGAAAAGCAGCCCCCATTTTTATCCCGATTTTATCATGAGCATGCGGTTTTGATGATGTTCGAGAAAAGGTGAGCGTATTCTGCCCATCATTAGCAACCGTACCAAACACAAGTATTCACCAACACAAACACGGGAAATATACTCAGAGGCAAAAGTTATGGTGAGCCTTTGAATCAGAAAAAGAGTGCGTTAACATGGTCGAAGAAATACAACCAAGCAGTTGTTTTCGAAATGAACAAAATTTGCAAGAATCATGACAGATTCGAGAAAACTGGCCCGAATTGTTCACTTGCAGACAACATACCTCTGACCATTTCGACGCAATTCCGTCTTAAGAAGCGCAGAAGTCAGAAAACACCAAGTTATCCTTGTGGAGTACGTTATACATGCCATGCCTCTAGGAAAGTGACAGATTGAGATCTATAGGGAAGCTTGCCGATTCAACGCAGGTTGACTTTGCTCTATTCAACGTCCATAAAAACACCATCGGCACTTATAGTGACGTTTTCAGCTAAACAATCAAGTTTTAGACCGTCCAGTAGTGGAAGCCCACCAGTAGCGAACCCACGTCATAAACGATGGATTAAAACCACGCACCTCCGACACAGGATCCGGACAGAAACCCTTACAACCCGAATGTAGCAACAGAAGTGTATCTGCGAGAACCGTTCGATGTGTACTCGTCTGTGCAATACGCTCAGTCCGACGGCCAATTCTGACGCTAGAACATCGTCTTAGACATCGACAACGATGTCTTCATTGGAGCAAGCAGCACTTGCGATGGGAGCACGTCGGTTGAGAGGAATTCTCTCCAACGAGCTGACGACAGAATATGTGTCTACAGGAGCACAGGTAAACGTTACATCAGGCAACATGTTCTGAAATAGGCTTGGTTTTTGGAAGTCATGATCTTCGCTGCGATAACAGCAGCAGTAAATGACATTAGGGATAGTGATTGAGGGGAACTTTAAGTGAAGAGTAGGGACGTTTCAACACGATAACGTCAGACCATATGTTGCTGGCCCACACGATTCCCTGATCTGTCACACTTTGAACAAATCTGTAATGAATTGGAGCGACGTTTACGACGTCATCCGAATCCTCCACAACACTGCAGACACCGGAAAATAATTCCTCGGATATGTATATCTTTCCCAGGACTTTCACTGACGTTTAGTGGCTTGAGAGTGGCGAAGGTGGGAGGCCTTCATCAATGCACAAGGTGGACACACCCGCTACTGACCGTGTGAACCGTGAACCCCTTCAGTCCAACCCCATGACCCCATTGTGTCGTGGCTGATTTGCATAAGCCAGTTGCGCTGTTCCTATGGACGGTTCTTTTTCTTTTTTCTTACCATGTAATAGCAATTCACTTTCAGTAAACGTTTAACACTGATTCTGTTTGTTGTGTGTGTCACAAAAAACCTTTGCCTTTGAGTACAGTATCCATCATTTTATTATCTACTGACATGACTCGATTACTTAGTTGTTTTAGGCTGGGCTATTTCAAGGGTCACAAATGATAACAGTGCTGATGCAGATCCTGGTCGGAGAGAGTGAGTGAGTTAAGTGTTACATCACATCGGCATTATTTCAGCCATATAGCGACGGGTGGTGGGAAAGAAAACATATGCCAGTGCTGGCAGCATTTCTGGCATCGTTGGCACAGTTATTGCCACGCCAAGAGTATTGAGGCAGATGAAGCGGCGATTGAGAGTGATGAGGAAACACTGCATCTTGATGTTCCACAGAGTTACACGAACTGCACGTGCATACCCAACGGTGGCAGGGCGAGCCCGGGTCTGTGTGACTTCGACTGTCCATACCTGTATCCCTACGCTGTGACCCTTGCTGTCTCGGCCTTTCTCAGCACAATGCTTATCATGCCAAAGGTCATCATAAAGATCAGGTGAGATCATATTTGCTAAAGGTCATCATGAAATCAGGTGAAATCATACTTACTAACTACTAACTCTCCCAAAAGTCCAAACCTTTCACAATCGGTTTTCCTTTTGAGAATATTTTCCTAAAGAGAAAAATTGTCACAAGACGATTTCCACAATAAACTCGTGAAGATCCGGCTTTGAATCGGTCTTCAGAAACCCATGCTTTTCTTAAGAGGCGACTAACGGGATCGGGTGGTCAGGCTCGCTGACTTGGTTGACACGTGTCATCGGTTCCCAATTACGCAGATCGATGCTCATGCTGTTGTTCACTAGATTGTCTGGTCCAGACTCGATTATTTACAGACCGCCGCCATATAGCTGGAATATTGCTGAGTGCGGCGTAAAACTAAACTCACTCACTCACCCCATGCTGTTGATCACTGGATTGTCTGGTTTTAACTCGATTATACAGACCGCCGCCATATAGCTGGAATATTGCTTTGTGCGGCGTTAAGCAACCTACAAGAAACCATTTCCACAAGCAAATGATCAGCTTGTGTTCTACGTTTTCATTATTCTTCATTATGTTCTACTTTTTCATGTGATTTAGGTTTGGGATTGTTTTTCATATCAAATTTTCCTAAACCTTATACATGTATTTCATTTGATTTTCATGTGCTCTAAATTTTATTTTCATCCGTTTTATTGTGTTTTATTTTCATTTGATATCGTTTACATGAGGTCAACTTCTTCATTTCATTTGATTTTTATGTTTTCTGAACTTTTGCCTTTCAGGTACTCTTCATTTTCATTTGATTTCATTTACGTGGAGTCTATATTTTCATCTGCATCCATTTACAATTAATTTGATTGAGATTTTCATTTAATTTTCATTTGCTCTTTTAATTTCATTTACATTGGGTTTACACATTTATTTAATTAACATCGACTCTACATTCTCATTTGTTTTAGAGTTTTATTTAATTCCATTTTCCCGGGGTTTGTATTTTCAGGAGCGTCACAGAATGGGAGAAACCGATTGCGATTGCGTTTTCATCGTTTATGACGTCAATGTTTGGTAGGACATTTAACATGGTTTAGGAACTGCATATCCAATTGTTTTCAAGTTCTATAAAAGGTTGATTCGGATAAAGGAATATCTCAACAAGATGATGCTCTTTGGAAACAGTACCAAATCATCTTTCATATGACACACAAATACATGTAATGAAATATTACAATCAAAGTTTTGTATATAACACTTAAATGTATAGATATTTGATACCAGACGAAGAGTATCCGCCATTTCTTCTGTAATTCCTGGCTCCGTGAATGAGTGTTTCGAAAACCTCATATGTTGGTTCTGGTCATGTATAACGTTGTTTTATTTACGTCTTACTGCAGGCTGGCTCCTTGGACGTGTTTCGAAAACGAAAATGTGCCAGTTCTGGTCATCTAAAACATTGCCGTATTTACATCTTATTTCAGGCTTTCTTCTTGGACCAATCATATACGGCCGCGTCATAGACTCCACCTGCCTGATTTGGGATTCGCCTTGTGGTGAAAGAGGAGCATGCGCATTATATGATATCGTCGACTTCCGTCAGAAAATGCATGGATTCTTCGTAGTATCGCGTGGTGTAACCTGCTTCTGTTTGCTCATCGCTCTGGCAATTGCCGTTAAGACTAAAAAGTTGCAAAATGTCAAGCCCACGAAGGAAAATGAAGAGGAGGTGATCCAAGGATAAAAATAGTGAAATATGATTGCAGCGAGCAGGGTGTTACCAACTTATAAATCAGTTCCTGCCAAAGACATATATTCACTTCTTTTTGTCAGTAAATCAAGTCTTAATTCTGGCTGTTTCTCTGATAGGATGAGATAGACATTTTTCCCCTTTTACACCGCTTTTAGAATTATGCCATCAACGTCATGTCGACAGGGGGCGGTACGGTAGCCTAGTGGTTAAAGCGTTCGCTCGTCTTGACGAAGACCCTGGCTCAATTCCCCAAATGGGTACAGTGTGTGAAACCCATTACTGGTATCCCCCGCCGTGATGTTGCTGGAATATTGCTAAAGCGGCGTAAAACCATACTCACTCACTCATGTCCACGGACATGGATTCCACACATTGTTATTATATGGTGAATAGAATTCACGTCCTCGGCTTTTGCATAACGATCACTGGCTATAGTCTAATTCTGTGAATTACTTAGTCTGTGTCAAGATTGGTCAATGCTATTTTAAACACGTGCTTATGGTATAGTCAGCCATCCAAAGTACAGAAGAAAATAGAATAGAACCACCCACAACATAAAGCCAACTGGAAATACATCTACTCCGGCGGCAACGGTGTAGATATTCATGCTGCGATTGTCATGTGGAACATATTGGAATTTGTACATATATAGTAATAAAACGGCCTTTCTCCAAACTTGAGCACGCACGTAGCAAGCCAGTGTTTTCGTGTAAGCCCGATAGGTTGCAAAGTAGTATTGAGGCTTGCCCAACCTTTTTAACAACAATCATATGTAAGCCTGGGCTTTTTTTATAATGGTAGCTACGCCCCTGTTGAGTTGAAAGAGCAGTACATGCCACAACACCGAAATAGCATACTATAGTTCTTGTAAAGAAAACCGGAACTTAATATCGCCTACACCATCACCTGTATAGCACTACATTTACCACAAAACATATACTGAGAGAAACAAATAAAGGAACACTAGACAATTCTAGTGTTCCTTTAATATTTTCCAGTTTTCATCACCAGCTTTAATAGCGCTGTGGGAGGAAATCTGAGAATAAATAAAATAAAAGGAACACTGCATGAAGTGGCGTTCCTTTATTTGTTTCCCCCAGTATATATAGCGTCACATTACTATTCTGTCTATCTGGTTCATTTGATTTTAAGAATATTACAATGTGATCATGTCCTCGCCTAAATATACTATATACGTTTATTTGATAAAATTATATGTATCCTTTTGTAGATAAATATGCATGTATCCTTTTTTGTTCTATCAAATGAGTCAGACGTCAGTGTTTGCTAAAGATGACGATTATTTCCGATGACGATTATTTGGAGATTTAACGTGCGCTTTCCAACTTGATGCATATTTCGCACATGGGTCCGCCAGGCGATTTGGTGTTAGACCCAGAGACGGGTGATTATGGCCGAACGAAAGGACAGCCTCGGGGAGGCGTTAAGGTTGCATATTTGATTGTATTAATTTTGATATTGTAATTTTGCTAGAAGTGGTGGGGGCAGCGGAAACACGGGGTATTGTGCCTGGTTGCATTCTATTTTCATTTCCTCCTTTTGTTTCAGGTTATGTTGTTTTTTAAAAGATGATTTCTGTTTTGATTTGTTTCACTGCCGGGTCATGATGAATATATGCATTTCAGTGTTACGTATTTTGACCCACCGAATGATAATTATCTCCTTGGAATCGGATGATCACAATGTGTGTCCATCAGTGTTAAACATATTGACCCTTTTGAATTATAATTATCTCCTTGGAATCGGATGATCACGATGTATGTCTAGCAGTGTTTGATACATTGATTATAGTTGACATGGATCGGATGATTACAATGTGTGTCTATCAGTGTTAAATATATTGACCCTTTTGAATTATAATTATCTGATTGGAATCGGATGATCACGATGTATGTCTAGCAGTGTTAGATACATTGACACAGTTGACATGGATCAGATGAATTACAATGTGTGACTATCGCTGTTAAATATATTGACACAATTGAATTATAATTATCTGATTGGAATCGGATGATCACAATGTGTGACTATCAGTGTTATTTATGCACCTCGTCATAAATATCGCACCACCCACTTTTTTCACAAGTAAAACTGGATCTACAACCTCATACAAATGGTGCTTACAAAAGCACATTAACTGTTTAGATGGCCTCATGTGAGCGTTCAGTCAGAAAATTGACAACACAAGACGGCTGAATTTGAGCACTAATTGATGGTTTAACAATATTGCAACATCACGGCGGGGACACCAGAAATGGGCAAACTAAAGTTGACGAGCCAACGCACTAAAATAACACACCGCACTAATTGATGGTTAAAGCAAACTAAAGTTCACTAAAATCACCGTAAAAAGGTGAAATAAGTATGGCTGCCGGGGTCGTTACAACAGACACACAACACAATCACATTTCATTAATGTTGAACACACTAGTAAGGTCCACAATGACTGGCTAACTCAGTATCTGGTGTAACCGCCTCGCACTTGGATAACATTTTCTACACGCCGTCTCATGCTGGCCACCAGACGTCTGATTCTCTGTTGGGGATCTGCTGCCACTCATCATGCAATGCAAGGGTCAATTCCTGAAGGTTCTGAACTGGAGGATCCCTTGCTCTCACCCTACGTCCCAAAATGTCCCACAAATGCTCAATAGGATTCATGTCTGGACTTCTGGCTGGCCATGGTAGTGTCTCAATGGCGTTGTGTTGGAGATGCTGAACAACAGCTCGAGCACGATGTGGTCTGGCATTATCGTCCATGAAGACTGGACGTGTGACGAGAGCATGGTTATCGATATGAGGCACTACAGCACCGTCCAGGATCAAGTTCTGGTACCTCTGTCCATTCAGTGTCCCGTGAACTGTGATGAGGTCAAGTTTACAATCACAGGAAGAACACACCCACACCATGACGGATCACCCCCAAATGAAACTTCAACTTGAATGTTCCTCTGATCATATCCTGTGCCTCTCTGCCTCAAAACACGTTCCCTCCCGTCTTTATGATGCAGCAAAAATCGGCTTTCATCGGACCAGTGAATTTTTCTCCTTGTCCTCAGGTTCCAGCGAGCACGTGCTTGGCACCAGGCTAAACGGGCATGGCGGTGCTGATTTAAAGCTTAATTTATGCCTACAATCAAATTTTAGCTGTGGCAGCCTACATAACATACGCCAAAAGGGGCTATGTGCATACTATATTTATAGCAAACCGACCCCCGGAACATGCATGCATAAGGCAAGCATGCACGTGCAACTCAGAACAGGGTGTGTTTATGATTTTATGTTCACAGATGGCGTCGTATATTACATGTATGTGTTGTGTAAAAAATCTTTTTTCTACTTTGACTTTCAAATGGGTGGTGCTATACTTTTGACGAGGTGTATATATTGACACATTAAGTTTTATTAAACTAATTACAATAAGTTCATTAAATTGAAGTTGTTATCTTTATCATATATGTCTACACATAGATCCGGATTAGAATAGCTACAAAAAAAAGAAAAAGAAAGGTGATTTGAATATTGCTGTCGGTGAAGTGTATATATTATCTACGGTGGCATTGAATCTGAACGCAGCAATTGGTCACAATGAAATTTCACATCATGCATGAACAGCATGTGCTGCACGTGATGGGAGTCTTTTGAGGACGACACGATTACAAATTCAACCCAGGCACTGAGCAACTGTGTATTTATTGGAGCAGACATAATTGCGAAATTTTGGGTTCAACAGAGATGGGACTTCAAATCCCAAGTTGCCCGAATGTAGCTCAACTCAACAAAGTGTAATTTCTCGACTGTAGCACAAGTACCGTTAAAATATTGAGTAGTCGTGACAAACCTACAAGGAGGTCAAGATCCCCTCAATATCGCTCAGATCTGTTCCTTTTATTCCTGATGGTCTTTGCTGATACTCTATCTCAGAACAACTATCTGCTGGTGGAGCTTTCTGTCAAACAATTGTTGCCGAGATTACGAAACCTGATTCGTACGTCATCTTGGTGCGACATCACACGAGGCGCCTCAGACCTTTGGCGATCTGCAACGGTGCCTGTCATATTTTTAGTTTAGCAATGTCTGTGTGCTTGTATTCCAATGCACGTGTGATCGCATCATGCCTGGTTCTCATTTGGCCTGCGATTGGTCTACGGCGCCCGTAAACTGCCCGCAGCTCCATTTCCGTGCGGTCGCTGTGCGGCGGCAGGCGACGGAGGTACGATTATAGCACGATTCTACGGGCGCCGAAGTTTGACAAATTTGAAAAAAAATCGTAAGCCCGTAGCTAGTTATGGCACCGCACACGTACCGCACGATCACCGCGATGCCACCTACGTTCCAAAAAACTGCACGAAAACTGAACGATCACCGTGCGATCTCCGCTCAAGCCTCCGCACGGACGCCGCACGATCACAGTAAGATCTTACGATTTCTGTGCAGCCTCCATACATGTTTGCCTCAGCCTGTCCCCAAGGAAATCGCACGATGCCCGTAGACAATGTGAACACAAACATCGTATCCCGCGGTCACCCACGATGCCTAAAAAAATCGTACGGAAAATCGTGGACTACTTTATCGTACGGCGCCCGTGGCAAACGTGACCCAGGTCTAAGGGGACCCTGACTCGCTGCAGGTGATTGCTGTTTCACAATTTGCGACTAATTATTTTCACGTCGGTCGCCAAGACTAAAATAATGATGTAATACACCATCACCGTATTGAAACGAATAGGTAACGGATTAATTTACGCATCCGTGAGTTCGAATCCAGATTATTCATCCGGAACATTTGCTTCAGTTCCCCAATGTTGGCGGACTACACAGTGCTCATTTATAAAGAGGAAAAGTCATTGCCAAGCGTCACATGAGACTTTCTCCCACAAAAGTGATGATAGAACTGAAATACGATGTTGAAAAGAAATTTCCACGCACACATTATCAACATATAACAAGAGCATGTAGAATAGTTGTTTATTCATAAAGAAAAATAAGGATATATAATGTCTGTAAAATAGCATATTTACACCATTCTATGCAATACCTTGCTTAGGTTTAGACAAAAGTTACAAATCCAGAAAATGCAAACTACAGTTGCCTTGGGTTTTACAATAAATAAATAGCTTACTCCTGTTCCAAAAGCCGTATCGTTTTCCGGGTTCTTGGGAAAGAAATATGTGGACATGCGGTAAACTCGCATTAAATTTATCGGGCGGGAGGATTTTGTTTTTACATTTTATTCTATTTCATGCGCCAAACCCCTTGATTTCTGTGGGAATTTTCTCCGATAGAAAATGAAAACTTAGAGGTATAAAGACGTCATGCACATTTTGAGAGTCAAAGTTACATTTTATCTAGTGTAAAAACTCAACAAAACCTCGAATTGTTGGGTCGGGCGGTATTGAGAAACAATAACATTTTTATATATGGCCTAAATATCCCCAACAGTGTATATTTCTGCCAAGGCATCTACGTTATGGTGTACTTGCATATATTGTATAATCCATATACAAGGTCCTGTGTAACACATTATTTGAAAGCAGGTAATACTCTGCTGTAACGCTTGTTTCAGTCCTGTTTCACTAGTTGGTCATCACAGCACCTCCTTCTCTTCATCTTCTTTCGTGGGGTTCTTATTTTCAAATATTTTCGTCTTAACGGCTATTGCCAGAGCGATGAGCAAACAGATGCAAGTTATAGCACGTGACACAACGTAGAATCCGTGGATTTTCAGACGTAAATCAACGATATCGTATAATGCGCATGCTCCTTTTTCACCACAAGGCGAATCCCAAATCAGGCAGGTGGAGTCTATGACGCGGCCGTATATGATTGGTCCAAGAAGAAAGCCTGAAATAAGGTGAAAATAAGGCAATGTTATAGATGACCAAATCTGGCACATTTTCGTTTTCGAAACACATATACATGTAATGAAGGAATTAAGAATGAAACTGACTTGGACTCTCTTTCTAGTTTCAGTTGCAAAACTTGATATGTTTTTAAAATTGACAAAACATTTATAAAGAAACTGAGCGGGATCAGGCAATATTTCAGTAGCTCAAGCCTTTCGTGACCACATTTCACAACATTTGACATAAAATCGACAAGCTCTTTCTACGAAGATGTCAGACGAATCTTGCACAGTGAGTGAGTTTAGTTTTACGCCGCACTCAACAATATTCCAGCTATATGGCGGCGGTCTGTAAATAATCGAGTCTGGACCAGACAATCCAGTGATCAACAGCATGAGCATCGATCTGCGCAATTGGGAACCAATGACATGTGTCAACCAAGCCAGCGAACCTGACCACCCGATCCCGTTAGTCGCCTCTTACGACAAGCATGGGTTACTGAAGGTTCATTCTAACCCGGACCTTCACGGGTGAATCTTGCACAGACGTTGTTTGATACCTGAGTGTGTTAGTATGGTTTTACGCCGCTGTTATCTATATTCCAGCAATATCACGGCAGGGGGCACCAGAAATGGGCCTCACACATTGTACCCATGTGGGGATTCGAACCCGGGTCTTCGGCGTGAAGACCGAACGCTGTAACCACTAGGTTATCCCACCGCCCCGTCAAAAAGATGTAGAAAGTATATCAGAGAGAATTGTATGATAAGTATATCAGAGAGAATTGTATGGTAAGCATTCTAAGTTGAAGGATGACAACTGGATTGTAACGTCTTCAGGAATCGAACCCGGGTCTTTGGCGTAACGAGCGGATGCTTGAACCATTAGGCTACCCACCGAACCTGTTTGATAACGGTTAACGACTAAGATGAAGATATACACATACATTCCTTAAGGCGAATGTATTCTTAGGATAGAACAAATATATGCAGATCTTGTTGAATTCCTTACCGAACAATGACGTCATACACGATGAAAACGCAACAGCCAACGGTTTCTGCTTCTCTGTGACACATCTGAAAATATACAATACGTGAAAATATCCACTCCATGGAAATGTAAAGATAGATCTCACGTGATGAAAGTACAACCGTATGTGAAAAAGAGTGAGTGAGGATTTTACGCCGCTTTTAGCAATATTTCAGCAATATCACAGCGGGGGACACCAAAAATGGGCTTCACACATTGTACCAATGTGGGGAATCGAACCCTGGTCTTCGGCGTGACGAGCGAACGCTGTAACCACTAGGCTATCCGCCGCCCCGTGAAAAAGATGATGTAGCATCAATCAGGGAGAATTGTATGATTAGCATTCTAAGTAGAAGGATGACAAATGGATTGTAACGTCTTCATTGGTCTGTAAAACGACGTTTATTGTAGTATGTCGTTGTCAGGTAACACTGAATAATAACCTGGTACACACTTATGTACAGTAGTCGAAGGATTAACGGTAACGTTGGTTGTATGTTGTATATGTAGGTAAATAGCAGAAAAAAAGACATTTTCGCACACCTACCTCAAGAAGTGACACAGGTGTTTGAACAAAAGACCAGGTGCATCACAAACCCAATAAAACCAAACCAAAACAAAACAACAAAAAACAACCCCTCCCCTCCCCCCAAAATGACCGTCTTTTTTCTGCTATTTACCCACATATACAACGTCTGTATACAAAAACGATAAAGAGGACTGGATTAAATAATAACATAATATCGACTATGTACAATTTTGCACCATTCCCTTACTTCCAGCTTACTTGACAACGACTCAAGGATTTATATCGAAACGTCCCTATGACAAAATCATTAATAAGTTGTTATTCATATTTGTGTCTACTTTGTCAATGAGAAAGACATTAAATAGAAATATATATGAAAATAAATGATTATGTGAACACACGAAATGAAATATGTGACACAAGAAAATAATATATCTAAAATGCATAACATTTTCGTAAACACCCAATACACATGCCTGCCTGCACGTGGATGTTTATTTTAACAAAGAGAAAATGGAGCAGCTAAATGAACTGATATTGTTGTAATGACCAACATGCCAACAAATTCCAAACAAAAAACAACTACAAAAAAGACCCCCCCCAAAACAACAACAACAACAAAACCAAAAAAACCACAACAACGTTTGATAAGCTTCGTTGAAACATATGCACCAGGTGGGCAGTAAATGGTGATCTCACTTGATATTTATGATGGCCTTTAGCAAATGTGATCTTACCTGATCTTTATGATGATCTTTGGCATAATCATCATAGTGCTGAGAAAGGCCGATACAGCAAGAGTCACAGCGTAGGGATACAGGTAAGGACAGTCGAAGTCACACAGACCCGGGGTCGCCTTGCCACCGTTCGGTATGCACGTGCAGTTCGTGTAACTCTGTGGAACAAAGCGAAGAGTCTTTCCTCAAAGCATCACTCTCGATCGCTTCATTTGTTCCAATGCTGCCGGCGTGACAACTACTGTGGAACGCTACAACTACTGCAGCAATAAGTAAGACACCACTCGGCCCTGCTGCTTCTACCCCAGCACTGAAACCAATCTGCTTTAGCTAATGGAATTACCACGCTGTTTGATCATTTTATCTCTTGCAACCCTTCAAAACGACCAGTTCTGAATAATTGACTTGCCGTTGCATGTGTTTGGGACGCCAAAGGCAGGATACACTCAACTCTTTAAGAACACCTTGTATCCTCACTCTTTGATAGTGATTCATAAACACATGTTCTTGGCATATTGGAGATCGTAAATGGGTTTTGCTTTTATTGTGGAGATGGTTTTGTGTTTGTGGCTAATGTCTAATACCAATGGTTATCACCATCATACTGATTATTTCCCCGACCGAGTCATACCAAAATACGTAAAATATGGTACTTGTTGGTCCCTGCCTGGCGCTAGGCATTAATGGGTACAACACGAACTGGTCGGCTCGGTGTCAGTATAATGTGTCTGATTGGGGTATTCATGCTTCACTGCGGCATGGTATCTCAGTGGGCTAGCACTATAAAACCAGCTTCCGTCTGGGCTAGTACAAGCAGCCTCACATACACATACACACGCATGCACGTCGTCATATGAGCGAAATATTCTCAAGCACGACGTTATACCCAACTTCACCTCACCTCACCTCACTCAAACTGATTATACTTACTGAAAGTTAAGCATTTAGTAAGTCTTGGTTAACTCATCGGGTATTTAAAGCAGTAATGTCAAATCTCACCCTGATTCAACTGAATACTCGACAAATACGTCTATATTTTCATTCTGGCTTGATGCGTTGGGCTACATGAACGTCAAAAAAGAACAATGTTATGGATAAATAATAATTACAATAATGAGAATATTTATAACGCGCCTTTTCCAGGCTAGATATATCCTGCTCAAAGCACACAATCTGATCATTATTGTCCCCGGATATCTCAAGTTGACTCTTAGGCGCTAGAAGGTTTATAGTCTCACGACTTGTTTCGCTGGGTACCCATTTTCCTTATTGCAATAGATTTGACGTTTCGGTGGAGATGCTATCAAGCAAGTGATGATGACGGTGTTAGTCTCTACACCGCATCTATTGCAATAAAGAACGCTGTCTATGAATAGAAAATGTTCCTATTCATCATACCAGCTACTAAATGCCACTTAAAGGCAACACACGAATGTTGTATTTCTTCTTATATTGAAACTAGTGTTTTGTATTACCGGTCCTTTCTGGGCGAGGCACCCTGCGTGGCACGGTGAGTAATAGTTGTTGTTGTCGGAGCCACAGATGGGGAAGAAGTCGTTGTCGTTGCAGTGGCAGGTGGAACTTCCGCAGTCGTCTATGTCAGCTGTCAAAGACGTCGTTGTCCTAGAGCAAAAGCGTCACGTTATCATAAAAACGTAATTTATGAGTGGTTATTGTTTGCCGCCTAATCAGTATTTACTCGCTATTCATAAAATACTGATGATAAAATACAATATTCCAGCAATATCACAGCGGGGGACACCAGAAATGGGCTTCACACATTGTGCCCATGTGGGGAATCGAACCCGGGTCTCCGGCGTGACGAGCGAACGCTTTAATCACTATGCTACCCCGCCGCCCCTATTAAATTTATGAAGGAACAAATCATTTATTATTCTGAAAGGAAGGGGATGCTGGCTGTTGGATGGGGAGGGACGATGGGGGATGGCGAGAGAGGAAATCTGACTTTTCTTTGAGGCAGATCGTCCCTTGCGTCAGCGCTCTAAGGCCGGGTACAAATATGTCATTTGTCATGGAGATACATTGGGATGCTATAATTCCGTGTTTACTGAGATTGTACCTCGTTAAATAATGAATTCACCTACCCAGGTTGGTTCAGTATCTTTGGTTGTGGACATCCAAACAGATATCCAAGGGACATTATTGCGATTGCGACGAACGTGAAGATGTTGACAAACTTCAACCCTGTTATGGGACTCATCTTAAACTTTTTGGTCAACCAACCGCCAACAAACGTTCCCAGTGACGCCATCGGCATGCTCAGACCAGCTGGAATAAAAAAAATCATAAATTCACTGTAGAGTAGAAATTGTCTAAACAGCAATCTTGATCTCGCATCATTACGCATAATAGGGGATATTCCATTTGGGGGTAATATTATTTGGGAAGTGGTCACTCCATTCACATCGTGTTGTATGAATTTCTTGCAATTCTTGCAAAACGTCAATTTCTTGCAAAACGTCAATTTCTTTCAATTTCTTGCAAAACGTCAATTTCTTTCAATTTCTTGCAAAACGTCAATTTCTTGCAAACGTTTTTCATGATGTGCAGACCCGTGAAGATCCGGGGTAGACTAGGTCTTCAGCAACCCATGCTTGCCACAAAAGGCGACTATGCTTGTCGTAAGAGGCCACTAACGGGATCGGGTGGTCAGGCTCGCTGACTTGGTTGACACATGTCATCGGTTCCCAATTGCGCAGATCGATGCTCATGCTGTTGATCACTGGATTGTCTGGTCCAGACTCGATTATTTACAGACCGCCGCCATATAGCTGGAATATTGCCGAGTGCGGCGTAAAACTAAACTCACTCACTCACTCATGATGTGCACGTGAACATGGTCGGGGGAAATTTCGAAATTTACTGTGAAATCAGTTTGTTGCTGTACATTTCAGTGATAAAAACCAGACTGAAAGTTGTTCTGATATCGTTGTAAACTCAACGTCTGTAACGTCAGGGACGCCTTCGCGCAATTAACATGTTGGAAGCTGGAACGTCACATTACTGCAAAACGTCGTTTGTGTCAAGAGAAGGCGCGCTGGGCCAATCGTCGTTGGGCAGACATTATCTTTTCGGATGATTGAAGGTTTGTTTCCTTTACAGGCACAACAGAGTGTGGCGAAGACGGAGGAGCGTTTCCAAACACTCTCAACGAACTTGCGCTGCCCTTCAGGAAGAGGGGCGGTCGGGTAGCCTAGTGGTTAAAGCGTTCGCTCGCCACGCCGAAGACCCGGGTTCGATTCCCCAATGGGTACAATGTGTGAAGCACATTTCTGGTGTCCTCCGCCGTGATATTGCTGGAATATTGCAAAAAGCGGCGTAAAACTAAACTCACTCACTCACTCCTTCAGGAAGAATTTGAACCAAATTGACACTGATTGGAGGTTCAATTAGGAGTATGCCTCGTCGAATCCGGGATTGTCTTCGGAATACAGGCGGATTCACGCCATGTTGATGAGTTTGACTGTACATGGTAAATGACGTAATGGATAGTAATGTGCTTCGGACAATCATCTAACAAAACTATGGTCATCTGAAGTTCAACGACTACTGCAAATCTGTCAGACGTCCCTGTTACTCTGTTAAACTTTTTATCTCCTGTAAAATATCAATACCTGTAACACCATTTTATTGAATATCTCCTACTTTGTTTAATAGTATATATTGAATATATAACAGTTCATCTTCTTGGATTCAGGATGTTATGTACCTAATACGGGTAAGCACCCATTTGGCAGAAAAACACGTTAAAAGCTAGTACTTGATGTTACGCTGCCTGCCGCTCGGCCTACACATATATAACGGGAGAAGGAGACCATAAGTGGAGCCTCTGTGCCTGATCCCTTTGTCTTTTGGACAATAAAATATGTTCAAACATATGTACGTCGCTATACAAGTGCAGTAATCTTGAAAACGATGTTTAATTCTATTCATCTGTTGGCAGGAATATAGTCTACAGGTCATGCCGACCTGTGCCCTTGTTTCAAGCGAAACGGTAAGACTTGAATATATAGTGCCTTTGATGTAAGAATGATGTCAATATATGTGACATTACAAAAATATATTGGCCCTTTGTAATACATATAACTTATAAATATACTAAGAAGCAAAAGAAACGTCAGTTTTATATTTTCCTTCGCAGAAACGGATAACTGTAAACTCATTTAATGTTTTGATTGTATATTTTTGACAACATCTCCAACTTTACCTGAGCAAAGACATTCCTTCCCAAACTCGGAATGGAACCCAGGAAATGGTCTCAAAAACGCAACCTGATCTCGAAGATGGTACTGTGTTCTCCATGTTTTTCATGCAACTCATGCTGCACGTGCTGTTCACAGGACCAGCCCTATAAAATGCACCCCCAAACCTGGTTGAAACATTCACATTACAACGTCAGCAGGATGCCGCGACTCACGACAGCTCAGAGGAACCAGGCTCTAGGAAGACTTGAAGCTGGCCACACTGCACAAGCCGTTGCCAATCACTTCCAGGTCAACGTTCGGACCATCTACAGGCTGCAGCAACTTTTCCGGGCCACCAAGACCACAAATGATCGCCACCGTACTGGCAGACCAAGGGTGACCACAAGACGACAAGGCCGCCATGTTGTGCGACAGAATGTACAGAATCCCTTCATGCAGGCATCCGAAACAGCACGCCAGACAGTGAGAACACACGGAAGACCAATCAGTACTGATACAGTACGCCGACGTCTTAACAGCAGGAACCTCCATTGCCGAAAAACCTTACCGTGGACCTATCCTCACCCCTCGTCATCGGCGTGAACGTCTACAGTTTGTCCTACAACACCAAAACTGGCGATACAGGCAATGGGGAACTGTTCTGTTCACAGATGAGAGTCGGTACTGCGTATCAACTGCAGATGGCAGAACAAGAATATGGCGACGACGTGGCCAGCGTTACTCAGACCAATGTGTTACGGAAAGACTCATGGGGAGGTGCAAGCATCATGGTATGGGGTGGAATATGCCTGAACCAGAGAGTGGGTCCTATGGTGTTCCAGAACCTTGGTCCAGGGAGAGGAGGCGGCATCACAGCGGTGCGCTCCATCGACCAAGCTCTCAGACCCAACGTCATACCACATTTCGCACGTCACCGGAACAACATTTTCCAGCATGATAACGCCCGGGCCCATACTGCCAGAGCTACACGGGACTTCATACAGCAGCACGGTGTCAACATTATGCAGTGACCAGCCCTTAGTCCTGATTTAAACCCAACTGAACATCTTTGGGATGAAATTCAGAGGAGACTCAATAATGTCATACCAAGGCTGAACGCAGCCGATTTATTGCGCCAGGCCTTTCTCAGAGTGTGGTTCCAGGTGTCAATGGCCTTCATCAATCGATTGGTGCACTCCATGTATAGACGCTGTGCTGCAGTTATTGCCGCTCGTGGTGGTCACACTAGATACTAAAGTCAAGAGTCTGAATGGACTGCAAACGTTCACGTAGTCTTGAAATTGTGCTGAGTTATTCATTGATGTGTCAAGATATTGTACACCAAAAATGTTTTTGATCCGCTTATTATGTAAATTTTTGTAATGATATGATTACAGTGCCTATCTAATTTTGAATTCGTACTGACGTTTTTTTTTGCTGCTGAGTATATTAATGATATTTTCTGTCCCAGTTCGACCGTCTCTGCGGTGTAGGCAATAGAACATATGTGAGGCGTTACAAGATGGTACTTGTTGTTGCCCTGTCTTGCTCTTGGCGCTGAGGGATTTAAGATGGACTGTGGTATTCGAAGTCAATAAGTGACAGTCAATATGCTGTATCTTAGTGGGGCATTCATTGTTACCTCAGGGGTCTAGCACTAAACGACAAGTATTTTAGTACCGACTGCTACGAGCAGCTAAAAGCAAACGCATGCATGCACAAGCGCGAGTGAGTCATACAAATGCAATTATCCTGAAAGGGACGATAAGCTCAATTTTACTTCTTCTCATTGATCATTTACCTCGTCACAGGAAATACTAACAGGAAGAAAGAGAAATGGTCTGTTTGAATACGTTACCCATGAGAAGGTTGGCTTTCCATGCCGGAAGACCGAACTGGTTTTCCTTGTACTTGGGCATGAAGACATGTGCGAAGTGTCAATTGCCAGACAATAAATTTTATTAAACGTTAAAAAATGTATATACTCTTTTAAGAAAAAGGGAAAAAAACCCACAACATTATTAAAGGGTTTTTGTTTTATGTTATTTAAGTCCATTCAATTCATTTTTCGTATAATGTCAAAAGAAAATAGTACGTTACCCATGAGAAGGTTGGCTTTCCATGCTGGAAGGCCGAACTGGTTTTCCATGTACTTGGGCATGAAGGCATGCGCTCCCCCAACAGAGAACAGATGAGTGACACTGGCCACGACCAGAGTGACGTACAGAGGGTTGGTCAAGATGCCCACAAGTACCTTTAAGTAATCTGTGAATAGACAACTAAAGTTGAAGAAGGTTGAAGAACAAAGATTGGTTGCGTTGGCCAAATGTCATGTTCTTGAAACTACCTTTGCAAGTGTACTCAGTTAAAGCTCTAACTGTGGGACGTGAGTGAATTTACGTTGCATTCAGCAGTACGTTGCATTCAGCAAATTGAAGTTATATGTGACATTGACATCATTCTCATTTGTAACGTTACTTGATGTTCTAGTTCGGAAAACCAAGCTTGTCGTTAGCGTCGACTAACGGGATCTGGTGGTCAGACTCGCTGACTTGGTTGACACATGTCATCGTATCCCAATTGCGCAGATGCTCGATGCTCATGGTGTTGATCTCTGGATTATTCTCGATTATGTACTGACCGCCGCCATATAAAATGAATTTTATTGAATTTTGGTAAGTGTGGCGTTAAACAACAAACAAACGAAACATATCTCGGCATCATCACTAGTGATTCACTAACATATCGGATGCCTACAATAGACTCGTGACGATTGCAGAAAATGTTTTATCGTGTTTTCATACATGTAAATGTCATTTGGACCCATATGCCATTATTGCCAGCGTTGATATAATGAACTATACCTTTAACCTCTACAATAAGTTTGGCTGTGAGGTTATCAAGATTCTTTTTCTGTTTCTTTATATCGTCCATGGCATCGCTTGGTGGAGCATTCTTTAGTCTGCGGGGGAAGAAGAAAAGAGGGAAGCTCATAATGATGGCTGCAGCTCCGAACACGAGGTATCCCAGCCACCAGGCACCGATCCAACGAGGGTGGCGGGGGTACAGGTCTGTGTCTGAAATGCGTCAAGATTAGCATACAGGATAGGCGTAATTCATGAATGTGTTATAGGCTAAATGAAGAAATAATCCAACTAGATCCAGTTTGGTGTTTAACGACAACCCAAGACCCGAACCACGACGTCCCGACTCGATAACACGACAATCATGTCAACCACTTCCACTACCCTGTCCTCTTCGTCGCCTCTTACGATGAGCATATATTCCTTGAGGAGTATTCCAGCTGAGTGAGTGAGTGGGTTTAGTTTTACGCCGCTTTTAGCAATATTCCAACAATATCACGGCGGGGTATTCTAGCTGAGATGAGCATCGCAGTGGGTGGGAAGACATTCTACATTGTACATACCTTCAAGCGTGAACATTGCTTTAGTGGTATGGCAGAAGTAGATTGTGACCATGTACATATCTCCCAACGTGAGCCTTTCTGTGGCCTGTAGTTATTCACATACCTTACCCAGGAGGTCCGGGGTAGAATATTGATCTTCAGTAACCAATTCTTGTCGTAAGAGGCGACTAACAGGATCGGGTGGTCGGGCTCGCTGACTTGGTTGACACATGTCATCGTTTCCCAATTGCGCAGATCGATGCTCATGCTGTTGATCACTGGAATGTCTGGTCCAGACTCGATCATTTACAGACCGCTACCATATACTGGAACATTGCTGAGTGCGGCGCAAAACTAAACTACTATGACATACCTCCTTACGTGACATATAGCTGGTGAAGTATTGCCGAGACTGAAGGCCAGAGCTGGACCGAAGATGGCCAACTGAATGATGCCTGCAATGAGAAGGGGAAAATGTATAAGGGAGAAGACATACCTCCTAGCGAAGATGGTATACGGGAGAAGATATATCCGGGAGAAGATGTATACGGGGAAGCTGGCCGAGACTGAAGGCGGGAGAAGCTGGACCGAAGATGGTTTACGGGGGAAGATGGATTATGGTTTACGGGAGAAGATGGCCTGGAAGATGGTATACGGGGAAGAATACGGGGGAAGATAGTATACGAGAGAAGATGGTATACGGAGAAGATGGTTTACGACGGGAGAAGATGGTATACGGGAGAAGATGATATACGGAGGAAGGCTATGGTATACGGGGAAGATGGTTTACGGGAAGATGGTATACGGAGGAAGATGGTTTACGGGATGGAGAAGATGGAAGATGGTTTACGGGGAAGATGGTTTACGGAGAAGATGGTATACGGGGGAAAATGGTTACGGGAGAAGATGGCGGAAGATGGTATACGGGGAGAAGATGGTTTACGAGATGGTATACGGGGAAGATGGTTTACGTGGAAGATAGTAAACGTAGGAAAATGATATGCGGGAGAGCTGACAATGAGTATCAGTGACTTTTGTGTATGTGCCCATCCAATTTTGCAAGAATAACACAGATAACAAATACAAAATATATGGAGAACAATAAAATGCAATATGTCAATTCTACAAATATCCTAAAGGATGAGGATGAACATGATATCTTCAGACAATAGTATATGATTAAGCACCGTTGGAGATAATTATGATGACAAAACTCTAACGTACCCATATAATATCCTGTTTTGGCTTTTTCCACATTTCCATCTACATATGTTATCAAGAACGGATTTCTTGGGGCCTTTGCTACCCCTTGCAGAGCCATCCCGATGACGATAATCCCAAGCGCTGCAGCCGCATGATCACGTGGTCTGTTTGACGTCACTTCCGATTTTTCAGGAGAATCAGATTCTTCACAAAAGTTCATGAGCGAATCATTTGCTAACGAACACAGGCCATACACTCGTGACTGAGACGTCGCATTACTTGATACAAACTCTTGATTGGGCTCTTCACTGGGTGACTGTTCCATTCCAAACAGGAAGTGAGGTAAGCAGCAAATTAGACCGGAAATGCCAAAAAGCATGACACTTGCTGACATGAACCGGGGAATATGAGATCGATGGGCAAAGTGAGCAATGAATACGACAACAAGCATATAGCCAATGTCGTTACTAGCCATTATTATTCCCGTTTCTGCGCTAGTAAAGCCAAACTGACGCTCCAGTGTCGTGACTTGGGAATTAACATATGTCAACAACGTTGCCGAAAGAAGACTTGTTATGCTGTAGAAGCCGGTGAAGCCGGCAATGTTGGCAAACACCTGCAGGGCACGTGGTTTGCACGACCCTATCCCGCACTGGGTATCCGGGTCGTCCTCCTCCGTCAAAACAACATGGCCACTTTTCGTTTTCTGATTTTCTTGGTTGTCCAAAAGGGACATCTCATTGTCCCTTTTCTCCGTCATTTTGTCGTTTCAGTCAGAAATCTGTAGCAAGACGATCCTAACAACGGAGGTTAATTCAGTCAGAAATCTGTGGAAAAATGACATGAAGATGTAAATGGTAGTCATTATACGTATAAGTCAACAATGTCCTAGATATATCACTGATCCATGGTTGTTTTATAACATCGGCGGCAATCCGATAACAACAACGATAACAACATTGATCCTAGTTGTAAGCCTACCTGCCAATCGGCATTAAGTGGTTAAAGTTCAAAGTCAGTATAATGTGTTTGAGTGATGTATTCATATGAATCAGCGGCATGGCATCCCAGTGGGGTAGCATTATCAAACCTGCATTAGTCCGGACTAATTCAATCAGTCGTACACGCGCGCACCTGCGTGCGCGTCGCCGTGAATACAGTAATGTTTAAAGCGTAGTTAAACCCTACTTCTTCTCATCAGTTCTTTTGGACTACTCGCAGTGTAAAGATGGCAGATGCCATCAGTAGTATTTACCAAAACAAAACCTTAGTCAAAAACAATCAATGTCAGCCTTCAAATAATCGACCGGAAAAGAGACTCGCAGATACACATTTTAGTTTTCTCCCGGAAAGCCCCCGTGCGACCTTGCCGAGACATTACTGAACGCGGCGTAAAACTGTATCCGCTCCCGCAATTACTCTGATGGGGTTCTCGGAGCGAAAGCGAGAAAGCAATGATTACAACAGCTACTAGAGTCAGGGGGTTACGTCTAATAAGTATTCCGGTATAATTTTAACGATGTCCAGGTTTCCTGACCAAAGAGGTTCTGGTCGCTACGACATCCAGACAAACGTGGTTCCAGGGACTGCATGATACTTAAGTTCGGAATCCACTTACCAACCACGTGTCATCACCACACCTGTCACATGTTGGTGGCATGGCATGTTGTTTGTATGTATGCCTTATCATGACTCTGTGTGTAGCTGCATATAGACAGCGTTAGGATGCTGGTAAGTGTGGAAAAAGTGAGGTCGCAGGAGGAACCTGGATAAAACCTTGTTCTGGGTACATTGCCACACACAACCATGCATCTTGTCCTCGCCGCCTGAACACTATCAACATTGGCAAAATTGTACTGGATACATCAACCCTCCGGCCATTGAAATGGTTGGGGGTGGGGGGTTATTGATAAGAGCCCCATGTCTCGTAAAGGAATGAACGTGAAAGAAGGTCGAATTATTATTGCATTATTACAGTGTGAGTGATTGTTTACCTCATAACACCAGCAATATTGTCACGTTCGTGGCCAGATTGTCCAGGGCAAGCGATGACTTGATAAAATGGTCTATGTTCAAATTATCGTGTGTTTTACGCCGCTTTTAGCAATATTCCAGCAACATCACGGTGGGGGACACTAGAAATGGGCTTCACACATTGCACCCATGTGAGAAATCGAACCCGTTTTCGAAGAGCGGACGCTTTAACCACCAGGCTACCCCACCGCCCAGCAATGACGTCTAACGATAAACTAGTGATAACTTAAATGGTGCCCCAATCGGCGTTAATCCCAGTTCGCATACGCACGCACAAACGCACGCACACATGACACCATACCTCCCCATATAGGAATACCTGACTCTATTGGAATAATGTTTCATTTACCTGGGAAACAATGAAGTGAAGTGAAGGCAGATGATCCTCTAGGCCATTGTGCTTGAGAAGCCGGTTTATTGGAGTACTTATCTACTAACAGTGCCGGGTCACGTGACATCTAGTTCTACTGGAGACGTGTCGAAGAAACAATTACTTGCAGCTATTTCGACGCTCGCCTCGAACACGTGACATAATGAAGTGATCATGGGCGGAGACGCCTGACCAACATGTTGCATAAACAATACGGATTATGCAAAGGAACGTCAAAGACGATAACTAACTGGGTCACTGTCAAGCTTAATTCCTATCATGTATTGTTCTATGTACGTATCAATTTGTTTCAAAATATTAAACCTGCTGTCACTAAATGGGATATCACATGCAGAAAGATATTTCACTTGTATAACACTCTATTGCTCGAAATGCAAGAAATACCAATTCTAACCACCATTTCTATGCTCGAATACGACATAAACACGACAAGTCCCCTGAGTCCATTACCCTCTTCAATACCCCGCTCCAGGGCGGCTAAATTGCAATCAAAAACCATATCACCTTTGAAATGAAATGAAACAACCAAGGTACTCACATCTCACGGGCGTCTGTTGACCAACCACTTCTTACCACCCAACTGTTAACTGACCTCTTTCAATAAGTGCTGTGGAATTTAACTGCTCACAAATTCCCAATTTACAACCATTATACAAATACTTTTACACAGACAGACAGGTTCAGGCTTGAAGCTTTCCGCTAGAGCGTGGATGGGAATTTTCAACATAGCTAACTGCGCTATAAAGCAATAGTCACTCACGTCCTTGTTCTTCTGCTGTAGTTCTTCTGCCTTTAAAAGACTTACGCAGCTGAGTGTTTTGAAACCGTTTCCTTAAGACCGTTAAGTATAAGTGTGTCAGCTCTGTGTATACTGTAGTGGTGTTCCGATTAATTGAAATAATCGAAGATTGGTCGCAGTGACCAAACGACCAAGCAATCGATCACATTTTCTCATAATCGAACAGAAACGATTTTGGAACTACTGATTTAGTCTTTGAAATACTTGACAATGGAACATATCTTAGAAGTTGTCAGGGCCTAAAAACATGTTTATTTCTTAGAAAACTCACTCCACTAACTGAAAAGTCATGACTGAATATTTCTCTAAGACTCCAGGAAGTTTATGTTCATGATATATTAGTCATCACTTTAAATGTAGCAAGTTGCATCATGTTATACTTTTCTGCAGTAACAACCTGGATAGGAAAATCTGAAAAATGACGCTAACCAATTTTTGTCGATGATTGTTCGTTGGTAATGAAGCAATCATCAATTGTGAGATTTCAACCAATTCCCAACACTAGTATACTGCTCACATAAAGTAAGGGAACGGCGTTTTTTGTCTTGTCCTTCGGTGTAAGTTAGTTCCCAAGCTTTAACTATTGTCCCCCGTCGTGTTTAGCTGCCTCAGGTCTTCAGGTCAGTGATTGGCTATGATTACCCATTCAGTCTTCCTCTGATCCAGTGCCACCGTGGAGAATCAGGGATACAGCCCGTATAGACAAGCCTGGCGGTCAGCATGAAGGTCCTTACACATGTATGCTGTCGATGTTTTTTTAGCTTTTGTGCTTAAAGCTAAGGGTCATTGTGTCTGGTCAAGTGGATTTGACATGGCTGAGCGATTCAGTCAGACCTAGCTCAGCTGGCTCAAAATATCGCGTCCAAGGCCGTCCTCAGCGACCTGTGCATTAAGTGTGCTGAAAACAGTTTTGAAATCAGCTTATTTAACAGTAACTGTATACGTTAGATACCCCATATTGCATCTAGTTCCATGGCTGCATCATATAGAATGTATGCATAGCTTTATATTTAGATAGTATTGAGGGGTTTGCCCAACCTTTTTAGCAACAATCATGTGTAAGTCCGGGCTTTTTTCTGTAACGGTATAGCTACGCCCCTGCATAGAAATATTAAACACTACCCCTACTTACACCCACAGCACACAGAGTGTATATATGGGGATCATTTCTGACCCACTCGTCTAAGAACCTTATTTTGCTGACAGAGATGCATAACTTGTATAAGGTAGAAATCACTGATTGTGGGTTCGAATCCCGGTTTGGGCTAATTAGGTTTTGGCAGCCTATTGGGTGAGTTTAGTTTTGAGCCGCAGTTAGCAATATTCCAGCAATATCACGGCAGGGGACACCAGAAATGGGCTTCACACATTGTACCCATGTGGGGAATCGAACCCGGGTCTTCGGCTTGACGAGCGAACGATTTAACCATTAGGCTACCCTCCACGCCGATTTTGTCAGCCAAAGGTGCATCACTTCGGTCTTTCCTCCCTTAAACATACAAACTGTGATATAGCTGGAATACCGTCCCTTGTGGCGTTAAACCCAAATGTCGCACGACACTATGATCTTTTGTAGCACTGGCCCATGATCACATATCTTTCAAAGCATACCCATGTTGATGCATCCTATGTATGAAGACATCGTTTTTTTAGTTCAAAATCTTTCAGATATCAATGCTTGAATGAAATGGCTTTCCATCTACTGTATATGATATTATCATGTCAGTAAGGTCTGGTTTTCAACTCCCTTGACATTATGCCGCCCAGATTACCATGCCACCCTAGTTATTACCCAATCCTGGTAACTATGGCACCCTAGTTATGCTGCCATCCTGGTTATTATACCGCTCTGGTCATTATGATACCCTGTTATTATGCCACCCTAGTTATCATACCACCCTGTTATTATGATACCCTGTTTATGATGGCACCTTAGTTATCATGCCAACCTGGTCATTTTGTCACCATGGTTATTAACCATCCTGGTAACTATGGAACCGTTTCTATGCTGCCATCCTGGTTATTATGCCGCTTTGGTTATTATGCCACCCTGTTATTATGATACGCTGGTTATGATAACACCCTAGTTATTATGCAACCCTGTTATTATGATACCTGTTATTATGCGACCCTGTTATTATGATACTCTGGTTATGATGCCAACCTTGTTATTATACCACACCGTTATTATGCCGCTCTGGTTACTATGATAGTCTGGTTATCATGCCACCCTGGATATTATGACGCTATTGTTACCCTGGGCATCATGCCATCCTGGGAATTATGCCATCATTCGGTTATTATGTCAACACAGTTAATATTCATTATTTTCCTCATATATAGGGTCGGCGGGGAAAATGAGAAAAGGATAAGAAAACGCTCGAGTTTTGTGAAGAATCTTCACATAACACACGGTAAAATGATGATTTTTTTGGTAAAAGTTAAATATTGATCAATTTTGAGCCTAATATTAATACTATATCATGAAAAACCTACGGTTTCTGACAAAGTGATCTCAACGATTTCAGATAATGAGCATG